GTATTGAGACAGCTTATGAGGCAGAGGGGCGACAATTGCCTCAGGGTATAAGAGCCCACTCCACTCGTGGAGTAGCGGCTTCTACTGCCCTTTTCAGAGGAACAGGGGTAGAGGATATTTGTGCAGTGGCATCGTGGTCTCACCGTCTCCATTTATCAGTTTCTATCTCTTGGACATGTCTTCTAACTCTTTGCTCGGTCTGTACTCAGCGTAGCTGATGGGAGGCCTTGAGCTAGGAGAAAGGAATGCAGGACTAAAGAGGTACAGTGGGGAAATAAAGTATTTAGTCAGCCACCAATTGTGAAAGTTCTCCCACTTAAAAAGATGAGAGAGGCCTGTAATTTTCATCATTAGGTACACGTCAACTATGAAAGACAAAATGAGAAAAAATGTTCCAGAAAATCACATTGTAGGATTTTTTATGAATTTATTTTTAAATGATGGTGGAAAATAAGTATTTGGTCAATAACAAAAGTTTCTCAATACTTTGTTATATACCCTTTGTTGGCAATGACACAGGTCAAACGTTTTCTGTAAGTCTTCACAAGGTTTTCACACACTGTTGCTAGTATTTTGGCCCATTCCTCCATGCAGATCTCCTCTAGAGCTGTGATGTTTTGGGGCTGTCGCTGGGCAACACGGACTTTCAACTCCCTCCAAAGATTTTCTATGGGGTTGAGATCTGGAGACTGGCTAGGCCACTCCAGGACCTTGGAATGCTTCTTACGAAGCCACTCCTTCGTTGCCCGGGCGGTGTGTTTGGGATCATTGTCATGCTGAAAGACCCAGCCACGTTTCATCTTCAATGCCCTTGCTGATGGAAGGAGGTTTTCACTCAAAATCTCATGATACATGGCCCCATTCATTCTTTCCTTTACACGGATCAGTCGTCCTGGTCCCTTTGCAGAAGAACAGTCCCAAAGCATGATGTTTCCACCCCCATGCTTCACAGTAGGTATGGTGTTCTTTGGATGCAACTCAGCATTCTTTGTCCTCCAAACACGACGAGTTGAGTTTTTACCAAAAAGTTATATTTTGGTTTCATCTGACCATATGACATTCTCCCAATCCTCTTCTGGATCATCCAAATGCACTCTAACAAACTTCAGACGGGCCTGGACATGTACTGGCTTAAGCAGGGGGACACGTCTGGCACTGCAGGATTTGAGTCCCTGGCGGCGTAGTGTGTTACTGATGGTAGGCTTTGTTACTTTGGTCCCAGCTCTCTGCAGGTCATTCACTAGGTCCCCCCGTGTGGTTCTGGGATTTTTGCTCACCGTTCTTGTGATCATTTTGACCCCACGGGGTGAGATCTTGCGTGGAGCCCCAGATCGAGGGAGATTATCAGTGGTCTTGTATGTCTTCCATTTCCTAATAATTGCTCCCACAGTTGATTTCTTAAAACCAAGCTGCTTACCTATTGCAGATTCAGTATTCCCAGCCTGGTGCAGGTCTACAATTTTGTTTCTGGTGTCCTTTGACAGCTCTTTGGTCTTGGCCATAGTTGAGTATGGAGTGTGACTGTTTGAGGTTGTGGACAGGTGTCTTTTATACTGATAAGTTCAAACAGGTGCCATTAATACAGGTAACAAGTGGAGGACAGAGGAGCCTCTTAAAGAAGAAGTTACAGGTCTGTGAGAGCCAGAAATCTTGCTTGTTTGTAGGTGACCAAATACTTATTTTCCACCATAATTTGCAAATAAATTCATTAAAAATCCTACAATGTGATTTTCTGGATTTTTTCCCCTCATATTGTCTGTCATAGTTGACGTGTACCTATGATGAAAATTACAGGCCTCTCTCATCTTTTTAAGTGGGAGAACCTGCACAATTGGTGGCTGACTAAATACTTTTTTCCCCCACTGTAGGTCTCTTTCAGGTCCGCTCTTTTTAGAGGGAGACATATATGACATGACTCCTGACTGACATGTTCAGTACAGTAGAGGGAATGTTATTAATCTGCCCACCAGTGTTACTGGGTTGGGGCAGGATGATGAGGGAAATAGTTTTTGTAACTTTGCCTTTGCCGAGGACACAGTATATTGTGACACAGTGTGTCACAGTACTGTGGGACTTTGTCGCAGCCATTGCTAGGCCCGACCTTTTCATTTAAGTGGGAAGTGTTGGGTTCGGCAGGGAGTACATTTTGGAGTGTTGCGCTCCGCCTTAAACCAATAGGAGCAGAGCTCCCCTATGGGGCGGAGCTCCACGATATAGAACGATAGTTACCGGAGTTCTAACTCCAGTTCTATGAGTGGAGCGGAGCCCCATAGGACTTAAGGCCCTGCCGACCCTCCAGTCTCGCTGAAGATAATTTCTCGGGAGGCTGATTGAGGGGGAAGTGTCCCCTCTTATAGGGACACATGTACTTCTATTGGCTGCAGGTGTGTGCATAATTTTGTCTCAGGCTGTTCGCTGCCTTGGCAGCGGGGTAAACCAATTGGAGTAGAGCTCCCATATGGGGCTCCGCTCCACTCATAGAACTGGAGTTACAACTCCGGTAACTATCGTTTTCCCTCTCCATTCATTCCCTCTCTAACCTTGAGGGGTGTTTCTTTAAAACATGCATCCAATCCCCTTGATCCCTAACATAACTCCACCAATAATAAGCTTCAATGTTCCGCAGTTCACAGTGTTGTAGCAAGGCAGGACAAGGATAGAGGTTCCGCTCATGATGTTCAATTGCAGTCGGAGATGCTCCAATTTCAAAACGATTTGGAGCACAGTTGAAAAGTTAATGCGCTGACTATAATGGACTAATTAGAACAATAAAAGCAGTACTTTTCAATGTGTGAGATATAAGAGGTGTGCCGTGACAGTGTGAGAAGAGTGTGCATGTGTCTCAACACGTGAGAGTTGGCAAAATGTCTAAAATTATAAACAGAAACATAGACCTATCTTAAAAGGCCTGTCAAAAAATCGTTCCGCAGTCTGACTGTACATTTTCAATATTTGCGGGTTAGGGTCCGGTGCAGGCCTCAGATTTTCACTTTATCACATACAGTCAGTCGGGTGGGTGAACAAACAGCTAACCCGCAAATTACTAGTGCTCAACCCCTTGTTGTACACCCATGACTCCAACACCATTTAAGTTTGCTGACGACAAGACGGTGGTGGGCCTTATCGCAGACGCAACAGTCTACAGGGAGGTGTTTAGAGCCCTGGCAGAGTGGTGCAAGGAAAACCGCCTCGCCCTCAATGTCAGTAAAACCAAGGCGTTGATCCTGGACTATGGGAAACTGGGGGAGCACACCCCTATTGTCATCGACGAGCTGCAGTGGCGAGGTTCAACAGCTTCAAGTTCCTTGGTGAGCACATCACAGATGACCTGGAATGGTCCAATCACACCACCACCATGGTGAAGAAGGCAACAGCGCCCCTTCAACCTCAGGCGATTGAAGAAATTAGGCATGGGCTCTCGAGAAATCCTACAGCATACAATGTATTCCACTGCGTGACCAAGATACTACCCACTTTCTATTTGTTATACTAATAGCCCATTATTACCATGCATACTACCTATTTTATTACTTCTATGACTTGTTATTGTCATTGACTGATGTACTGAATTGTTGAGGGAGCTACCACAAGCATTTCGCTGCACCTTTTATACCTACAGTAATCTGTGTATGCGACGTATAAAATGTGATTTGGTGCCACCAACACTAATAGAGTTATTGCCACAGGAGGCTGCTGAGGGGAGGACAGCTCATAATATTGCCTGGAATAGTAATCATCTACATCGAATACCAGTGAAAACTATATCCCTCCTATTTAGGAACTTATTTACTGGATCAAAATGGCTCCCACACGCAAACAAAATGGAACCACAAATAAGTATTTGTTTAATGGATGCACGAGAGATACTTGGTTTTGCATTACTCCTCCACATATGCAAAGCATGCTGGGCCGATTTGTAAACATAGCAGTAGATACTTAGAGAAGGGTCAGGGACAGGCCCCGTGTAGCTCAGTTAGTAGAGCATGGCGTTTCCAACGCCAGGGTTGTGGGTTCGATTCCCACGGGGGGCCAGTATGAAAAAAAATAAAAGAATGTATGCACTCACTAACTGGATAAGAGCGTCTGCTAAATGACTAAAATGTATAATCTGAAATACAAAACTGGTTCACCTCAGAGCTAATAGAAAAAAACTCATAACTCAAGACTGCAGGTATTAAGAAAAGACTGAGGATTAAAGTATTACTTAAGAAATCACTTTAATTTGATTTTAAAGTTCCCTGAAATGTTTCCTTTTTCCCCTAAACAAAACATCATGTCTCAGCACCGAATGACATCAGCAAAGAGTTTCCATCAGAGAACGACGAAGTAAACAAATATAAATGTGCTAAGTATATCATAACTCTTCAAAAGAGAGAGTAAACTAAAATGGATACAAAACTAAAATTAGTTTTTTTAACAATGGAAAAACATTATTCTGATAACAACAGCTACAAGTAAAAAAAAAAAAAAAGGGGGGGGTGGAAGTCAAGGTTTCAGGGGGAGGAATAACAGCAGTGGTTATGTTTAACAGGTATAAAAAATACTAACAGGCAACTGGCCAATTAACTGGTAACAAAGCTTCGTGGCTAGGCAGGTCAAGATATGAATACTAGTTTTAAATTGGCCAAATCATAAAAGCACAACCTGAAGTGCTGTTTGGGGGGGCAGGTGATGAGGAGGAAGTCACACCAGATGGTTAAGGCAGTGGGGGGAGGGGGTCTTATTTACCTAATTCCAAACCAAACCCTAGTCCCTACACTTACGCACTTTGTGTTGTACTGAAAATGTTGGACTGGTATCAGAAATGTGGTGAAAATCCCACCATCGTACTCGAGTACTATTTGAGAAGGTCCGGTCACACAGATTTCCTAGTCGTCAAAGTTCCTGATGGACAGTCATTTATCCGTATATAAAAGAAATACAATAAAAACTTGCAACCCATGTGACCCAACTGTTAACACAGTTTGAACTGTTTACACAGTTTGAACTGTTTAAAAGCTAATTTCCTGCAATTCCACACATTTCGCCATGTCTTGTGTGTTCATTTGACACCATTTATTAAAATGTTGGTCTGTCCCTATTGACCCCTTTCTGGGTCCCGAGCCCTGAGTATGGCTGTCTAGGTGGCGCTATTACCATCTTGCTGATACCTATCCTTTCTATAGGGCCTAGGGTTTGGTATTGGACATTTACTTTGGAGTCACAACTTAATGTTGTTCTGGAATAGATGGGAGAATAAGGTCTGAGGTGTCCTGGCCTTAGTCCGAGTCGCTCCTCTCTTCCTTCGTAAGCAGACGCTTTCCGCTCTTTGGGGCCATTGCTTCTTGCTTGAGGCTCTTTGCGGAACTAAGAAAGATAAAATATAGGACAAACACAGACGTTGAGACTGTTTTACCACTGAAAGGAGAACATGTATGTTAAAGGCGATAGATGTGGGGGGAAATAAGGGAATAATGCATGTAAATGGGACATAGGCATTTTAGGGAGCAGTTCTCGTCATCAGAATGGCTTCTGCTGATAGCTTACCCTTTCTTCTTGTATTTCTCCTGCTCAGCGGGAGGAACGTGGTCCATCAGCTCCAGACTGTCGTTGATCTTCTTGAGCCAATCATAGCGCTCTCTGCCACGGACCTGAGAGAAGGAGTGAGAGGGAATTTCCATTGGGCACCTTGTCACAACCATAAAGTAGAGATACACAAATTCCCCCTTACAAAAAAGTGTCTCTGTCGGCTGGTGTGTGTGTTTCATTCCCCCACCTGCAACAAAAATACATTGTCCTTGTCTTCATCCTCGGTGCTGGAGCCGTTCTTGATCTTCTTGCTGGTTCCTGGAGGGGGCAGGGCCCGTTGGGACTCTGAGGGGAGAGGAGACAAGGTCAACAATGATACAGGAGACAAGGAAAGGAGGCCAGTTAATAGGTTTGGGACGTGGCCCCAGTCTTACTTCTCTTGGTGCCGTTGGTGGTCTTGGTCCCGTTCAGAACTTTGTTTGCATTCTCTTCTTCGGTCTTGCGGTCCCGGCCAGGGACAGGCACACACACGGACCTCAAAACAACGGCGACCCAAAACCTGACCCCTAGAAAGGAAGCAAAGGGGTAGAGAATAGTGAGAGTTAGAGACAATACACTCAAGGGGAGCCAAACACACTAGGGATGTGCGTCTTTCACTTGCAAGATGATTTGATATGTATCTAGATATATGGGCTACAATACAGGAACCATACATTTTAGTTTGAAATGATTCGGTGCGATACGATGCACTAACATTTGTTGCATAAACACATTCATTTTCCATTCTAAATTAAAATCTGCTGCTGATGGAGCTCATAAACTGGGCCTCTGTGAGCTGGATCTGTCTGAGATTACTTCTGTCTGTCTGTGGATGTGTGTAAATGATGTATATGGTTTACGGTTGTGTTCGTTCAAGTTTTTCACTCAGCTTTATCGCTTCGGACGTTTTATCTGCTCCACCACGCACCTGTCTGGTTGAATGCCTCCTCTCCTACTCAGCCTCCTGACCAAAGTTTCTCTCAAGCGGGTGTGACACCTACTCTCGTTGCCTGCTGCTTGGATCCCACCCGCCGATCTACTCCCAGTCTGCCCTGGCCTGTCTCTCTGTCTGGGACAGGTACCCCCGCCACACTCCCCCCTCTCTCCAGAGCTTTCGCTTGCTTCCAGTACACTCGTACACAGTAGACTTTGGACTGATCTGAATTTTTATGCAGGCTAATTAACTTGTAAATGTTTTTATGGGAGCATTACTCAGAAACGCTTTTCATTAACTAGCAGGTCTACTATTTATTTATTTTATCTCAGACTTTTATAGCCTACTGGACTCAGAGCTATTCTTTCACATTATCTTGTTGGCGCGAGTGACTCTGAGCTTACGATGTCTAGCCTCAAGCCGTTGAACTTTTCTCCTTGTGCTTTGTGCTATTTGCTCCATGACTCCTGCACGCTTTGTTGACTATGTGGTTGCTCAGTTACCCGAACGTGGAACAGACGATGTTTGTTCCCACACTCGCGACTGAATCTCTATTGGTTACACAGACTCTTGGGCCCCCATCCTATTCTAACCACCTCTCGCCGGCTTTGTATTCATGTTACCTGATGAAATTGCTGTCAATATGATCGTTGCCATCTGATGCACATTCAAATGTCCCTGTCCTCTGCCGTGCCCTGGACATGTGCATGACCACCCTGGCCCGTCTACAGTTGCTAGCCACAATTCTGACATTTGCTCTCATGATTTCTGCTCTTGTAAAAGCCTTGGTTTTCTGCACGTTAACACTAGACGCTTATTACCTGAAATGGATCAATTGAAAGTGTGGCTTCACAGCTCCAGTCCAGCGGCCCTTTACACCAAGTCTGAATTTGTCCTGCTAGGTGACCAAAACTGGGACATACTTAAACCACCTGACCAACTCTTAAAACAATGGGACTCCCTAAATCTCTCTCAGATCAGATTACCAATCCCACACGGTATGATCCCAAACACACAGAAAAGTCTACTCTCCTTGATATTATCCTCACAAATAATCCTGATTGGTATCAGTCTGGTGTTTTCTGTAATGACCTCAAGTGATCACTGTTTTACAGCTTGTGTTCGTAATGGCTGCTTAGTTAAACGACCTGTCCGGATTTGTCATTGACGCTTGCTGAAAAACTTTAATGAGCAAGCCTTCTTTCATGACCTGGCCTCTGTAAATCGGTTATAGAATCAGCTTGATCCCCTTTGTTGAAGATGCTTGAAACAGCCCCCATAAAGAACAACAGGATCAGCCACTGGTTCGACCGTGATCTGGCAGAGAACACCATTTGGCGAAAGGCTCGGCACACAAATACTCACGCCGACTGGCTCTCATTCAGGCAAATGAGAAATAAGTGCACTCAGGCCATCCAGAAGGCCAAACCTAGTAACTTTAAGGAGCAGTTCTCTCTCTGTGGGTCTAACCCCAAGAAGTTCTGGAAAACGGTGAATAAACCTCCTCCTCACAGCTGCCCATGTCCCTTAATGGTGATGATGTGGTTGTTACTGACAAAGAGCGTATGGCTGAGCTCTTTAAATCACCAATTCATTAAGTCAGGATTCCTATTGGACTCAGCCACGCCTCCTTGCCCGCCAAACACTTCCTCATCTACCAGCCCCAATGTTCCACCCGCCCTGCTACATAGCTTCTCCCTCCGGATGGTCACTGAGTCTGAGGTGCTAAAGGAGCTTCTTAAACTTGACCCTAAAAAACAACAACATCTGGGTCAGATCCTTTCTTCTTTAAGGTTGCAGTGCTTGGAAGGCAGCCACGGTGCGTCCTGTATTTAAAGAAGGAGCTCAGTCTTATCCCAACTGTTATAGGCCAATTTCTAGATTGCCCTGTTTATCAAAAGTGTTGGAAAAACTTGTCAATAATCAACTGACTGGCTTTCTTGAAGTCTATTGTATTTTCTCTGGTATGCAATCTGGTTTCCGCTCAGGTTATGGATGTTTCACTGCAACCTTAAAAAGGTCCTAAATGATGTCACCATTTCCCGTGACTCTAAGCAATGTTGTGCTGCTATCTTTAATGACTTGGACAACGTTTTTCATACAGTACACCATTCCAAACTTGTGGGTTGGCTAAGGAGTATTGGTGTCTCCGAGGGGTCTTTGGCCTGGTTTGCTAACTACCGCTCTCAAAAATTGCAATGTGTAAAGTAAGAAAATCTGCTGTCTCAGCCACTGCCTGTCACCAAGGGAGTACCCCAAGGCTCGATCCTAGGCCCCATGCTCTTCTCAATTTACATCAACAACATAGCTCAGGCAGTAGGAAGCTCTCTCATCTTTTTATATGCAGATGATACAGTCTTATACTCAGCCGGCCCCTACCCGGATTTTGTGTTGAACACTCTACAACAAAGCTTTCTTAGTGTTCAGACAGCTTTCTTTGCCCTTAACATTGTTCTGAACACCTTCAAAACAAAGGTCTTGTGGTTCGGTAAGAAGATTTCACCCCCGTCTCATAATGGAATGGTTTAGACCATTTGGAGGTTGACAGACTGAGTGAGTTTCTCTTCTTCTCCTGTGTCAACCATGCAGAGCGGGTAGCTTAGGCTACTTTTATTCCGGTATAACAATTTTCAACAGCGCATTTTATAAAACATAACCAAGCAAAAGACATTGGTTGTCACTCAACAAAAAAAAAGGCTAATATTGCGCATGCCATTTTACAAACATTTGAATGCTGCCGGTGACACGCAGCTATGCCGGATCAGGAATAGGTCTACTTCTCATTGCACAGTGCGTGTAGATACGCACAGTGCACAGTTTTACTAGGCTACTGATGTTGCCTGGGGTTGTTTGGCATGCAAAATGACTTGTAGATCAATGACCGTCAAAACAATGACATGCTGAAGGCAAAGATGCAGTTGTCACAAACTATGAGGTATTTTCGGAAGGTAGAAAGTAATTTGACCCAACATTTTTGGGGCCGGCCATTCTTAATATTTGAAACGATTTTGTGACCGATGCATGCTACATTCAGATTGGTTTGGGGTCCCGCTGACCGATGCACTCATATCTTAAATATCTCAACCGGGGACCGATTCATATCGGTGAATCATTACCTCCCTAAAACACACATTATCGGAAATGTAAAGCAAACTCAGACTTGTGCTCACACAGAAAAGAGAGAGCTTGATGTATACGCACACAAATAAGGACGAGATGCAGACCCAGATGCACAATTTCCAAAATAAACAAACTCAGTGAGAAGTGATGAGGAGAGACACTTACTCCTGGGTCTCCAGGGTCAGGATGGTGAGGATGGGCCGCCGGTTCATACCACCCATGCAACTGGAGTTGCACATGAAGTTCAGGAGAACAGTAGTCGTTTCAGAGCCCAGCTATACAAACACATACACAATGTTTAGCTTCACATTGCCAAATGCAAATGTCCAATGCATTATAGACAGATCTCTCAATGAAAGTGTCAAGAGAAATGGCAAATAAAAATGATGATTCATCTTTCATAATACCACTGATACAGGAGACCAGAGGAAGGGGGGAATACCATAGAAATAAGAATGAATAGAACGGGCTTGGAAGCTCTAAGCCCAGCAATTTGACTGGTACATAATGCCTTCCTGGTATTGTGATGTAATAATTTCCACAGTTATGTAGAATATTCATTCATTCAAATGATGCTAACTGATGTGGCTCATGCAATGGAATGTATTTTGATTCAACAAATCGCAGCACAGATTGTTGGGTACACTTCCTGTCTTGCTCCTCTGGGTACACTCGCAATGGCCGCCAGTCCACCCATTATACCATAATTTACTTGAATGGGGACGTCCGTTCTATTAATTATCTTTCCATGGGGTATACCTGAGGAGGCTCATAAGGCAGCAGCACACTCTGACGCTTGGTGTTTCCATCCTCCAGGTATTGAGCCCACTGGCTCCCCTCTACCCTAATCAGGTGACTGCGGTGGACCACACCTAGACAGAAAACAGGAAGTAGACAAGTAGTGAGGGGGAGTCTCCTCTCTTCCTGGGACAATTTTTTACATGGGGAGTAAAGGTATGCCTCGCCTCTGAGACCATGGTGAATATTATGATCAGATTTGCATGGGTTTCATTTCCTCTTTATTCGTTTACATTGCTAACTACAAAAACGGAGCCAAACTAAATCTATGCATATCAATCTACTTCTCTTTTAAACTCTCAACAAGGGCAAAATACTTATCTACCTCATTTTTACCATAGACTAAAAACACACACCCTCTCGCACTCAAACACACCCACCTTCATTGTTATCTGAGGCGCTCTGGTGGTGGGGGCAGCGGCGGACCACCTCAGAGACATGCTCAGACTTCTTGTAGATGGCGGTGGCCCTGAGGATGGCTCCTGGCGGGGGATCCATGTCCATCAGCACCTCCACAGGGCACGTCTTAGCCAGCTGGCAGTACAGCTTGTTCAGCTGTGCAGAATACTGGGAGGGGAGAGAAAACAGTGAATGACCAGTCGTATGTATCTATAGGAATTTTATTTTGTGAAACAAAGTTGTGAATTGAATTGAGAAAAATAAGCACTTCGGTCAAAGTTATTTCTCACAGACAGCATTTCACTTTGGTGATGTAAAAAATAGAAAGACAATTAGCAGTTTATAAAATTTAAATAAAATACAAACACTAGCAAAAGGTGGGCTTAACACCCACAGGAATAAATAAGATCATAATACACATTAACATTTATATTTATATTCTGAAGAAATCGTAAATACCTTGTTTATAACTATACATTTTGACCAAAACGGCTGCATTTGAACCCTTTCCATAATGGAGCCCTTGTGTGGAACATGCCCTGTCATGTCAGACCCATGCGTTACTGCAACCTACCAGCATGCAACTCCTCAGTTCCAATGAATGAGCTGCAGGGGGCGTTAGTTTGAGGGCAGCACACCCTAAATCAAGCCTGATAGACCAATCATAGCACGCTGACATGTGAGTCACTGTGGAAACCTTCCGGCTATTGGCTGTTTTAATCCAAATACTTTTTGTCAAAACTTTGAGTTTTAGCAAATCCTCACAATGAACTGGATTCCAGTTGACTGCAACCGCAGGGAATTAGAATGAATGGAATAGCTTTCGTCTCTGTCTGAGGTAAAGTAACCGCAATTTACTGTAATTAATTGATTGAAATGAGACCATGGATTAAACAGGTTTGAAGCCATTTTACCCCCCCCCCCCAAAAAAAAATATGTTTTAAAGGAACTCATTCAGGCTTGAAAATTGTGGTAGTAGAATGCACAAAGTGCAATTTCAAAATTGGGTAGGGCATCATCAGTTCCTCTAATAATAATAATATGCCATTTAGCAGACACTTTTATCCAAAGCGACTTAGTCATGCGTGCATACATTTTTGTGTATGGGTGGTCCCGGGGATCGAACCCACTACCTTGGCGTTACAAGCGCCGTGCTCTACCAGCTGAGCTACAGAGGACCTCTAGTCATGTCTGTCATTGCATACCTTAGCGAGCTATATATAACTTGTCAGAAATGTCCAGATCAACTAGCCCATGTCAGCTAAATTGTTTTATGTAGGTTTTGAAGCCCATAGATGGTTGTAATTTTTTTGTCACTCAAATATCACATGAATACACATTAGACCAAAATGTATAGAATTGCAAGAAAATTGGCTTTAAAACAGCAAAAGTCTCTCCACCAACAAGAGGGGTGGGAACAGTTTGTATCATGAACAGTGCTTGTGCCCAGAGAAATAGACGTGGCGCGTGCGCGGGGGGGGGGGGGCACGGAATGTTCCCCAATGCTGGAAGGGGGGCCCTGAGTGAAAAAGGTTGGGAACTCCTTCCATAGGGGATTTTAGAAACACTTAAAATAAGTTTTGTGTAGGCTTACCCTGGTGTGATGTTTTGATAACCATGTAAATCTCTCTAGGACAAGGTGACTTTTATCAATATAGTTGCCTGTATTTACCCCCCAAAAATGAAATGCTAATGAACTGCTAATGTGGCTATCGTAAAGAACTACAAATACCATGATGATCTAGACAAGACTGCCGAATTGAGGCAAACCTAAGAATCTCTGGATGAATTATCTAATGCTAGCTAAATTTTGTAATGAATCAATTGGCTAAATTTCTTTAAATGTAAAATTTTGTGAACTGTCTTGTGCAAATTTTAAATGGACAGAATACCTGTTAGCAAAGGTGTCATCTGGAGATGACGTGCAGGAGCTTGCAGGGATTTGTAGTCTTGCATGATGTCTACTTTGACGGCAATTAGCATTTTCGAAACAGAATAAATAGAGCCAAATATATTGATAAAAGTAACCTTGCCCGAGAGAAATTTACATGCTTATCAAAACGTCACGCCAGGTAAGCCTACACGAAACACAGCCCTTATTTTAAGTGTTTGGGGGGGGCAAATACATGTGTTTATTGCTTTGGATAAAAGTATTGACCAAATTACCATGAATTATAAACTGGGTGGTTTGAGCCCTCAATGCTGATTCGCTGAAAGCCGTGGTATACCACGGGTATGACCCCAAAAATATTTTTAGCGGTCTAATTACATTGGTAACCAGTTTATAAAAACAATAAGGCACCTCTGGGGTTTGTGGTATATGGCCAATATACCATGGCTATGGGCAGTGTCCAGGCACTCAGAGGTGCGTCGGGCATAAGAACAGTCCTTAGCCGTGGTATATTGGCCATATACCACACCTCCTTGGGCCTTATTGCTTAATTAGGTGTGTGTGTGTGTGTGTATGTATGTATGTATGTATGTATTCAGGCATGAGCATGTGCAGTAAGCCATATGCATGACACTCACGGTGGAGGTGACAGACTTGGCGGTGCCAGACTTCTGGAATCGCAGCTGGAAGCCGTGCTTCCCAGGGTAGTCGTTGGTGGAGGGGACGGTGGAGGCGGGGGGAGGCACGCTGTCCAGGGTTGACACCGAGGGCTCCACAACCAGGGGCTCCAGCAGCTCAAACAGCCCCTCGTCGAAGTCCTTGTGGAGGGTGGCCTCGGGAAGGAGCTGTGAGGAGTAAAGTGTTCAAGTTATCAGTTGCATTTTGCTTTTCTGTCTGAATACTGAAACAGAGGAGTGCCCACCATGGATATCAAATTATCAGAGAGAAAAAAATCTAACTCAAACAATCACTGTATTACTAGAAAGGGGGGGGGGGAGAAAAAAACTCTAGCCCATTCTAGAGGTAGACAAACAAACGCACCGAGACATCCAGGTCAGACCAGTTTTCAGTCGCAACCAGTGGAATACTGGGCCCCTGAGGTGTCATACTATAGAAAGGGGATACAAATCACAGTATCAGTCATTATTAAGACCTGAAAAGACCTATGTAGAAAAGGTGCTGTAATACATTGAACAATGTCTCTGGGCTTCCACTCACACAAAACCACCTCAGCCTAACCTTAGTAGTCCAAAAAAAATAGTTATACAAGTCTGTGGTCCTAAAGGTTGTTCAAAACTTACTTGGTCTCCCAAAGCTGCTGGAAGGAACATTGGCCCAGGGAGACGCTGAACTCCTGCTCTTCCATCCTGTATCTGTTCACTTTCTCGACAGCTCACTGGACCGTTTGGACGGAGGAGAGGACTGGACACAAGTCAGGAGGGATGGAGGAAGGCGATAGGATCTAGGAGAGAGAGAGCACACCCATGTGATTAGTTAAGAAAAAAAATTATACTAGTTCTAGTAGTTGCCTGTGTCTTCAAAACAATGTAGCTCAATTGGTAGAGCATGTCGCTTGTAACGCCAGGGTAGTGAGTTCGATCCCCAGGACCACCCATTTGTAAAAATGTATGCGCACATGACTAAGTCGCTTTGGATAAAAGTGTCTGCTAAATGGCATATTATTTATTATTATTATATATGGGATGAGTGGGGAAAGAATGGTGAATGGGGGACCACAGCTAGAATGCAGACAGGGGAGGTAATGACTGACTGGGTTGTGTAGCTAGCTAGCCAGCCATGTGAGGACTGGTGCCACAGTATTAGGCTAATCCTTAGTGTTGATCAAGTGCCTAGCTAGCTACCCTACCCTTTACCAATAAATGCTTCATCTAAATATATGACTAACTTGCAACCCACCCTATACAGAGAGAAATAATAATGGTGCCTTTTTGTAGGCCGTGGTTCGTTGGACAAAGCCTTGTTGTTGTAGGGCAGGGATCATCAACTAGATTTCTTGAGCGGATGGTCAGGGGGGCCCATCCGCTCAAGAATGGTGCGGGGGCAGAACATAATTACAAATCATTTGTAGACTGCAATTTGACCGCAAGAATCCCAAACAGATAAAACCACCAGTTGGGGAACGCTGTTGTAGGATTTTGGGATAAACTGCTAAAATAAGGTCTGTGGTAAACACAAGTTTAGGAAATCGTATATGTTTTGTTCTATGAGATAATCAGCTAACGTCACTTTTTGTGAATTCTGAAGAATTTATGTAATAATAAAAAACACAAAGGTTTCACAATTCATAAAGGACATGTTAACTGACTGCTATAGACCCCTTTCTGTGTTCACAAACATTGCCACACGAGGGCGATGTGCGCAAGTTGGTGGCAGAACATGGGGGAGTTCTTATAGAGCTCCAGCAAAAAAAGCCTCTATTTACATGTTGCTTGTGAGTGTATTTCACACTACTTTGGATTATAAGGGTTGTATGAATGTCCTGCTTAATATAATGTGTGTCATCGTCGCAAATCCGCATTGTGTTGGGCACAATAAGAACAGCCCTTAGCCATAGTATTTATAAGCAATAAGGCACGAAGGGGTGTGGTATAAGGCCGATATACCACAGCTAAGGTTTGTTCTGAAGCACGACACAACGATGAGTGCCTGGATACAGGCCTTAGCCATGGTATATTTGCAACATACCACAAACCCAGAGGTGCCTTATTGCTATTATAAACTGGTTACCAACGTAATTAGAGCAGTAAAAATAAATGCTTTGTCATACCACGCCTCTCAGGCAATCAGCATTCAGGGCTCAAACCACCCGGTCTATAATGGCCATATACCACATTCACTCGGGCCTTATTGCTTAAGTATGAAGTGTCTCAACTGATGACTGGCACAACACAAATACCTCAGTTGGTGTAAAATAGGGTCTGAGCTACATTTGTGAAAATTTGAAATATCTGCATTTACGTGTTTTAAAACAATTGTACATTAAAATTATTTAGAAATCAAGCTCATAATTGTAAGCTTTTAAATGATATCAATCTTAACCGTTTATCTATTTCAGTGATGAAGACATGGATGTCTTATGGTTGGGTGGGATATGGAAAATGGGTACACTTTGAGCACCTCTATCTCCTGAATGTTTTGGCATCTAGCTGAGGAATGGCTCAACTCCGTTCTCTTCTATCTAGGCGGAGTTGAGTATTGATAACTGGCGGAGTTTCGTATTGATAACTAACGGGTCGCGCGATTTGCTAGCAACAGAGTCACCCCATACTTACCAAAATGTCAATTCTGAAAATGATTACCTGTACAACTGCGGTCATTCCGCGGGGTACTGAATTTCATACTTTTAATTTAAAAAAAATATCCAATACAACCACGGACTTTTTCCTAATTTGTATTCTTCAACTGCAGACATAATGGCCTTGCTGTACTACGGAAGCTGAGATTGAACTGGCATTCGCGCGGAGTTGAGTAACACAAATTAGGAAGAAGTCAGTGGTTGTGTTCGATAAAAGTTATTATAAAAAGTACGAATTTCAGTACCCTGCGGAAGGACCGCAATTGTACAGGAAAAACATAGGTACAGATAAGCGTTTTCAGAATCGACATTTTTACACGTATCGACTGAAGGTTTCTCAATCTAGTTGCTAACAAATCGCGCGAGGAGTTGAGCGTTGGCCTAGCATATAGCTAATTAGCTAGCAGGTTAGACACTCAAAACAGTCTAAACAGTAAGCGATACGTGATCATCATCCAACTTCCCATGTCATATAACACTACAATGTGTAGTGGTTACATTTTTATTAATACAACAAAATATAAGATACACCAAACTTCACCCACCATCTTCAGCTAAGTCAGCTAACTCAGCTGTAAGCTTGGCTGGCTGCTTTAGAATCGACAACGGCCACAAACTTTTTCACGCATAATAATTTGCTACGCTACCTAAAATAAATTAAACATGGATTTATACCTCGCCACCCGTTGATGAATCTGTTCTTGCAGCACCTCGGTTCTCTGTCAATGCAACTCCGTAGCAGCTAGAAAGCAAAATATTTTGTTTCAGTGAACAGCGTGCGTTTCGGGGATTTCCCAATAAACCAGATGGGAGGGGCTATGCAGAGTTCACAGGCCACCAATCAGAGGCCGCGGCCACCGAGGTTTATAATTTCAAATGGAATGGTGCGAAATGTTCCCAAACAAAATATTAACGGGATACATTTTACATCTTGGTATTGCTAAAATGATATTGGCTGAATGCAGGAAGGGAAGAAAAAAATATTGTGGCGTTTGCAGCACATCATTCATTGCACACTGGTTATCATGCGTTGTATCATCACATTGAATTGCATAGTTCATGTTTTGTGATAATAATGTCTGATAATTATGTCAAATTTCTCAGATTATGTGCATGTCCAAAGATTATGAACTCAAATTATTTCATTCAACATAAAAATAAAATATATAAAAAGTTTCATGGATTTGGAAAAGACATGCATGCTCCTCATAATTTCCTTATTTCAACTTTCATAATGGGTTCATGTAATTTCACTAATATTAATTCTGCCGCCCTAGTTGATGTGCCTAAATTATGGAATATTGCTGATGATGGGTCGATAGGCTACTAACATTGATTGCACTCCATATTTTCTGAATGCATGACTGTTATCAAGAGGGATAGCTGACTAGCTGACCTTTGAGTGAATATTCAAGCTTGTTTATTTGTCATATACACATGATATACATGGAGTGCAGAGTGCAATAAACTGCTTAGCATACTTTCAGGTTCACCTCTGGACAATGCAACAACAATAGAAAAGTAAGCAATTGAATACAAAGAGTAGTAAAAATAAAAACTCAATGAAGTAAAATTAGAATAGTAATTTAGCTCAAATATAATACAAGAAGGCACTCAAACGAATTGATGTTGGATATTTACACATGCATGTGCAGGACTGGTAAATGATATTGATGGTACTAGCCAGCAGTAGGAACCTAATCCTGATCATAGTAGTAGGCACGCCCCCATTCTCATCAACGGGGCTGTAGTGTAGTGGAACAGGTTGAGAGCTTCAAGTTCCTTGGTGTCCACATCACCAACGAACTATCATGGTCCAAACACACCAAGACAGTCGTGAAGAGGGCACGACAAAGCCTATTCCCCCTCAGGAGACTGAAAAGATTTGGCATGGGTCCTCAGATCCTCAGAAAATTCTACAGCTGCACCATCGAGAGCATCCTGACTGGTTGCATCACTGCCTGGTATGGCAACTGCTCGGCCTCCGACCGCAAGGCACTACAGAGGGTAGTGCGTACGGCCCAGTACATCACTGGGGCCAAGCTTCCTGCCATCCAGGACCTCTAAACCAGGCGGTGTCAGAGGAAGGCCCTCAAAATTGTCAAAGACTCCAGCCACCCTAGTCATAGACTGTTCTCTCTGCTATCGCACGGCAAGCGGTACCAGAGAACCAAGTCTAGGTCCAAAAGACTTCTCAACAGCTTCTACCCCAAGCCATAAGACTCCTGACAGCTAATCATGGATACCCAAACTATTTGCACTGCCCCCCCCCCCCCACAACCCCACCCCCATGGCATGGGTCCTCAGATCCTCAAAAAATTCTCAAAAAATTCTACAGCTGCACCATCGAGAGCATCCTGACTGGTTGCATCACCGCCTGGTATGGCAACTGCTTGGCCTCCGACCGCAAGGCACTACTGAGGGTAGTGCGTACGGCCCAGTACATCACTGGGGCAAAGCTTCCTGCCATCCAGGACCTCTATACCAGGCGGTGTCAGAGGAAGGCCCTCAAAATTGTCAAAGACTCCAGCCACCCTAGTCATAGACTGTTCTCTCTGCTACCGCACGGCAAGCGGTACCGGAGTGCCAAGTCTAGGTCCAAAAGACTTCTCAACAGCTTCTACCCCCAAGCCATAAGACTCCTGAACAGCTAATCATGGCTACCCGGACTATTTGCACTGCCCCCCCACCCCATCCTTTTTACGCTGCTGCTACTCTGTTAAGTATTTATGCATAGTCACTTTAACTCTACCCACATGTACATATTACCTCAACTACCTCAACTAGCCGGTGCCCCCGCACATTGACTCTGCAACGGTACCCCCTGTATATATAGCCTCCCTACTGTCACTTTATTTACTTCTGCTCTTTTTTTCTCAACACTTTTTTTGTTGTTGTTTTATTCTTACTTTTTTTGTTTAAAATAAATGCACTGTTGGTTAAGGGCTGTAAGTAAGCATTTCACTGTAATGTCTGCACCTGTTGTATTCGGCGCATGTGACCAATACAATTTGATTTGATTTGATTTGATCCCCACCCCATCTTTTTACGCTGCTGCTACTCTGTTAATTATTTATGCATAGTCACTTTAACTCTACCCACATGTACAGTGGGGGAAAAAAGTATTTAGTCAGCCACCAATTGTGCAAGTTCTCCCACTTAAAAAGATGAGAGAGGCCTGTAATTTTCATCACAGGTACACGTCAACTATGACAGACAAATGAGATTTTTTTCCAGAAAACATGTAGGATTTTTATGAATTTATTTGCAAATTATGGTGGAAATAAGTATTTGGTCACCTACAAACAAGCAAGATTTCTGGCTCTCACAGACTTAACTTTAATTCTTCGTTTGTAGACGAGGGGTACTCGTAACTCCATCCACGGTCAGACCTGCTCGCATTCAAATGGCAGGCCTGTATCTGCAAAGCGTGCTTGAAGATCAGTCTTATAAAAGGAAGACCACAACCTGAGACCAAGCAACCCTCAAACAGTCACACTCCAAACTCCACTATGGTCCAGAAGAGGATTGGGAGAATGTCATATGGTCAGATGAAACCCAAAATATAACTTTTTGGAGTAAAAACTCAACTCTGTCGTGTTTGGAGGACAAGAATGCTGAGTTGCAATCCAAAGAACACATACCTACGTGAAGCATGGGGGTGGAAACATCATGCTTTGGGGCTGTTTTTCTGCAAAGGGACCAGGACGACTGATCCGTGTAAAGGAAAGAATGAATGGGGCCATGTATCGTGAGATTTTGAGTGAAAACCTCCTTCCATCAGCAAGGGCATTGAAGATGAAACGTGGCTGGGTCTTTCAGCATGACAATGATCCCAAACACACCGCCCGGGCAACGAAGGAGTGGCTTCGTAAGAAGCATTTCAAGGTCCTGGAGTGGCCTAGCCAGTCTCCAGATCTCAACCCCATAGAAAATCTTTGGAGGGAGTTGAAAGTCCGTGTTGCCTAGCGACAGCCCCAAAACATCACTGCTCTAGAGGAGATCTGCATGGAGGAATGGGCCAAAATACTAGAAACAGTGTGTGAAAACCTTGTGAAGACTTACAGAAAACGTTTGACCTGTGTCATTGCCAACAAAGGGTATATAACAAAGTATTGAGAAACTTTTGTTATTGACCAAATACTTATTTTCCACCATATAATTTGCAAATAAATTCATTAAAAATCCTACAATGTGATTTTCAGGATTTTTCTTTCTCATTTTGTCTGTCATAGTTGACGTGTACCTATGATGAAAATTACAGGCCTCTCTCATCTTTTTAAGTGGGAGAACTTGCACAATTGGTGGCTGACTAAATACTTTTTTTCCCCACTGTACATATTACCTCAACTACCTCAACTAGCCGGTGCCCCCGCACATTGACTCTGCACCGGTACCCCCCTGTATATATAGCCTCCCTACTGTTATTTTATTTTACTTCTGCTCTTTTTTTCTCAACACTTTTTTGTTGTTGTTTTATTTTACTTTTTTATTAAAAAAAAAATGCATTGTTGGTTAAGGGCTGTAAGTAAGCATTTCACTGTAATGTCTACACCTGTTGTATTCGGCGCATGTGGCCAATAACATTTGATTTGATTTGATTTCATATGGACAAAGCTAGGATATAGATACCACGAATGGTGTTGGTAAGGTCAATTCGGAACAATGCAAACAGATAGAAAATAACTCCATTTGGGTTGTACGGTGCACACAAAGCTGCTAATTAGATCATAATCATATCTAAATGACAAATACAGTACCTTGCAAAGGTATTCATCCCCCTTGGCGTTTTTACCTATTTTGTTGCATTACAACCTGTAATTTAAATGGATTTTTATTTGGATTTCATGTAATGGACATACACAAAATAGTCCAAATTGGTGAAGTGAAAAAAATTACTTGTTTCTAAAAACGTATAAAAAATAAATAATGGAAAAGTGGTGTGTGCATATGTATTCACCCCCTTTGCTATGAAGCCCCTAAATAAGATCTGGTGCAACCAATTACCTTCAAAAGTCACATATTTAGTTAAATAAAGTCCACCTGTGTGCAATCTAAGTGTCACATGATCTGTCACACCAGGCAAGAAGGGCATTAATCAGAGAGGCAACAAAGAGACCAAAGATAACCCTGAAGGAGCTGTAAAGCTCCACAGCGGAGATTGGAGTATCTGTCCATAGGACCAGTTTAAGCCGTACACTCCACAGAGCTGGGCTTTACGGAAGAGTGGCCAGAAAAAAGGCATTGCTTAAAGAAAAAAATAAGCAAACATGTTTGGTGTTCGCCAAAAGGCATGTGGGAGACTCCCCAAACATATGGAAGAAGGTACTCTGGTCAGATGAGACTAAAATTGAGCTTTTTGGCCATCAAGGAAAACGCTATGTCTGGCGCAAACCCAACACCTCTCATCACCCCAAGAACACCATCCCCACAGTGAAGCATGGTGGTGGCAGCATCATGCTGTGGGGATGTTTTTCATCGGCAGGGACTGGGAAACTGGTCAGAATGGAAGGAATGATGGATGGCGCTAAATACAGGGAAATTCTTGAGGGAACCTGTTTCAGTCTTCCAGAGATTTGAGAATGGGATGGAGATTCACCTTCCAGCAGGACAATGACCCTATGCATACTGCTAAAGCAACACTTGAGTGGTTTAAGGGGAAACATTTAAATGTCTTGGAATGGCCTAGTCAAAGCCCAGACCTCAATCCAATTGAGAATCTGTGGTATGACTTAAAGATTGCTGTACACCAGTGGAACCCATCCAACTTGAAGGAGCTGGAGCAGTTTTGCCTTGGAGAATGGGCAAAAATCCCAGTGGCTAGATGTGCCAAGCTTATAGAGACATACCCCAAGAGACTTGCAGCTGTAATTGCTGCAAAAGGTGGCTCTACAAAGTATTGACTTTGGGGGGGGGGGGGGGGGGGGGGGGGGGGTGAATAGTTATGCATGCTCAAGTTTTCTGTTTTTTTGTCTTATTTCTTGTTTGTTTCACAAAAAAAATTATTTTCCATCTTCAAAGTGGTAGGCATGTTGTGTAAATCAAACCCCCCAAAAATCAATTTTAATTCCAGGTTGTAAGGCAACAAAATAGGAAAATTGCCAAGGGGGGTGAATATTTTCGCAAGCCACTGTACATGCTTGACCATTCTGAATGAGACAGCAGTACTAACTGATGAAATCCTCTTAGTAGCAGCTTGTAAACATCTTATAAGAACATAATAAGTACTTAATAAATTCTTATAGTTTTAAGTCTTATAAGTCTTGCCCAAGTTTGTGTGAATGGATTTCAGTAAGTTCTATGATTAAAACATTAATAATACAAGTAGATCTATCATCATATTATTATTGTTTTACACAGTGTACAGTAGCCTACAGGGATGGGACTGCAAGCATATATCTACTTTTTGAAACCAGTCGAACCGTTACACAAGGACACATGCAGGGAATGGGTCCAAGCCGATGAGAATACCTTTTTTGCTGAGGCCTCAGGGTTATTTGCAGAAGAGACGCGGTGATGTGATTTTCAAATAGAGTAGTTGCCAGGTAAAAACCTTGCTAAAATAAAATGCATCGCAATATTGTGACTCTGGCTGATTAATGAACTTTGAAAATATTCCATTGTTAGGAACTGATTTAGGTTATCAGGCTAGTCTACTCTTCACACTAGTGTTTTCTCACCATTAGTGAGCTACCACTGTCTCTTCAAAGAGGTCTGGGCATTCCTGGCACAGTAAAGGAAGTAATGCACTCTTATAAAAAAGGGATCCAAAGGGGTTCTTCGGCTGTCCCCATAGGAGAACCCTTTTTGTTTCCATGTAGAACCCTCTGTAGAAATGTTTCTACATGGAACCCCAAATGATTCTACCTGGAACCAAAAGGGTTCTACCTGGAACCAAAAAGGGTTATTCAAAGGGTTCTCGTATGGGGACAGCCGAAGAACCCTTTAAGGTTCTAGATAGCACCTTTTTTTTCAAAGAGTGTATGTTTGCTCTTATGGTTACAGGTCTCAAGGCAGTTGACTATGCAAGTCTAACTAGTTATAACCAGAGTCTTTTATTTTGAATATAAATTAAGCATAGCTAGACATCCATACCAGTATAGCATGTGCTCCATTGGTGCCAATAGACACCATTTCTTTCTAGGTCTTGAGACTTGTTGAATGCACGAGTGGCTATAATGTAATAATGCAACACCTGTTTTCTGTCACACACATCACATTACTGTAACATTATTAAGAACGGGCACTCTGGCAGACCCATTTTGCTAATACACACACACACACAGTGTGGGAGCGAATCATTACGGAGGAACGGTATTCACATCGCCTGACTCACAGCAGGTCACCTGTTTGACTGGTGGTGGGGCAGTCACATGGCCCGTGTGCGTCAGTCACAGTGTGGCGTTGTGACTTTCCCTCAGATATCACTCTCTGATTGGTGTCACTTCCAGTTTTGGGACAACACAACTGACATTTGCACTGTGACAGCCCAAACATTGTATATTTGTTCTGTTTTCTTTTTCTTTGTTTGGGCCAATTCTGTTGGTTCTGACAGGCACCACAGTGTATTATCTGTCTATCTGTCCCGGGATGCAGGTACAGTGCCTTGCAAAAGTATTCATCCCCCTTGGCGTTTTTCCTATTTTGTTGCATTACAACCTGCCATTTAAATTGATTTTAATTTTAATTTCATGTAATGGACATACACAAAATAGTCCAAATTGGTGAAGTGAAATGAAAAAAATAACTTGTTAAAAAGAATTCAAACAAATAAGTAACGGAAAAGTGGTGCGTGCATATGTATTCACCCCCTTTGCTATGAAGCCCCTAAATAAGATCTGGTACAACCAATTACCTTCAGAAGTCACATAATTAGTTAAATAAAGTCCACCTGTGTGCAATCGAAGTGTCACATGATCTGTCACATGATCTCAGTATATATACACCTGATCTGAAAGGCCCCACAGTCTGCAACACCACTAAGCAAGGGGCACCACCAAGCAAGCGGCACCATGAAGACCAAGGAGCTCTCCAAACAGGTCAGGGACAAAGTTGTGGAGAAGTACAGATCAGGGTTGGGTTATAAAAAAATATCTGAAACTTTGAACATCCCACGGAGCACCATTAAATCCATTATTAAAAAATGGAAAGAATATGGCACCACAACAAACCTGCCAAGAGAGGGCCACCCACCAAAACTCACGGACCAGGCAAGGAGGGCATTAATCAGAGAGGCAACAAAGAGACCAAAGATAACCCTGAAGGAGCTGCAAAACTCCACAGCGGAGATTGGATTATCTGTCCATAGGACCACTATAAGCTCTACACTCCACAGAGCTGGGCTTTACGGAAGAGTGGCCAGAAAAAGCCATTGCTTAAAGAAAAAAATAAGCAAACATGTTTGGTGTTCACCAAAAGGCATGTGGGAGACTCCCCAAACATATGGAAGAAGGTACTCTGGTCAGATGAGACTAAAATTGAGCTTTTTGGCCATCAAGAAAAACGCTATGTCTGGCGCAAACCCAACACCTCTCATCATCCCGAGAACACCATCCCCACAGTGAAGCATGGTGGTGGCAGCATCATGCTGTGGGGATGTTTTTCATCGGCAGGGACTGGGAAACTGGTCACAATTGAAGGAATAATGGATGGTGCTAAATACAAGGACATTCTTGAGGGAAACCTGTTTCAGTCTTCCAGAGATTTGAGTCTGGGATGGAGGTTCACCTTCCAGCATACTAAGCATACTGCTAAAGCAGTTTTGCCTTGAAGAATGGAGACATACCCCAAGAGACGTGCAGCTGTAATTGCTGCAAAGGGTGGCTCTACAAAGTATTGACTTTGGGGGGGGTGAATAGTTATGCACGCTCAAGTTTTCTGTGTTTTTGTCTTATTTCTTGTTTGTTTCACAATAACAATTATTTTGCATCTTGAAAGTGGTAGGCATGTTGTGTAAATCAAACCCCCCAAAAATCAATTTTAATTCCAGGTTGTAAGGCAACAAAATAGGAAAAATGCCAAGGGGGGTGAATACTTTCGCAAGCCACTGTATGTAGGTCTACATAGATCCCCACACTCTTAGAAAAAATAAGTTGCTATCTAGAACATATAAAAGGTTCTATGGCTGTCCCCATAGAAGAACCCTTTGAAGGACCCTTTTAGTTCCAAGTAGAACCCGTTTGGTTCCAGGTAGAACGTTTTGGGGTTCCATGTACAACCCTTTCCACAGAGGGTTCTCCTATTGGGCCAGCCAAAGAACCCTTTTGGAACCCTTTTTTTAAGAGTGCATGTTATGTGGTCTGGAGGCCCTAGGCCACTGTTCTCCTGGTATAGAATGTCTTCCTCATTTAGTGTGGGCCATACACATGACTCACTGGCCTGGGGCCCTGGCTTTGGACGATGGTGTCAGGTTCAGTCCTTCTTTCTCAATCTGTGCCTTAAATCAGAGTATGATAGAGGCGAGGGGGAAGGGGACGATGTGAGGAAGGGAAAGTGGGGTGAGATGGGGGCTTGTTCACAGGAGGTGTGGGTGAGTTGGGTGGAGAGATCTAGTCCAGACATTTTTCCATTGCATTTTTGACAGGTCCTGCCTTGCCCCTCATAACCCCTACCAAGACACACCTCCTAATTCCCACCTGCTAGCTGTCCCCAATTTCCCCGGCCACCCCTACTTAACCGACCCAAGTGGTATGTTCCAAATTTAGGGCCCATCGGTTGCCTTGGGAAGGATTAATCCTTTTGTGTGAAATAGGGAATGGTTTGTGGCGGGGGGGAGCGTCACCCTTTTGGCATGTGTTCTAAAATAGAGCAGTGATTTATGAGCGCAAAAAAGACAGAATGACAGCCAGGGCAGTGCAGACAAGTCCATCTGGCTTTCCAGAAGAAGTGTTGAGTCATAGGTCCAGATTGGTGGTGGTGGACATTGGCTTGAGTTCTTTCTCCCAAGGTCCAAGCGTCCAGCCTTTGCACACCATCCCCTGCAGAGGAATGGGCTACATATCTAAGCAGATCATAGATTTAATCCTTTCTATAGATTGACCTTTTTCAGCCACTGCAGGTCTCAATCTAATCAATAAAATGTAATCTCCGCTCCTCTTCACCCAATTATAACCATTATTCATGGTGGTGCAAAAATTCACATGATAAGGTTGAAGAGGAATTAGTTTATACTTAAAAAGTAAACCAACTAGCCTACCACACTTTTTTAAATAGTGCTTTTTAGCTGAATTTAACAAATGCATGATCCATCACATGATTATCCCTTTTTCCACATGCTTTTCAGCTTCCATATGTCCAATATACTGTATCAAGGCCACTCATGGAATCTGAAAGATCCACAATGCAAACCTCATAGGAGTTACAGTGGGAGGGTGGTTATTCTGTATGCAGCTAAAGCACTCCTCTTGACTTCAGCCAATGGTGGATAAGGTCAAGACATGGCTTTCTGATTCCATCTGACCCTAAAAGACGACCTCTGTGACAGGCCTTCAAGAGTAAGGGGCGGCTAAAACACCCTCCCGTCGCCTCTCGTCCCCTCCCCTCCTTCTCTCCGTCGTTTGAAAATACCAAGAGTGTTGTGCGCCAGTGTGCGGATGTCATGATGTGCAAGCTGGACCCATACGTTCCACAAACTTCAAAGAGAGGATACGCAGAGTTAAACATTTAGAACTATCGCCACCTCGTCGGTTTTCACTTTGGTTCCAGTTCTTGTCTTGGGTTTTAATTTTCCGATCGACTGTTAATACAAGTGCCAGGTTTATTGTCCTTATTCCAACTGAGTTTTTTCACGTGGTGTCCAGTTGGGATTGCGCGTGGGGGAGCGGGACACAACTGTCACGGACTGTAATCGGTGTCTCGCGCTGTCAAAGACATGCCGGCTGGGTTTCAACAGCTCGGAGGGGAGGTAATGTCAACAACAGTCGTTTTTATAAGAAAATAGTTGATTTGCAATAAGTAAATTGCAATGAAATATTTTCATGCGCACTAACACTGAGTAGCCTATGATGGATGGAGTAGAATTTACGCACAGGTTGCTATTGACACTGATTTTCGGTAGCCTAGCCCATGTCTCTGCATAATGTGTTATTGAAAATGTATATTTTGTTGTTTAAAACATTTTTCTACGACTGTAAAAGCATAATTATCCATGTATCTATTTATCAAATTATCAATTTATTGTTTATATTGTCTAATCCAACTTTTAGGCTCTCATTAGGAAAAAGAAAAATCGATCATGCACTCTTATCCTAATATTGATTTTTTTCTAAGTATTTCTCTTGATCTGTTTATTCTCGTCCTCCTCTCACTTCCCTATCTCAGGTGAGTGATGTCTCTTCCTCACCTGACAAAATGACTGGTCTGCCACTGTTGGTTGTGGCATTGAATCCCACTGGGCACACACTGGTTGAATCAACGTTGCTTCCATGTAATGTCAATGAAATTACGTTGAATCAACGTGGAATAGAAGTTGAATTGACGCCTGTACCCAGTGGGATGGTATCATAGCCATAGCCAACATTACGAAAATAATGTTTTGAGAATGAAAAACGTCTTTCAAAGAATACAATGCTTACTCCATCCAAGCAAATTGGTCACTAATACCACTTAGCAGCTGCAGAATCTTGTGATCTATGACGTGGTTCGCAACAACATGGTTGAACAAAATAAGGACAGAGCAACTGCTGTGAGCGAGCCATTTGACCTTGATCAGCAGAGAGACCAGCATGCTTACTGGTCAGGGCTGAGATGAATATGGGTTGGTTGGTAGGTCACCCAGTACAACTTGTACCTTGTTCCTTACCACAGCTGATGCCAACACAGTCACTGACACTTTAATTCAAAATCATTCTTCTTAGAATTACTATGATTTCAGCATCCTTGAGGTATTCTTTCTTGTCATGATTGGTTGCACAATAGCAAAAGATAAACACATCACCAAACTGTTGTAACAAAATGCCGGTACGTTTAAATTGGTTGCTGATGACAGACTCTGAGACAGTTAGAAACAATATTATCTTGCCTTGACCTCAACTCTGTCCCATTTTTTTCTGTCTTTCCCAATATGTTATTCATATGTAGGCTACAGTTGAAATGTTGTGAAGCACGTTCTGTGAAGTGAAATAGAGTGTGACTCTTGCCTTTAGACTGGACATGTTTTCTTTGTTGTACGATGTGGGACGCACACACACACACACACACACACACACACACACACACACACACTTTCCCTTTGTTTAAGCTTTATTTGGACAAAACACAGCTTATCTGGAGACTCAACACAGCAAGGTCACAGACACAACCTGACACAAACTCAACCAGGTGTATAATACACATTGGGACATTTATTAATGAACCATTCTACCATGTCTCAGAATAGAATAGTATGGACCAGAACATAATGGATAGAATATAATATTGTAGAATAGAACTACAGTGGGGAGAACAAGTATTTGATACACTGCCGATTTTGCAGGTTTTCCTACTTACAAAGCATGTAGAGGTCTGTAATTTTTATCATAGGTACTCTTCAACTGTGAGAGACGGATTCTAAAACAAAAATCCAGAAAATCACATTGTATGATTTTTAAGTAATTAATTTGCATTTTATTGCATGACATAAGTATTTGATACATCAGAAAAGCAGAACTTAATATTTGGTACAGAAACCTTTGTTTGCAATTACAGAGATCATAAGTTTCCTGTAGGTCTTGACCAGGTTTGCACACACTGCAGCAGGGATTTTGGCCCACTCCTCCATACAGACCTTCTACAGATCCTTCAGGTTTCGGGGCTGTCGCTGGGCAATACAGACTTTCAGCTCCCTCCAAAGATGTTCTATTGGGTTCAGGTCTGGAGACTGGCTAGGCCACTCCAGGACCTTGAGATGCTTCTTACGGAGCCACTCCTTAGTTGCCCTGGCTGTGTGTTTCGGGTCGTTGTCATGCTGGAAGACCCAGCCACGACCCATCTTCAATGCTCTTACTGAGGGAAGGAGGTTGTTGGCCAAGATCTCGCGATACATGTCCCCATCCATCCTCCCCTCAATACGGTGCAGTCGTCCTGTCCCCTTTGCAGAAAAGCATCCCCAAAGAATGATGTTTCCACCTCCATGCTTCACGGTTGGGATGGTGTTTCTTGGGGTTGTACTCATCCTTCTTCTCCCTCCAAACAAGGCGAGTGGAGTTTAGACCAAAAAGCTCTATTTTTGTCTCATCAGACCACATTACCTTCTCCCATTCCTCCTCTGGATCATCCAGATGGTTATTGGCAAACTTCAGACGGGCCTGGACATGCACTGGCTAGAGCAGGGGGACCTTGCATGCGCTGCAGGATTTTAATCCATGACGGCGTAGTGTGTTACTAATGGTTTTCTTTGAGACTGTGGTCCCAGCTCTCTTCAGGTCATTGACCAGATCCTGCCGTGTAGTTCTGGGCTGATCCCTCACCTTCCTCATGATCATTGATGCCCCACGAGGTGACATCTTGCATGGAGCCCCAGACCGAGGGTGATTGACCGTCATCTTGAACTTCTTCTATTTTCTAAAAATTGCGCCAACAGTTGTTGCCTTCTCACCAAGCTGCTTGCCTATTGTCCTGTAGCCCATCCCAGCCTTGTGCAGGTCTACAATTTTATCCCTGATGTCCTTACACAGCTCTCTGGTCTTGGCCATTGTGGAGAGGTTGGAGTCTGTTTGATTGAGTGTGTGGACAGGTGTCTTTTATACAGTTAACGAGTTCAAACAGGTGCAGTTAATACAGGCAATGAGTGGAGAACAGGAGGGCTTCTTAAAGAAAAACTAACAGGTCTGTGAGAGCCGGAATTCTTACTGGTTGGTGGTTGATCAAATACTAATGTCATGCATTAAAATGCAAATTAATTACTTAAAAATCATACAATGTGATTTTCTGGATTTTTGTTTTAGATTCCGTCTCTCACAGTTGAAGTGTACCTATGATAAAAATTACAGACCTCTACATGCTTTGTAAGTAGGAAAACCTGCAAAATCGGCAGTGTATCAAATACTTGTTCTCCCCACTGTATGTCCTCCGAGGGGAACTGCTTTGCACAGTCTTGTTTACTTGAAACAAAACAGTAAACACATGTACACTACCGGTCAAAAGTTTTGGAGCACCTACTCATTCAAGGGTTTTTCTTTATTTTTTACTATTTTCTACATTGTAGAATAATAGTGAAGACATCAAAATGATGAAATAACGCATATGGAATCATGTAGTAGCCAAAAAAGTGTTAAACAAATCAAAATATATTTTATATTTGAGATTATTCAAAGTAGCTCCCTTTGCCTTGATGACAGCTTTGCACACTCTTGGCATTCTCTCAACCAGCTTCACCTGGAATGCTTTTCCAACAGTCTTGAAGGAGTTCCCACATATGCTGAGCACTTGTTGACTGCTTTTCCTTCACTCTGCGGTCCGACTCATCCCAAACCATCTCAATTTGGTTGAGGTCGGGGGATTGTGGAGGCCAGGTCATCTGATGCAGCACTCCATCACTCTCCTTCTTGGTAAAATAGCCCTTACACAGCCTGGAGGTGTGTTGGGTCATTGTCCTGTTGAAAAACAAATGATAGTCCCACTAAGCGCAAACCAGATGGGATGGCGTATAGGTGCGGAATGCTGTGGTAGCCATGCTGGTTAAGTGTGCCTTGAATTCTAAATAAATCACAGACAGTGTCACCAGCAAAGCACCCCCACACCATAACACCTCCTCCTCCATGCTTTACAGTGGGAAATACACATAAAGAGATTCTCCGTTCACCCACACCGCATCTCTCAAAGCCACGGCGGTTGGAACTAAAAATCTCAAATTTGGACTCCAGACCAAAGGACAGATTTCCACCGGTCTAACGTCAATTGCTCATGTTTCTTGGCCCAAGCAAGTCTCATTTTCTTTTTGGTGTCCTTTAGTAGTGGTTTCTTTGCAGCAATTCAACCATGAAGGCCTGATTCACACAGTCTCCTCTGAACTGCTGATGTTGAGATGTGTCTGTTACTTGAACTCTGTGAAGCATTTATTTGGGCTGCAATTTCTGAGGCTGGTAACTCTAATGAACTTATCCTCTGCAGCAGAGGTAAATCTGGGTCTTCCATTCCTGTGGCGGTCCTCATGAGAGCTGGTTTCATCATAGCGCTTGATGGTTTTTGCGACTGCACTTGAAGAAACATTCAAAGTTCTTGAAATGTTCCGTATTGACTGACCTTCATGTCATAAAGTAATGATGGACTGTCGTTTCTCTTTGCTTATTTGAGCTGTTCTTGCCATAATATGGACTTGGTCTTTTACCAAATAGGGCTATCATCTTTATACCACCCCTAACTTGTCATAACACAACTGATTGGCTCAAACGCATTAAGAAGGAAATAAATTCCACAAATTAACTTTTAACAAGGCACAAATGTTAATTGAAATGCATTCCAGGTGACTACCTCATGAAGCTGGTTGAGAGAATGTCAAGAGTGTGCAAAGCCCTCATCAAGGCAAACAGTGGCTACTAAAGAAGAATCTCAAATATAAAATATATTTTGATTTGTTTAACACTTTTTTGGTTACTACATGATTCCATATGTGTTATTTCATAGTTTTGATGTCTTCACTATTATTTTACAATGAAACTTTTGACCGGTAGTGTATATGTTTTTATTAATATCATAACATATTGATAACATTTTTGGAGAAGAAACCTGTCAACCCTATCTTGTTATGATCGGACTAAGTAACGGTGCATTACAGCCCATGTTTAACTAATGTAAACTCAGAGGTATGTTATGAAGGCTTCTGGAGCCAGTCAGCATTCTGTGTTGAAGGTAAACAGATGTAAACAGTACGAAAGCCTGGTCAGTCTCTCCCTGAGCCCCTAGCCGTCAGTCACTGGGCAACAGGTGCCTGTGAGATGATGGGACCTATGTGGAACTAAGCGTTCAGCCACCCAATCACACGATACACAGTAAAGTCCTGGACACAGCTACAAAGATCCTTTCTCAATTAGTATCACAGTTATATATAGTGGATATTAGAGAGGCTGTTGCGTGTGTGTCTGGGGGGGTGTGGGGTCTGTTTGTGCGTGTGCGTGTCTGCATGTCTGCGTGTGTGTGTAGTGCTTGCCTTTGCTAAGACAGGAGAGTTCCAAAATATAGAAGCTTGTTAACAGTCTAGACCATGGTCATCTTACAACAGGTGTTTCATCATTGTTTGTGTATGGACATGACATGACCTTTCTAGATGGTCCATCCTCTCTATATCCTTCACTCAATCCCACAGTCCTCGCGTCTCTTTATGAACAACCACACAATTCCATCATTGTAACAGTGAGGTGTTGTGTTCTTGTGTGTGTCCACTACAGACAGTGACCGGAACCCTTGCTCTCTCAGTGTTCACCGCTGTATTGGGCTCCTTTCAGTTTGGATACAACATAGGTGTCATCAATGCTCCTCAGAAGGTAAGACCGACTTGCATTCATTAACCAGAGCTATTGATACAGAGTTTTGCAAAATGAGATTTAGAATTTCTATAGATGCCATGTTTGCACCAAAAGTGTTATCGTCATGAAAAATGGGTCTGCAAACATAGATGCTAGTGCCAGAACCAGTTGCATGCTTAAGTGTAATACATTTCAAAACCAGGTGAGATGGTTAAGCATCTCAATAACTTTAAACATTGAATTGTTCAATGTGTTGTCTCACATTTCATTTCACACACTGACAGGTGAGTGTGGCTGCAAAACTACCTGAGACAGGTTTAAAGGATCTGAATGATTTGAGCGATGTAGAATCTGAGAGGGGCATGTGAGGGAATAGAGTGAGTTGGCATTTACACAGATGTCCCCTTGATTCCACCCAGCTAAGCTCGGTCTTCAACGTTTCAACTGATAAAGGGCAGCGACTGAAAACAGCTCTCTGTGCTCTCTGAGTGAGTCATCACAGAGAGATGCTGTTGAAGAGCTGACCTGGGAATTAATACCTCTAGGATGACCTTTTCTAAAACCGATTATTGTTGTTGTTTTCTCTAAGGACCAGGTACACTACATGACCAAAAGTATGTGGACACCTGCTCGCAGAACATCTCATTCCAAAATCATGGGCATTAATATGGAGTTGGTACCCCCTTTTCTGCTATAACAGCCTCCACTCTTCTGGGAAGGCTTTCCACTAGATGTTGGAACATTGCTGCGGGGACTTGCTTCCATTCAGCCACAAGATCATTAGTGAGGTTGGGCACTGATGTTGGGCGATTAAGCCTGGCTCGCGGTCAGCGTTGCAATTCATCCCAAAGGTGTTCGATGGGGTTGAGGTCAGGGCTCTGTGCATGCCAGTCAAGTTCTTCCACACCGATCTTGACAAACCATTTCTGTATGGACCTTGCTTTGTGCACAGGGGCATTGTCATGCTGAAACAGGAAAGGGTTTTCCCCAAACTGTTGCCACAAAGTTGGAAGCACAGAATCGTCTAGAATGTCATTGTATGCTGTAGCGTTAAGATTTCCCTTCACTGGAACTAAGGGGCCTAGCCCGAACCATGAAAAACAGCCCCAGACCATTATTCTTCCTCCACCAAACTTTACAGTTGGCACTGTGTATTGGGGCAGGTAACGTTCTCCTGGCATCCGCCAAACCCAGACTCGTCCGTCGGACTGCCAGATGGTGAAGCGTGATTCATCACTACAGAGAATGCGTTTCCACTGCTCCAGAGTCCAATGGCGGCGAGCTTTACACCACTCCAGCCGACGCTTGGCATTGCGCATGGTGATCTTAGACTTCTGTGAGCTTGTGTGGCCTACCATTTCGCGGCTGAGCCGTTGTTGCTCCTAGACATTTCCACTTCACAATAACAGCACTTATAGTTGACTGGGGCAGCTTTAACAGGGCAGAAATTTGACGAACTGACTTGTTGGGAAGGTGGCATCCTATGACGGTGCCACGTTGAAAGTCACTGAGCTCTTCAGTAAGGTCATTCTACTGCCAATGTTTGTCTATGGAGATTGTATAGCTGTGTGCTCGATTTTATACACCTGTCAGCAACGGGTGTGGCTGAAATAGCCGAATCCACTAATTTGAAGGGGCGTCCACATACTTTTGTATATATAGTGTATTTGTCCACCAAGTACAGTCTATGGGACGGTTTCCTGGACACAGATTAAGACTAGTCCTGGACTAAAAAACATTCTCAATGGAGTTCTCCATTGAAAGCTATTTTTAGTCCAGGACTAAACCTAATCTGTGTTTTAAAAGCAACATGCTAATTTTAGTGCAAACAATTACAAATTGAAACTTGGTCGATGACTCGACATGTCAATAGTTGAGGGGGGATAGAAGATAGAAGCCATTGAGGGATTTAGAAGAGAGAGAGAGGGAAAGGGGGATGTATTCTTAGAGAATAGGAGATGGATACAGAGAGAGCGAGGAAGAAATCGATTGGATGCAAGAGAGGGAAAGAGCAGAAAGAGAGAGGGGTGGCCAGGGGAACATCTGAGTAATGTCAACACGAGGGGGTGTGTGCACAACATGCCGCATGACAAAACACACAGCGTTGCCAGAAATGCCCCCCCCTCCTCACCCCTCCACCCCTCACCCATCCACAAGCCTTCACAGTTCACACATCTATCCCCTCACTCCTCTACCCCCCCCCCCCATCTCAGGTATCCTTCACAGCTGAGGGGTGCAATCGGAGGCAGAGGGGGTTATGGCAGCGATTCTGGTGTCATGGGAAAAAGGAGCTATTTATGGCTTCTTTTTTGGGGGGGGGCGACACTCACAAGGTTCGCAGAGGGTTCACGCCGAGACAGAGACAAGGGCAGATGGTGTCGTGTTGGAAGTGGGACACTACATGGGACACGTCCAGGACAGCCTCCCTGTATCATATAGATGTAGTTACACGCTCTTGCTGCTATCTAGACGTTCCCTTAGATTCACTATTGTAAAGCCCCCTTCTCGTAAAAAGTTTTAGTCGGGGTTGGGTCATGGGGTTCTGATGTGGAAGTGGCATATATCAGAACATATATCTGCTAATTACTAATATATCGAATATATTGGAGCATACTGTATGTCAGCTACCATACATCAAATACACTGAGTATACCAAACATTAAGAACACCTACCTAATATTGAGTTGCACCCCCTTTTGCCCTCAGAACAGCCTCAATTCGTCAGGGCATGAAGTCTACAAGGTTTCGAAAGCGTTCCACAGGGATGCTGGCCCATGTTGACTCCAATGCTTCCCACAGTTGTGTCAAGTTGGCTGGATGTCCTTTGGGTGGTGGACCATTCTTGATATACATGGGAAACTGTTGAGCGTGAAAAACCCAGCAGCGTTGCAGTTCTTGACACAAACCGGTGCGCCTGGCACCTAATACCATACCCTCTTCAAAGGCACTTAAATATTTTGTCTTGCCCATTCAACCTCTGAATGGCACACATACACAATCCATGTCTCAATTGTCTCAAGGCTTAAAAATCCTTCTTTAACCTGTCTCCTCCCTTTCATCTACACTGATTGAAGTGGATTTAACAAGTGACATCAATAAGGGATCATAGCTTTCACCTGGATTCATCTGGTCAGTCTATGTCATGGAAAGAGCACATTATATCAAATGTAGCATCGGTTTTATGCTGCATATATTGCATTGTGGGTAGACAACAGTATCATTCAACTGATAGTATCTGTATTTAGATACAGCCAGTGAGTGAGTCAGACAGAGGAACAGACTTGGAGTCAGTGAGTTGTGTTACGAGAGGGGCCTTACAACCGACGTGGCTCCTCTGGGCATGAGTCCCGGTCCCTTGACCCTCTTTACGCACGGTGTCAAAACCTTGACCCCTGTGCCAAAACCTTGACCCCTGTGCCATCTATTAACTAGGCGAAACCCTCAGGCCCAAAATAACCTCTTGACTCAATCTATTTGTGTTAAATTACAGTTTAGTCACTTAGCAGACTCTCTTATCCAGAGCGACTTACAGGAGCCTTGCTCAGAGGCACACTAACAGATTTTTCATCTAGTCGGCTTGAACCAGCTACCTTTTGGTTACTGGCCCAACACTCTTAACCGCTAGGCTACCTGCCTAGGTAAGGGATTAATGAGTAGGAAGTTAGCCATATTGGCAGACAAGAGGCACAGAGTTTTGAGTGGTGGTTATAGCCGGCCTGCACAGAACAGTTTGTCCTAGTATTCACGCAAAGCATATCTCTCTCTGTTCCATTACCAAAGCATATCTCTCTCTGTTCCATTACCAAAGCATATCTCTCTCTGTTCCATTACCAAAGCATATCTCTCTCTGTTCCATTACCAAAGCATATCTCTCTCTGTTCCATTACCAAAGCATATCTCTCTCTGTTCCATTGCCAAAGCATTTATCTCAAGAAACAAGTAACACTTAGGCCTCGCATACACTTACTACCTAGATTCAGTATATGTGGCCCATGCCATCCCACTAGGCACAAAATGGTTGAATCCACATTGTTTCAACGTAATTTGTCAACGTATTGTGACGTGGAATTTATGTGGAAAATACATTAGATTTGGAAAAAAGTTAATCAACTTGTTTTGAGGGTAAAATTTTAACCACGGGGGTTATGTCATCATAGTAACCATAGTAACCAAATGTTAACATATTTTAAACTTTGTATAAAATATGTTGAATTTCTACCTTTAAAACAACGTCAGATCTTCAACGTTATATCCATTATCATAAAGGCAGCAGCACCTCCCACTGGAGAACTGATCTATCTACAGCTATCCTTTGGTCTCCCATCCAGGGTTTTAACCAAGCCCAGCTATGATATTTACCACTGACTATTACAAATCTATCATGAGAGTAATTGAGGAGCGATCTCCACTTAAAACCTAAATGGATTTACTGTTGCTATCGAGTCATTCCAAATGGTAGGTTTAACAGAGCAAATGAAATGTGACCATACTTTATCATTCATATATCATCAATGATGCAATTTAGAACTACATTATATAGCATTTGTCATCAATAGCTATTGTTTCAATTCAACCCAGGATTCAACTAAAAATAGACAATACATATGCCTAGGGTTTCAAGCTTTGGTTGATTTCAAATTGAATGATATTTAGTTATATTAAATTGTGTTTCGTTGTCAACACAACCAAATATCAATATTTGAAGGAGATGTATCTTCTGCTTGGATAGTTTCATCAGTGCCACTGACTTAGTCTGGCTTTAATTCCAGTTATTCTATAAATTAATAATTGATATGTTGGATTCATGTCTCCATCTCAACCAAAAGTCGAAGAATAGGACTAAATCAAATCAAACTTTATTTAAAGTGCATTTACAGTTTGATTTGATTTCGTTGCGATGGACACTTGAATCCAACAAATCAATTATTAATTTATAAAAAAAACTGGAATTAAAGCCGACAGTGGCACAGATGGAACTATCCAAACTATCCTTCAAATGTTGATATTTGGTTGTGTTGACAACCAAACACAATTCATTATCACTTTTGAAATATAATAAATAGCCTATTAACATGTCGACAAGTTAACTAATTATAAATTGGATTCACGTCTTCAATTCAACCAAAAATAAAAGTTCAAGAATGGGATTAAGCCAGTTGCTCAGATGCAACTATCCAAGCAGTAGGTACATCTCCTTTAAATGTTAATATTTGGTTCCGTTGTCAACCAAACACAATTCAATATTACTTTTGTAATACAGTAAATCATGCATGTTCAAGATAGTATGCATAGGTCATCGCAGGTCTGTGGAGATCTTCACAATTGCTGTAATAATCTGTACATAATCTAGAACGGCATTAATCACTTGTAATTTGTACTTTTACTGTGATGTAATCTTAACTGCAATCCAGGTCATTTGGTTCTGCTATTAGATGAAACACAGTGATAAGTAACACATGAATATGTTTTATAAATAAATAAAATATCTGAAATTGTATTCCCATTTGAACTTTGCTGTGCTTTTAAATGGTTGAATGTGCAGTGATTGACATTTGGGTGACAACTAAACCAAAAATCCGATATTGTTTTTAAATGGAATTTGGTTGTGCTTTTAGATGGTTGAAAGCATAGTGATAACACATTGGAAATTCAACTAACTTTTGGCTGTCGTTTTGAGTGGGTGAATATAGGTTGTAATTTAATTGATCAACGTCTCAACCAAATATTACCCAATTATCCACACTGAAATGACGTGGTGTGCCCAGTGGGATGCGGGAATCAAACCAACAACTCTGGTGTTGTACGAAGCACAACACTCCAACCAAACTGAAACAACTAAAGCAATTTTATCTTAACATTGTTGTCTTCCTGGCCTGGTCACAGATCTGTTTTTGTCTTACGAACTCCTATGGTCACTGTCATGCTGGGACAGCACAACCAGACCTGGGACCAGGCTATAGTCTTCCTAAGGAAAAATATTAGCTCCATTAAATGTCTCATATCTCTTCTCCTGCCTGTGCAGATCATTGAGGCGGACTACAACGCTACATGGGTGCATCGGTATGGAGAGCCCATCCCCAACAGTACCCTCACAACCCTCTGGTCCCTGTCCGTAGCCATCTTCTCTATAGGAGGCATGATCTCCTCCTTCTGTGTGGGTGTCATCTCAGAGTGGCTGGGCAGGTAGGAGAGATGATACACAGACACACAAACACACACAAACACACACACACACACACACACACACACACACACACACACACACACATACACACACACACACACACACACACACACACACACACACACACACACACACACACACACAGACACACACACACACACACACACACACACATACACACACACCACACACACACACACACACACACACACACACACACACACACACACCTGTAAACATCATAGCACATTCATTTTTTTGATTTTGCATAGATGTAGGTGCATAGACAGATGTATTCACTTACGCACAGACTTGTCTGCCAGACATAGACCTACACACTGATACACCCACATAATGCATGGTTGTCAACACTGCAACACATACACGTGTCATGTACATTCCCATGTATGTTCACATGAACATACCCTCCTAACCTTAACCCTTCAAAACCTGAACCTGAATTTCCATCCAGACGATGCTATTACGTGCATAGGGGAGCATAAAACATCACTCTGAATGGTTGATACCTAAGTCACAGCCCCAGACCGATATATTATCAGGGTATACCTCTCCTCTCCTAGATCCAACATGGTTCCCCATAGATAGTGTCAGTCAGTTTGATCCAACATGATTCCCCATAGATAGTGTCAGTCAGTTAGATCCAACATGGTTCCCCATAGATAGTGTCAGTCAGTTAGATCCAACATGATTCCCCATAGATAGTGTCAGTCAGTTAGATCCAACATGATTCCCCATAGATAGTGTCAGTCAGTTAGATCCAACTTGATTCCCCATAGATAGTGTCAGTCAGTTAGATCCAACATGATTCCCCATAGATAGTGTCAGTCAGTTAGATCCAACATGATTCCCCATAGATAGTGTCAGTCAGTTAGATCCAACATGATTCCCCATAGATAGTGTCAGTCAGTTAGATCCAACATGATTCCCCATAGATAGTGTCAGTCAGTTAGATCCAACATGATTCCCCATAGATAGTGTCAGTCAGTTAGATCCAACATGATTCCCCATAGATAGTGTCAGTCAGTTAGATCCAACATGATTCCCCATAGATAGTGTCAGTCAGTTAGATCCAACTTGATTCCCCATAGATAGTGTCAGTCAGTTAGATCCAACATGGTTCCCCATAGATAGTGTCAGTCAGTTAGATCCAACATGGTTCCCCATAGATAGTGTCAGTCAGTTAGATCCAACATGGTTCCCTATGGATAGTATCAGTCGGTCAGTCAAATCAAATCAAATCAAATTTGATTTGTCACATGCTTCGTAAACAACAGGTGTAGACTAACAGTGAAATACTTACTTACGGGCCCTTCCCGACAATGCAGAGAGAAAGATATAGAAAAAACTGTGGGAGCGACTGTGTCAGTCAGATCCAACATGGTTCCCTATGGATAGTGTCAGTCAGTCAGTCAGTCAGTCAGTGGGAGAAAGTGTTACTGGGCAGGGTTCGTGTTACAGGGCAGGGGCTCGACTCAGTTTCCCATTGTAACCCAAGCCAGAATCTTATCTGGACACAGACCCAGAGCCCTCCGTGATTGAAAGGGGATCCCAAAGGAATGGACAGGGGGTGGGAGTAAGGAAGCCGGAGCCGGTCTTTTCTCATACTGGGTGACATTAAACTCTCTTGACGAGTTGAATTGGTAAAACCTCACTTCTCAGCTTGAAATAACACCACCCGTGCCATCGAATTGCTAGCTTTTCGGTGACGCAGCTGGCTAAAGGTGTTCGGTGGGCAGTCACTCGGTGGGCAGTCACTCGGTGGGCGGTCACGTGGGTTTGCGAGACCGAGGTTCCAATATTGAATACCAGTGTGGGCTTGTGAGGAATGAAGCTATACTGTTGAGTAGCAGCATGAAGTCTGTTACATAACCTGTCTCTGTTTTAGCAGGTTTAACACACACACACACACACACACACACACACACACACGCTTGCATGCTACTAGCGGTGCTCTCCGTCTTAAATGCATTTGTCACTTTTCAATTGAAATAAGTGTTGGCGTATTACACATTTACTGAGATTCACTAGATTCAATTACTAGATTACTAGATTCAATTACTAAATTACTAGATTACTAGATTCACTAGATTAAATTACTAGATTACTAGATTCACTAGCTGTGACACTTTCTCCTATGACATTTTGTAACCTGGCTATATCAGACCAGAGGTATTATCTCTATTTTGTGGTCTGCCATCTAGAGGCTAAATGATGGAGTTGTCAAATACCTATTCTTGTACTGTCAAACAGCACACACAGTACTCACAAATATCCACTGTATTTCTGCTAACCAACAACCAATAACATGAAATGTACATCATATTTACTTATATTAAACCAATGATAATTCATATATTTCTCTTTATTCTGACAGGAGGAAAGCCATGCTCATTAACAACTTGTTTGCCTTCATCGGAGGAGGTTTGATGGGCATGGCCAAGATCAGCCGGTCCTTCGAGATGATGATTCTGGGACGATTCGTCATCGGTGCATACTGTGGTCAGCACATCCTGCAGATTGAGTTTCTCAGAAATGTATTTTGATGTGGTTTAATGCTGTTTGAATGGCTTTTCAGTGGTGTAGTTGTAGACAGACTATATTGTTTTCTATAATTGTAGATGAACAGTATTGATATGGCAATAACCAGTGAAATAGTTAATAGGAACCACTATCACTGCTCAGTTTTCACCACACCTTGGCGTACCAGTTTCTGAATCGGAGCCTCATTCTCTTTCTCCCAGGGTTGGCATCGGGGCTGGTGCCCATGTATGTGGGTGAGATAGCCCCTACCAGTCTGCGAGGGGCATTGGGCACGCTCCACCAGCTGGCTATCGTCACAGGGATTCTCATAGCACAGGTACAGCTCTCAGACGACACAATGGGTTTTTTCTACAGGCCAGAGAATGGTTTTCTACACAACACATCTATCTGAACATGCATTAAAGTAGTAAACGTCTCTCTCTCTCTCTCTCTCTCTCTCTCTCTCTCTCTCTCTCTCTGTCTGTCTCTGTCTCTGTCTCTGTCTGTATCTCTCTCTCTCTCTCTGTCTCTCTCTGTGTCTCTCTCTCTCTCTCTGTCTGTCTGTCTCTGTCCTTCCTTCCTTCACTCACTCACTCACTCACTCATTCACTCACTCACTCACTCACTCACTCACTCACTCACTCACTCACTCACTCACTCACTCACTTTCCTGTCCTCTCCCCCTTTCTACCCCCTCCTCCCTTCTCCTCAGGTCCTGGGTTTGGAGTCTTTGCTGGGCAGTGAGGAGTTGTGGCCAGTGCTGGTGGGTGTGACCGTTCTGCCCACCGTCCTGCAGATGGTGCTGCTGCCCTTCTGCCCCGAGAGCCCCCGCTTCCTCTACATCATCCGCAGCCAGGAGCACCACGCCAAGAGTGGTGAGGATCCAGTCACGGCCATGCCCCAATACTCTCTATTGGCCATGCCCCAATACTCTCTAATGGCCATGCCCCAATACTATCTAATGGCCATGCCCCAATACTCTCTAATGGCCATGTACCAATACTCTCTAATGGCCATGTACCAATACTCTCTAATGGCCATGTACCAGTACTCTCTAATGGCCATGTACCAATACTCTCTAATGGCCATGTACCAATGCTCTCTAATGGCCATGCCCCAATACTCTCTATTGGCCATGTACCAATACTCTCTAATGGCCATGCCCCAATACTATCTAATGGCCATGTACCAATACTCTCTAATGGCCATGCCCCAATACTCTCTAATGGCCATGTACCAATACTCTCTAATGGCCATGTACCAATACTCTCTAATGGCCATGTACCAATGCTCTCTAATGGCCATGTACCAATACTCTCTAATGGCCATGTACCAATACTCTCTAATGGCCATGTACCAATACTCTCTAATGGCCATGTACCAATACTCTCTAATGGCCATGTACCAATACTCTCTAATGGCCATGCACCAATTGTCTCTAATGGCCATGTACCAATAGTCTCTAATGGCCATGTACCAAAACTATCTAATGGCCTCTTTTGCTTGTCTCCTTTCTTTGTCTCTTTTTCTTGCTGGATGAATGGAGAGGACTACAAGCAGAACAGGGTCAGGGTTTGAATAACAGGGGGGCTAGGGAGTCTGGGCAACCCCAGAACAAGTCAGCCTCCCCCCACCACACACACACTCTGAAACCCATCTGAAGTTCTATTCTCAGCCTGACTCTCATTCCCGCTCATCCCTAGGCTTGAGGAGGCTGACTGGGAGGCAGGATGTGGGGGATATGCTGGCGGAGATGAAGGAGGAGAAGAGGAGGATGGACATGGAGAGGAAGGTGTCCATCGCAGAGCTCTTCCGCTCCCCCATGTACCGGCAGCCCATCATCATCGCCATCCTACTGCAGCTCTCACAACAGCTGTCCGGGGTCAATGCTGTGAGTACTAGAGGAGGGAGGAGAGTGGGGAAGATTGTGTGTGTGTGTGAGGATCTTTGTCAAGGACTTTATTGTGTGATTGGGTGATTGAACGCTGAGTTCCATATAGTTTCCATCATCCCACAGGCACCTGTTGCCACGGTGACTGATAGCTAGAGGTTCTGGGAGAGACTGACCAGGCTTTCCTACTGTTTACATCTGTTTACCTTCAACACAGAAAGCTGATTGGCTGCAGAAGCCTTCACAACATACCTCTGAGTTTACAATAGTTAAACATGGGCTGTAATGCACCGTTACTTAGGTCGTATCCTATCATAGATAGATAGGGTTGACAGTTTCTTCTCCAAAAATGTTATCAATATGTTACGTTATTAATAAAAATAGTATACCAAACATTAAGAACAACTTCCTAATAATGAGTTGCACCCCCTTTTGCCCTCAGAACAGCCTCAATTCGTCTGGGCATGGACTCTACAAGGTGTCGAAAGCGTTCCACAGGGATGCTGGCCCATGTTGACTCCAATGCTTCCCACCGTTGTGTCAAGTTGGCTGGATGTCCTTTGGGTGGTGGACCATTCTTGATACATACGGGAAACTGTTGAGCGTGAAAAACCCAGCAGCGTTGCAGTTCTTGACAAACTCAAACCGGTGCGCCTGGCACCTAGTACCATACCCCGTTCAAAGGCACTTCAATATTTTGTCTTGCCCATTCACCCTCTGAATGGCACACATACACCGTCCATGTCTCAATTGTCTCAAGGCTTAAAATTCCTCCTTTAACCTGTCTCCTCAACTCCATCTACACTGATTGAAGTGGATTTAACAAGTGACATCAATAAGGGATCATAGCTTTCAGTCCTTTCCTCCTCATAGTCCTCTGTAGCTCAACTGGTAGAGCACGGCGCTTGTAACGCCAAGGTAGTGGGTTCGATCCCCGGGACCACCCATACACAAAAATGTATGCACGCATGACTGTAAGTCGCTTTGGATAAAAGCGTCTGCTAAATGGCATATTATATTATATATTATACCTGGATTCACCTGGTCAGTCTGTCATGGTGTTCCTAATGTTTTGTATAGTCAGTGTACATGGAGTGTTTACTGTTTTGTTTTATTTCAACTAAACAAGACTGTGCAAAGCAGTTCCCCTCGGAGGACATAGTTCTATTCTACAATATTCTATTCTATACATTATGTTCTGGTCCATTCTATTCTATTCTGAGACATGGTAGAATGGTTCATTAATAAATGTCCCAATGTGTATTATACACCTGGTTGAGTTTGTGTCAGGTTGTGTCTGTGACCTTGCTGTGTTGAGTCTCCAGATAAGCTGTGTTTTGTCCAAATAAAGCAAAAAAAAGGGAAAGTGTGTGTGTTCAAGCTAATCCACAGGCAATCCTCTTTGGCCATTTTCACAATTGTAATCATTGTTAGAATGGGCAATTCCACCGTTACACAAACCATACAAACATACATATGTTCCTTGACCAACCATCTTCTATCTCTCTCCTCTCCAGATCTTCTACTACTCCACCAGTATCTTCCAGAAGGCAGGGGTCCAGAGCCCTGTCTATGCCACTATAGGAGCCGGCGTGGTTAACTGTGCCTTCACTGTGGTCTCGGTATGCTAGCAAGGTCCTGTAACCAGGCACCTCCATTACTGTTTAACTCTACACCTTTATTACTGAACAAAGAAGATAACGTAGTGAGTCGACCCAACCTAGTATTTCCCCTTCAAATAGGCCAGATTTGGGTTGCCAGGTCCTGATTTGTTTTTTGAATTATTGATTGGGTTGACGGTTGATCTTTGATTTTAAAATGCTAACTTCTCTAGTTAAGCCATCACTTTTGTGTTTGCATCCTGTAGAAAGCTCCTACATAAAATAGTATTTATCTATGTCCAAATCAGATTGGAGAATGGCTTAGGCAAACGCCAGTTGGAAAGTTTAGGCAGAATCGGCTGCAAAGTTTTGCCTGAGTTAAAAATGAGCGAGTATGACCCGGACCTGTTGTTACTGACCTGTTTGTCACCCTGTTCTCATCCAATCAACAGCTATTCCTGGTGGAGAGGACGGGTCGCCGGACGCTACACATGCTGGGGCTGTCTGGAATGTGCGGCTGTGCCGTTGTCATGACGATGGCTCTCGCCCTATTGGTCAGTCCCACACGAATACCAACAAGCTCATTAAACTATTAAAATGTTATCATAATGCCAACTTTGGTGGACTGGGATCATGTACCCATAGAGATAAAATTACTACACTGAACAAAAATATAAACGCAACATGTAAAGTGTTGGTCCTTGTGCTGGGGACAATAAAAGGCCAATCTAAAATGTGCAGTTTTGTCACACAACACAATGCCACAGATGTCTCATGTTTTTGAGGGAGCGCGCAATTGGCATACTGACTGCAGGAATGTCCACCAGAGCTGTTGTCAGAGAATTGAATGTTAATTTCTCTACCATAAGCCGCCTCCAACGCCATTTTAGAGAATTTGGCAGTATGTCCAACCGGCCTCACAACCGCAGATCACGTGTATGGCGTTGTGTGGGCGAGCGGTTTGCTGATGTCAACGTTGTGAACAGTGTGCCCCATGGTGGCAATGGGGTTATGGTATGGGCAGGCATAAGCTACGGACAACAAACACAATTGCATTTTATCGATGGCAATTTGAATGCGACGAGATCCTGAGGACCATTGTAATGCCATTTATCCACCGCCATCACCTCATGTTTCAGCATGATAATGCACGGCGCCATGTCGCAAGGATCTGTACACATCTCTGTTCTTCCATGGCCTGCATACTCACCAGACATGTCACCCATTGAGCATGTTTGGAATGCTCTGGATCAACGTGTACGACAGCGTGTTCCAGTTCCCTCCAATATCCAGCAACTTCACACAGCCATTGAAGAGGAGTGTGACAACATTCCACAGGCCACAATCAACAGCCTGATCAACTCTATGCTACAGAGATGTCGCGGTGCATGAGGCAAATGGTGGTCATAACAGATACTGACTTGTTTTCTGATCCATGCACCTAGATTTTTTTTCCTTATATGAACTGTAACTCAGTAAAATCTTTGAATGAATTGCATGTTGCGTTTATATTTTTGTTCAGTATAGAAGGGGTCCCCCATTCAAGTCAATGAGGCCATAATGGGTGATATGGCTATTTCTATGCATGTACCACAGGTAGCTGGTGGCACCTCAGTTGGGGAGGACGGGCTCATAGTAATGGCTGGAATGGAATGGTATTGACACATCAAACACATGGTTTTTGATACCATTCCATTCAAGTCATTTATGAGCAGTCCTCCACTCACCAGCCATGTACCTCTCTCTGGCTAAACCGTCTCCTCCTTTCCCTTGGCAGGACAGTGTTCCCTGGATGAGCTACATCAGCATGCTGGCCATCTTTGGCTTCGTGGCCTTCTTCGAGGTGGGCCCAGGCCCCATCCCCTGGTTCTTTGTGGCTGAGCTCTTCTCCCAGGGCCCCAGGCCCGCTGCTATGGCCGTGGCCGGATTCGCCAACTGGACAGCTAACTTCATTATCGGCTTTGGCTTCCAATATGTCGCTGTAAGTAGAGTGGTCACTTTGGTGTTTTGGGGTATTTTGGGATGACTTTTGATTGTATGATACCGGATATTGATCAGTGAAGTGGATTGGATGGTGTCTGACTGAGTTGAACTGTTGAGTGAATTAATGTTTTTCATGATACATCAGTGAACATATTCCCTCCTCTCCCGCTCCACAGGAGCTTTGTGGGCCATATGTCTTCCTCATCTTCGCCGCTCTCCTGCTCTTCTTCCTCATCTTCACCTTCTTCCGGGTGCCGGAAACGCGGGGGAAGACGTTCGACCAGATCTCCACCGCCTTCAGCCAACACTCGCCCACCATGATGGATATGAACCTGGACATGGAGCTGGGCAAACCCAGCACAGAGCTGGACTACCTGGGGGAGGAGGGGAGCCTCAACTGAGGGGGTCCCCATAGTGCAACTGGGGAAGGCAGGCAGACGAGGCCAGACAGACTGTGTGGTGGTGGGGGTGGGCAGGGGAAGGGGGTAGAGGAGTAGAAAAGGATACTGGGAGTGGGCTTGGGCCTCATTCCAAACATCCTTTCACCGTTTATCAATTTGTGTCTAGGCATATCGAGTAGGGAAGGAGGGGGGAGGGTTGGTCGAGGGATAGGGAGATGGAATCTGTTTGGAATGGGGCCCATAGTTGATGCAATAGCTGCCACTGGGGAATTACATGAGTGAGAAATGTTGGCAGAATCAGGGGTTGCAGGAGTCGATTCAAGGAAAAGGTTGCGCAACATTACGAAGCATTGTGCCAACTGAACACACACCAGAAAGGGTGAAGGGTCAGTGGGGTGATCAGGAACAAGAATGTTTCTGAACTTTGAGGTGTGTTTACTCCCTCCCCCCCAGGTGTACATGTACTGATGGGGGTGGAGATTTGATTATGTGAGACTGCACAGATGTTCGATGGAGGGAAAGAGAATTGGAGAAACTGGTATTCCTGCACTTTATCTACAAAGACATCGGAGGTTTTCAGAGATTGAGAGAAGCTGGTTACAATAGGAAAACAGCCAGTGTAAAAACCATGTACCTTTTTACAGTGAGCAAAGTTATGGTGTGTGGCAGACTGATGTATGATTTTATTTCTGCTCAAGTTAATGGAAGTGTCAGTGTCTCATAGTTGGCTAACCACTCCACTGCTAACAACCCACGTCCCCATTGGAAGTGTCCTTAAACTTGATTTCTCAAAATGGTGGATGGCTTTAACATGCAACTCATTACACAGCCTACAGAGACTATACTTTTACTTAGAGGAAATCCTGTATTTAGTACTTAATGTATATCGTGTTCTGGTTTGCTTGACAAAAACAAAAAATGGTACGAGGGTCTACAAATACTCAAACTTTACGCAGTCCAATATACGAGTACGTCTTTGGTTTCTATATGGGACCGGGCCCCAAGTGAGCACTACTAGTATTCATCATTCTAGTAGTTTCCAAAAAGTAGTCCTACTTCTGTTGATATGGCAACAGGCCTCGGTTTGATTGCTACCGTAGTAGCCATCCATCCCTAAACTACTATGTGTGTGCTGTTTGCTGTCCATTCTGTACTGGTTTGAGTGACTGTCTTCGTGAAGATTTGTATTGAGCAACTGTACGAAGAGGACCTGTGATTTATGTAAAGTGTGAAAATTGATGCAGTGTTTTGACGTGGTTCGTGTGACAATTGTCCCCATTTGACAAACACGGGCATTTTGAGGACTCAACATTTCAGAGTGTCATTTCATTAATTAGCATCCCCAGAAATGTGTCAAATTACATTCAAATAAGCTATATCAAATATACTGCAACTTAATTCATGTTATAGTTTAGATCAAACGTATGACTGAGGCTCCTGTTCTAGATGCTGCTGGAGTTTGAGTTGAAGAAATTAAAATAATTTAACTCCAGTTTTATCCCACTAAATGTGATTCAAGACATTTTACATTGCACTGAGTGTAATGTGGGCATAAAATGACATAACTACATTGTAGTCTTTGCAAACATGATTTTTATAGACATCTTGATCAACCGACATTGCACATAATCCCCTCCAAAAGAAAAGCGCATACAAAAATAAGCATAACGAATTGAAGACATTTTTATTTTATTTTTTACCAGCCTCGATTATCAAATAGGGGGTGGGCAGCAGCTTTTTTTAGAATCTAGGGGTGGCAAGGGTCTCGTCGCAGCTCCCGGACCGTACCACACACACCTGCTTTGCTTTCATGTTATCAAACTTAAATAGAGGCTGGATCCTCTCTAATGCTTGTGCCCATTCTCAGTCAATTAAAGAACACTAGCTGGGGGTTTGTGGAATAACTGGGCATCCAAGCAGGTTTTTAATACACCTTTTTATAAAAAAAATGAAAGGGTGGGGGGGAAGTATTTTCTCATTTGTAAACACACCCCCCATATAACTTCCTCTCCTCCCCGTCCCCCCCTTCTCCCATATGCAGTGTCTAGACAAGTCGGGGGGAGGCAGACATTAAAACACAAAATAAACTGAACAAAAATAATGCCAAAACTTAAAACTTCCAACCTGACAACGCAAGCAGTGGGTCCCACAGGATTTGAGCCTTCAATTGGCAACCAAATTACACCTGCAATATAGGTGGCCTTTCATTGAACACCAGAATGTCCCAAAATTATAAATTAAACAGGAAAAGCATCTTCAACACCTGGTGCTTGCCATCCCTTCAGAAGACTTGTGTACTTCCTCTAAAAACCATACGTAGAAAAATAACTAATGAATGGAACTAAATGGTCACATACTAGTGCCATCAGCTAGGAAACGCAAGAGGCACAACCCTAAACCCTCCTCCACCCAACCCCTGAAAGGTTGCATGAGTTTAGCACTGGGTCCCACCGCTTGCCTGGGGTCGCGTGACGCCATCCGCTCACAGACGTCATTCTGCGGCCATGGGAACTGTCGTGGCAGGTGCCTGGAAAGGAAGATTTCTAGACTTAGTTGGCCCATAACTATCCAATGAATCGATATTCAAATGATGAAACTGTACATAAAGGAATACCTACAGTAAGACTTCAGTAGCCAAGTTAAGACCAGTTACAACAGTTAGTAAAAGCAAGAGGGAGTATTGAAAAGACTTTGGGGTGCCTCTTACCTCTGGTGAATTGGGGATGGTTTTGGGGGAGGACTTGGGGGACATCCTGGGGGAGCCTTTAGGGGAGGACTTCGGAGAGGCCTTGAGGTCAGCTGGCTTGGAGGTCTGAGGGAGGGTGCTAGGCTCCAAAGCTGGCTTCTCTGTCCCATCCTAAGATATGAACAGAGGGGAAACTTAGCAACGTAACATCGTATTATTTTGTACGGGGGGAAACTTTGCATCGTAACATTACACAGGCAGCATTGAGCAGCTCACTTTAGAGACAGAGTTCGACTCAGAGTTCCTCTGCCTGCGGCGGCTGAACTGTCGGCGGGGTTTCTGGACGTCTTCATTGGCCTGCTTCCCGTTTGTCTGCTGGCCCTCCTGGGCCCCCTTCGCCTCCTTCACCTCCTTCTGCCCGTCCGCTGCCTGGCCTTCTAGTCTCTCGGTGAGGGCGCTGACCTCCTGCTGACCCTCCCCGGGGGGTGGGCGAGGGCGGAATGGCCTGAGAAGGTTAGATGGCGTGGGACAAAGTCAAACGTGCGCAGCCAAATAGGCCTAAAAAGATATCCACAAACTGCTAAGATCCATTGACATTTTAACATCCCATCCCAAATAAACTAGCCGGCACAAAAACACCATGTCACGAGTCTCACCTGCGGAACCTGCGCGGTGGCGGCCTCTGCTGGTCGCCTTCCACTGCCTCGCCCTGGGGAGAGAACAGACAGCACGACACTTGAGGGGAAAACAGATTACACAACAGATATTCACAGGAGGTCCAACCTTCAACCCCTTTCCTCCATTTGCAGACATTTACGAACTGGACAGGAGGAAGCAAATTCCTAGTAAAGGAATCTGGACAAGTGGAAGCAAATTGCTGGTAGTAAATTCCATTCAACATTACTTTGTCCATCCGTTTTTCTCTTCAAATAAGTCGACATGAATGAGGGGACTTTCAACTGTTGGGATGCACCTTTTCATCCTCCTCCTCCTCCTCCTCCTCACCTCTTGTCCTTCCCGTCTTGGTCGGCGGGGCCTGCGTCGTCGCGGTGCCGGTCGTTCTCCGCCATTCTCCCCTCCCCCTTCGCCTTCCGAGGTGGGGACAGAGGTGCCGTCACCCTTCTCGTCATCGGGCCGAGGGCTGCGAGGGGAGAAGCGGCGGCGGAAGCGACGTTTGTTGGGCGCATAGCGGCTGCCTTTGACAGGAACGCTGCCAGGCCCGGTCACATTGGCTGCCTCCGAACCCTGAGGGGGAAAGAGAGAGCTTGTAGGAGAGATATTTAAAACAATGATGTCCTTGAATTCTCAATGTGCAATTCAAACAGTTTGAGTGACATTCAAATGAAAGGGATAGTTCACTCAATCTTCCCCATTCATTTGACATTTCTCCAACTGCATAAAGCTGCACACCTTATGGTATAAAACTGAACTTCACTTACAACTAAGTCAGAGGCACGAAAAGGTCTGTCAAGATTAGATTTGTGTGAACTATCCCTTTAAGGCTTGTTAATAATGGGTGATATAAAATTAAGACCATTCTTACAGGTTTGCCTACCTTGGCGGCCTCGACCACGTCAAACTCCACCACCTCCCCGTCCCCAACACTGCGAAGGAACTTCCTGGGGTTGTTCTTCTTGATGGCAGTCTAAACAGCAGATGGATTGGGTGATGTGATACAGGGTTGTATTCACTAGTCAAACAGAAGAAAACAGACAAACAGAGGGGGACTACCTGAACTGATCCAATAAGAAACCCTTGTTTTCCCATTGTAAAACAGTGTGCACTAATGAATGTGACCCAGTGGTATGAAGCAGCAGGTGCTCTTCCTGACATGGACTTCATCTTGCTGGGCTTACCTGATGAACAAAGACATCTTCTTTGGTGTCGTTTCTGAGAGGGGAAAAATAACATCAGTTATGACAACTCCCATCCATGTTAAGATGTCAGATACCTGTATTATAGAGCGCATGCATTGTGTCAAATGAAATGCCCAATGAGTGTACAGTTCAATTGCACATCAGACCACCACATTACACAAAATTAATTATTCAGGGTACAGTCTTGTGCATAACATGGTACCTGTTGATAAAGCCATATCCATTACGCACGTTGAACCATTTCACGGTGCCTTGGACTGCAGTGGCTGCAACAACAACGATTTTTTTTTTTTTTACCTTTATTTTGTTAGGGCGTCATGCTGGGACCAAGGTGTCTTTTACAGATGAGCCCTGAATACACTTCAATACACACATCAATAAACGAAAAGTAAAAATCATAGAAAAGGTCCTCAATCAGCCTTTTGGATAAATACTATGTCACAAATATTAAATTCAAGTCAAAATTCAAGTCAATTATCCATCAATGAATAGCGTTTGAAGCCTTAAAGGGAAAATATTATATTACAATCATTTGTAAAATGTTCTCCCTTATCTCAACCAAAGCGCTTTAAGCTGCAGAATATGGCATTCGTGTCAATCATTAACAATACTTGAGTAGAACCTACGGACTAGGTCAAGTGGGACTAGTATTTCCTGTGAAAACAGTTATAGTTTCAACATCGTAGTTTGTGCAGAAGTGCAATACATGAGTACACCTAGCAGTTTGATTGATGTAACTAAAATTAAAAAAAAAGGTAATTTCCACCTCTATTGGACTGTTGAATGGCAACTTCAGTCAAAGAATTTGCACCACAGCGCAATGTAATGCTGAAAACATTTTATGAAAGCCCAGGACGTGGCAAATAAGTATGGACAAGTGATCATTTTGATCCGAAGTACTGTCAGATGGGAAATCAGACTTCAAATCGATGATCAAGCAATGACCTACACCTGTGAACGAATTCCCTCCCCCTTGGAACACGTGACATCTGATAAAGTGAAATTAGGGTATTATTGTGACACCATTAGCCTACATTCAACCACGTCAATAACTCAAAATGTTTGTTTTGATAATGAATTAAAATCCGATAAAAACGGTGTGCATCTATACAGGTTGGCACATCAATACCAACCGCACAAATCCGCGAGGGGTCATTTGAGAAAACTTGTCATATGCGCTTGTTGAATAATATTTGTCTCAGCATTGATGTCCTAATCTTATAATGGAGCAAACATTAAATCAAATGATATTAAATTGTATTCATCCCAAGTCCGTGCGTAAAATATGATGGACGTGAAACTCGAGAAACGAAACACTCCAAAAACTGCTTAGGTTCAGCACAATTTGACCTGGGTGTACAATGTGGGCTACTCCCATAGATTAACATTACCCAAGACCTACTAACTGACAGACACTGAAAACATAGCCTACGCACTTTCCAGCTACCCACTTTTTAGCCTACTGACATCTTTTACGCATTGATTTGAAACACCTGGCCAACGTTGCTGGCTTGGTAAATCCACACACATATAACACTAACAAATTCTTCAAACTTTTGACAAGGAAGATCTCTTTGCCACTAGTAATTCTACTTTCCCTACCTATAATTTTTCTCTCCGGCTGTGGCGGTTCTTCCACCGGTGCCGACGATGGGGCGCTCTGCGCTTCTGTGTCGGTCATACTCGTACGGATACACGTTTACAATAATGCCCCCCTCCTGTCCAAACTTGCTCAGACCGCCACCGCAAACTTTTTATCCAGACAAACGCCCAAGATTCACGACGTTAACCGCGCCTTCATTGGTTTCATAATAGCCAATCCAGCAGTCTCATTGGCTCAGCAAGGAATGCAATTGGAAGGGCCAAGGCCGCGAATAATGACAGGTTTGAAATTGAAAGCAGGTAGGTAGACCGGTGATAGCCTGAATGAGGTGTTGTTATGCATGCAACCTCTCAGGACTGTAAACCAGCGGGCATGGCCTATAGGATGTACAAATTATTCTGAAAGCAAAAAGCATAGGAAACATTAACATAGGAAACATTAGCATAGGAAACATTAGCATAGGAAACAATGTGTGTTTAAAACTCAGTGGAATCCAGATGGCCTATCTATCATATACATAGGCTACTATATCTTATTGGTGTTACCTTCTCCTATAGCATGAGTAATGAGCTTATTATATATATTTAATAATAATAATACAACAATAACGCACAAAGTAGGCTCTAGCCTAATGCATACTTAGGCTTAGCCTAATTGGTCAGTCAATAATGTAGGCTAAATAGCCCCCATATCCTGCTTGTCTAGTCTGTTGCTACAGGCCCTAGGCAACTACAGAACCACACCCTGGTGTGCACCTGTCTCTCTGTTGTGGATATTACAGCTCGTGCTGTACATTAGACACAGTCCCGCGCCAAATCAGTCAGCACAAACACCCCAGGCAGACATGGTCATCAAAAGGCCCCGGCCCCTCGACTTTTCTCAGGCCCATGCCCTGACTCGCATGTCACCAGTCCCAACTCTCCCCACCCCTCCATTTTACCTCAGCGCCTCCACCTGGCCCTTTGGCCCTCCATACATAGGTCATGGGATTCATGTTTCACTGGGATAAATTTAACCCAGCGCCTCCACGAACTGCCAAGTTCTTCGGGGCCAACCACTGGACACTGACTGTGACTGCCACCATGTCAATACCACCATTGGGGGCAATACCACCACAGGTAGCTTCTCACAAAGTGCAAAGACTTTTACCAATAATAAGACGCTGTTATTAGGCCTGGCCTACATCAGCAACATATATTCAGCATTAAAACCAGAACCCCCTAAAACCTAAATCTACTTAAAACAAAAAAAAAGGTTTAACATTTTACTATAGCATAATATTGCCTTGAAAATCAAATATGGTGAAGGGTAAGGGTTCATTTTCTATTGAGGCTTCGGTCAGTATCCGAGTGTGTGTAATTGTTTTTATGTGTTGCGTTTACATTCAATTGCATATGCATAGTAGCATTATGCATAGGATAGGATTGATGTCAAACGGAAGGACACGGATGGTAAACACATGATTCTGCCAGTGTCTGTTTGTGCTAAGTTGGAGATCATAGACTCGAATGTTAGACTCAACGTTCATATCTGTTGATAGTATTGCCGTCAGACTACTGAAGGCACATGGACCAAGGACAGGGGTTGTTGGTGTTATTGTATCGTGTGACTTCCTGATGTTGTGAGATTCTCTCTGGTGTTTACAGAACACTGGAGCTGTGAGATAAGGATATCAGTGCCGGCTTAGACAAATCAGTTGTAGTAGTTGAGCATGTACCAATGAATGGCTGCAGTATAGCCGTTAACATTGATGATGATAATGAGTTTGATGCATGGAATGTTAAGGCATAAGTGTATGAAAGCGTGCATTCTTATTCTGTCCTCGAGCTGTTGTTGTCTATTCATGTTCTGTATTGTCTTGTTTCATGTTTTGTGTGGACCTCAGGAACAGTAGGTGCTGCTTTAGCAGTAGCTAATGGGAATCCTAATAAAATACTAAAATACTAATTACATGGTGCTTAAAAAAACGTCCATATTCTTATTCCCGAAGATAACGATCATTAGAATGAATGAGAGGGGCCCCATGCTTAGTGCATGCACTCGGGCTTGTTGGCTAGAAAATATTAATCTCTGTTACTTAATGCAGTTGAGATAAATGTATGTAATTTTATTCTGGTTCTGAGATCATTTGGACAAGAGGTTCCATTCCAAGTCTCTCGATATTCCCGTGATTTTGGCCCCCTCCCCTGTTCTAGAATCTGAGGCTTGAGGGTGACCACGCCTGCGCACTGAGCACCATACTGCCGAGGTTCGTTTCATGGGTATTTGAAAAGGGTGAGTGAGGGAGTGAGCGAAAGGTGGAGAGTGCTAGGCTTTAAGGTTCACACTCTTTTTAGGCTGGCGGCTGACCTAAGCGTGCGCCCCCTAACGAGAACGATTTCGACGGTGCGGAGGATAGTGGAAGCGACTGGAATGAGAGAATAATAAAGTGAGAGCTGATTTAGGAGAAAAGAAACGACAGGCAGAGGCACGGAGGCGGTAGACACCAGCCAGACAACCGTTAGCTACGGACAGAGAGAGAGACAATAAGGAATAAATAAAAAGGGGGACGGTTTGACATTTCTGTAAAGCGCACAGAGTAACCAAATTGTGGAAAGCTTAGTACACCGGGTAAGTTAGCCTACTTATCATAACATGAAAATAACGGGCGTGATCTTGCGTGAGAATAACATTGCATATGCACATGGCTGCTCATAGCTGTCACGTTATTTTCATACTACATAGCTGGTCACTTGTGAGCGTTGTGTGATGATAGCCTAGTAATAAAACAACATTGTATTGTTGGATAACTCTCCAGCTAATCGTTTGTTTCCAGTTTGATAGCCTGTAAGCAATAGGCTGTTAAATTGACCCTCGCTCACTAATAAAGTTTTCGTTACCTATCAGCCCACTACATTTATTTCATCCATATCACCGGTGGTACGATTTTATGCGTAAAAATTGACCCAAATAACTTGGACCGAAACTCAACCTGCCACTATGCTGCCGTAGCCTTCTTATACGCATTAGCTTAGTCATTTTACTCTAGTAGCCTACATTCCAATTAGCAACGTGCAACATCGCCTATTCAATGTATCAAGATCAAGATATATCCTTATGTACTTAATGTAACAATGTAACACACTGAAATGGCCACGCACTAATGCCATAATGTTGCACTTGGCTCTCGAAGGGAGCGGCGCCCCCAGTTATAGTGGGCCTCAGCCGCTGAGCAGTGCGCATGCATGCAGCGACACCGTCACTGACAGCCCGTTAACGTTTTGTGCGCACTAGGCCGCACTCGGCTCCAACACTGCGGAGCAAGACGCGTGCTATAAAAAGGTGGCTAATATGTTAAATTAACATATCCTTATTATTAATAAGTGTGTTTACGTGAGTCTATTAATCTCAAAGTGGCCTTGTGTGTGTCAAGCGCCATAGATAAGACGCTACCATAATACTCAGTGTCGTTTACCAGTAGGCTATGGCTGCAGACCGAATTAAATCATAGTAGTTTACCTGGAATATGGCAATATGGGGCCGGCCATACTTTTGTAGAGCTTTCTCTTGAATGGAGATTACTTTCCACCTTTATCTTTGCCATTACTCTAATAGCAAGTTGACCGTTGTAATATTCTTGACATTATAACCGAAAAGCCAGACGCACGCGTGCACTGCTCTTGGCTAGACGTGGGGCCTTTCCTTGAATCGCGTCCACTCTGCCACATAATCACTTACACACACTCAGCAAATAATAGACTTGTTTGTTTCCATATTTCATTATTTGAAAATCTTCCTATTTTTGTGTCAATGGCACAAAATGAACATAAAGAAGGCCTATAAATGATTGAGTAAACCGTTCTATCCTTTTGCTCATGGTGAGTAGGCTATGGCTGACTGGTCCAGGTGCCATCTCGCTGTTACTTTATTTAGCTCAGTCGGCTCGTTTTCTCTCTCCTTATGGAAGTGAACCAGCTCTTCATTCAATTTCTATTCAATGAATAATGTTGCATTTCTTAAAGTTAATAAGTAAAATATGCAATTACTCCACTGAAGTGTGGTCATTTGGACACATTTCAAATGATTATTGAAAATTAACAGAGGGGGACAGGATAGGCCTACTGCAGACTTCATTATACTACATACAGTGTAATGTCATACCAAGTGCAGTAGGTCATACTTTTTGTATTGCTTACTAATGTGTTTATTGTTAATAATAGGAGATTAGCAGGAGTACACTCCCTTTGTATACATTTATTATTTAGCAATGTCTTTTAAACATCTATTGTAGACTTATCAACAAATAGCTCATTTCCAAATCATAAGCCTTAACCAATATGTATTAGAATGGAGTTAGAGGCAAGTAGACCACTTGGAGTTATTGGTCTGCCCTGAACTCCCCTCCCCATCCCACAGGACTCCTCCCCCTACCGCAGGACTCCTCTGCCCTGAACCCCCCTCCCCCTCCCCAACCCCTGAACTCCCCCTCCCCAGGACTCCTCCCCCTACCCCAGGACTATTTGAGTGGTGTCCTTACCAGTGATGGTCATTACCAGCAGTGTCATTAACCAGTTCTTAGTCCTCGTTAACCTCTCTCCATATCCCCATTTCCCTTCTCCTTGCTGTGACGTCGTGGGCTCGGCAGCAGGTATGGCAGACGCAGACGTCGACTTCCAGACAGGCGATGCCGGAGCATCCGCCACCTTCCCCCAGCAGTGCTCGGCCCTGCGCAAGAATGGCTTCGTGGTGCTGAAGGGACGACCCTGCAAGATCGTGGAGATGTCCACCTCCAAGACCGGAAAACATGGCCACGCTAAGGTCAGTGGTGCCTGACTGTAACCATTTTTATAGCTCTGGCTAGTGAGTGATAATAAGGATGTTGTGTTCCATGCAGACATAATTACATTGATCAGAGTAATGAGGAAGAGTGGCTGTGGCTGTTACCTTGAATTTAATTCGGTAAGACATTAATCCAGTCAAAAGACGAAGAATACTTTCTCACATTTGCAGCGTTATCCTGAACTTCACACTATATATCTTGTCTATGTGGTGTGTGTCTATGTGGTGTGTCTATGTGCTGTGTGTCTGCCAGCTTCATAAACAGTTTGTGTTTTGTTTTCTTTATGGGCAGGTCCACATGGTTGGTATTGACATCTTCAACGGCAAGAAGTATGAGGATATCTGTCCCTCCACCCACAACATGGACGTACCCAACATCAAGAGACTGGACTACCAGGTGAAGGGACAAAGTAGCGAGGAGGACAGAAAGGACGGAGGGAGAGAGGGAGAAGTAGAGAGAAAGAGATGTTGCCAGTTTGAGTGAGATGGCCATTTAGCCAGAACTCACTCTCTAACTGAATGGCCACGTCACTGGTAATAGATGTCCCTTGAGTATTCTGATTCCCTATTTCTAATTCCCTGACTCACGCCCCTGCCTCAAATCAAATCCAATTTAATTTGTCACATGCGCCGAACCTGCCCTTGTTGACGCACACTGGAAGATCTGAGTGGTTCTGAGGGCATTGATTAGGTGTCAACAGTATCGTGAAGCCTCCCTCTAGCCTATTAACAGACTGAGTGGAGACATCAGCATTTTTCCTGTACCAATCCAGTGGGAAAGTGAGGGAAAGTCAATGAGGGTAGAGGAACGCATAGTAGAATTTGTGCTGATGTAGGTGAAGGTCATTATTTAGTAAAACACTGGGATGGAATGCCTTTGACCTACACCAGCACACGTTCCAAACTCTTTCATGGTCCTTAGAGCTGGATAGGGAACCTTGAGTAGGTAGCTGTTCTCATTTTCATCCTCTTGGGCTGGGAGACTCTGGCACTGTGGGTGGGGGTGACAGTCAGTTGATTGGAGTGCCACAGGAGCTCTAATTGGTAGACTGGCAGTGCATTGGCAATCACAAAAGGGGCAGAAACTAAAAGAAAGACCCTATTTCACATGTTGTCTCTATCTTTTCTGTCATCATAACACAACCTTATTGTCATTTCTTCCCATCCTTTCCCTCCCTCCTCACTTCCCCCTGCAGTTGATTGGGAATCACGGATGGTTACCTGTCTCTGCTCCAGGACAGTGGTGAGGTGAGAGAGGACCTGAAGATGCCAGAGGGAGACATGGGCAAAGAGATCGAAACCAAGTATGACGCTGGAGAGGAGATTCTGGTCAGTGGTGTTCCCTTTTCCTCCCTTCTTCTGCTTCTTCTTCTTCTTCTTCTTCTTCTTCTATGATTCTCCCTGGAGAGGAAATCACCTACAGTATGTCCCTATTTAGCGTTATGGTTTTGTAAGACACAGTGTTGCATAGCTCTAATCAGGTGTGTAGATAGACATATCTGATTCATGTTTTCCTCTCCTCTTCTGATCCATGTACTGTGTGTGTTTGGTGGAAATTCCTTACTTATAGGTCGTTATCAATAAAATGTCACAATAGCGTTCGATTTGGCTGCTGGGAGGCAAGGAGACCTCCAGCTCTGCTTAAACCATTGACAACTATGTGCCGTTTTCAAGGGATTGTTAAATAAATGTTATAACTATTTGGTTTTAATATCATCACCTCTTGTCAGAACTACACATTTCCGATTATTCCACATTTAGCTCTATCACCAGAGTTATACAGCAATCAGTAAAGGTCAATTCATCATGTATTTTCAGATACGTGAGGGTAACCAGAGCCATTTGGCATGTAGCTAGCTAGATAGCTAAAGCAAACAACATGTGTCATTTAGTTTGCTTCATCAGAGATGAGCCTTTTGGAAAGAGCTTTTCATCGTCCTGGTAAAGTTGTCAGTCAGACTACTGTCATCACCACTATAGATGGCAAGCAAATCAAACAATATTTGGATAGCCATCTAGTTTATCCCCTGAAAGTTAGCTTGTTAACTAGCCATATTGTCGTGATCTGTTATTAGCTAGCTAGCCAATTTTACGTGGTCCATCAGTCAATGTAGTCTATCATGTCTATCATTAGGTCAGTAACGTTACATCGGCAAATTCGCCCTTCTGCTGCTTGACAGGATGGGATATTAACCTAAACCACTCAGGTATAGATCACTTTTATTCAAAAATCTAATTAATGGTGGCCAATATTGACAGATATCATGAGGCTACCGTCATGTATCTGAAATTACATGATCAATTGATGTTTACTGATCATGAAAAGCATGCAGTTATGCCTACTTGCTGTAGGTTTATAATTCTGATGATAGAGCTAAATGTGCGCAATTGTTTTGCATGGAATAATCTGAAATGTGAAGTTCTGACTATGCTCTTCAAGAGGTGATGCCATTACAACCAAATAGTTCACATTTATTTAATAATCCCTTGAAAACGGCACTCAGTTGTCAATGGTTTTAGCAGAGCTGCGGGTCTCCATGCCCCCCAGAAGGAAAATCAAACGCTCTGTACCTTATTGGGATGTTTCATTGATAACAACCTATTATAGCTGCTATTGTCACATTGAACCCGTATACTTCTGGGAATTGATTGTCCCTGTCACCAACTGTTCAAACTATCAGAGAACACACTGGCTTAGCATAGCATGCAAATACCCTCACTTCACAGTTAACAATGAAGATTGGCAGCACTAGAGATACATGGAATTCATCAGTAAGACTGTACCAAGCTCCCAGCAGCTCTCTGCATTCCCAAGTCAACCGGCTGTAAAAGTTGAAGTGTTATGGTTTGGGGGTAACAGTTACCTAAAGTCTCAGGGAAGGGGATGATGTCACAGCCTAAGATGGCCACACCTAGTTTACTTCCACTACTCCTGCAAAGTTATTTTTCTTATAATAAAAAACACATACTTTTTGTTTGTTTCCCAGATCACTGTTCTGTCTGCAATGAATGAGGAGGCTGCAGTTGCCATCAAGGCCATGGCTAAATAAGACACTACAGGTAAACACAGAAGCTTTCAGTATCCCAACCGAACTACCTGGCACCGCTCACCTCAGTCATACACACACTGCCTGTGACAAAAGTGGCTGGAAATGTGCGGTGTGTGTGTGTGTGTCATGCCATACCATTTATTTGTATGTTTATTTATCAGCCAAGGTTAGGTACACGCTTTGCTTTGCCTAACGACATGCTGAAACATTTTGGCTGGTACACAGGCTACTTATTTATTTAGTTTACTAGAATGTGTAGTCTTCATGGTGACTGCAGTATACAGTACCAGTCAAAAGTTTGGACACACCTACTCATTCAAGGGTTTTTCTTTATTTTTTACTATTTTCTACATTGTAGAATAATAGTGAAGACATCATTACTATGAAATAACACACATGGAATCATGTAGTAACCAAAAAAGTGTTAAACAAATCAATATATTTTGTATTTTATATTCTTCAAAGTAGCCACCCTTTGCCTTGATGACAGCTTTGCGCACTCTTGGCATTCTCTCAACCAGCTTCACCTGGAATGCTTTTCCAACAGTCTTGAAGGAGTTCCCACATATGCTGAGCACTTGTTGGCTGCTTTTCCTTCACTCTGGGGTCCAACTCATCCCAAACCATCTCAATTTGGATGAGGTTGGGTGATTGTGGAGGCCAGGTCATCTGATGCAGCACTCCATCACTCTCCTTCTTGGTCAAATAGCCCTTACACAGCCTGGAGGTGTGTTGGGTCATTGTCCTGTTGAAAAACAAATGATAGTCCCACTAAGCGCAAACCAGATGGGATAGCGTATCGCTGCAGAATGCTGTGGTAGCCATGCTGGTTAAGTGTGCCTTGAAGTAAATCATAGACAGTGTCACCAGCAAAGCACCCTCACACCATCACACCTCCTCCTCCATGCTTTACGGTGGGAAATACACATGCAGAGATCATCCGTTCACCCACAGAATATTAGGACGTCATCCAAATACACGAAGACGCTGTAGTCGAGGAGGTCCCGGAGCACGTCATTGACCAACGCCTGGAACACCGCAGGTGCATTGGCTGGACCGAACGGCATGACTTGATACTCGTAATGCCCACTCGGTGTGTTAAAAGCCGTCTTCCACTCGTCCCCCTCCCGAATCCTCACCAGGTTGTAGGCATTGCGTAAGTCCAGCTTGGTGAAGACTTGGGCTCCCTGCAATGACTCGAATGCCGTCGTCATCAGGGGGAGTGGATAGCGGTTCTTAACTGGAGATGCCGCTGCTGCGGCTTCCGCTCCGCCGGCTGCCGGGGCAGGTCGGGTGTCCACCCGGCTCTGCATGCCGATTGTCAGCTGGCAGAGATTCTCAATGATCTGCTGCAGGCTGCGGTCGTGCTGGTTCAGCATAGCTCCCTGTGTTGCCAATGCGCTCCGATACTGTGCTGCCTCCGCTGGGTCCCTATTGGCTCAGTTTTCTGTACGGGTTGGTGTGAGGTGTGACCAAGGTGCGGTGCAGGATATACAGTAGGCAGTAGGTAGAGATGGTGAAACAAGGATATTTACTGGTGGTCCCGAAGCCAAAATACAAAACAACGGACTTATCACGATAAAAGAAAGGCAGTGGGTCGCTCCTGAACTGCGACCCCCTCCTGTAACAGGAACTCCAGGTGAAGCTGGTTGAGAGAATACCAAGAGTGTGCAAAGCTGTCATCAAGGCAAAGGGTACCTATTTGAAGAATCTCAAATCTCAAATATATATATATAACACTTTTGGTTACTACATGATTCCATATGTGTTATTTCATAGTTTTGATGTCTTCACTATTATTCTACAATGTAGAAAATAGTACAAATAAAGAAAAATGAGTAGGTGTTGAATGAGTAGGTGTTCTAAAACTTTTGACAAGTAGTGTGTATATATATATATATATATATATATTATAAATAATTGTTTTATATAGATTCCCATGCTTGGTGTATTTGTGTGAGTGTAATGGTGTATTTCAGTGGTATTCAAACTTTTTCAGAGGGGACCCCATTTTTTTTGCCCGAAATTCTGGGGACCCAATTTTTTCCCAAGAATTTCTTGCAACCCCACCCCAAAGCTAATGACACTGCCTTAAAATCTGTCAAATCGTTTTACATCAACAAATAACCTTCAATTCATTGCATTGTCATCGCTTATCAAAATGAAAAGAAACCAATAAATACATTTAGTCAATAAAATAGTATTTTTCTAATTATCTTTCTCAAAAGGTTTGTATATTGTCACATACAATAGTCTGTATTCTTAAAGGGATACTTGGGGATTTTGGCAATGAGGCCCTTTATCTACTTCCCCAGAGTCAGATGAACCTGTGGATACCATTTTTATGTCTATGCGTGCAATTGCGTTAGCACAATGACTGGAAGTATATGGGTATCTGCTAGCATGCTAGCAGATACCTATAGACTCAGATACCTATAGACCTCCAGTCATTGTGCTAATGTTAGTTAGCACTGGCTCGCTAAAACTACCTCTAACTTCCTTCATAATGAACACAGACATAAAAATGGTATCCACAAGTTCACCTGACTCTGGGGAAGTAGATAAAGGGCCTCATTGCCAAAATCCTGAAGTATCCCTTTAATTTGAACAATTAAGAGTACCTACCCCACTGCAGTTCTGCCGCCACCCCGACTTTGAATACCACTGGATATGAAATGTGCACTATGTGAGGTCAAGGTTGTTGGCTACTGTATTTTGATGACGTGTGAAAGGATCTTTGTGTTTGTCGAGTGTTTGGAGTGTGTACTGTACCTCAAAGAACTTGAGAACTGTTTTGTATTGATGCACACTAAATTAAACTGTCCGCTTGTTTTCTTTCTTCCTCGTCACTTCATCTTCTCTTTCCTCTTTTTATTTTTCTATTTTTCTACCTATCCTACCCCTGTCCTTTCCTTGTCCTCCCCACTCTCTTTCAGGGGTTAACAAGATGCACTGGATCTGGAAAAAGGAGGGAACAAAGCCATGGCAATGCTATTCTCCCTCATTCTCTTTCTCTTTCCTAAACTCTCTCCACTTTCTCACCCTTCTCTGGGTCAAATTGGAAACTAATTTCAATAAATAATTGGAAATTGCAAACAGTCAAAACATTCTCTCCACACACACACAATCACTGCATACAGTACACCAGTACAGACGAAAACGGAGAGAGAAGAAAGGTAGAATGGAGAAAGAAGTGCTCTCTCACAAACAAATTGCTGCCTGTAAGGACGTAGGTAGCTACTGCACCTACAGCCAGGAGAGGGGTGGTGGAAAATGTCTCAAATGTCTGTTTTGTCAATTCTCTCCTGATTCATCAAGGGCTTCTTCAACTCTAGATTTATGATGAGTGATGCTGTTCTGTTTAGGAGCTCATTCAGCGGGAGCGCTGTGCTCGTAATGTTACAATAGAAATATAGCATACAGAACTGGCACCATTTTCAATGATGTAACAATGGAGATTTGTCAGGTATATACATTACATTTCTATCTGATTTTCAGAGCGATCCGCCCTTCTGAATGAGCCCCATATGTCCTATTGAATATTGTGTGTAACATATATCACCTAAACCAGTCTATTTAAGCAATAAGGTACGAGGGGGTGTGGTACATGGCCAATATACCACGGCTAATGGCTGTTCTTAGGCACAGCTCTTAGCCGTGGTATATTGGCCATATACCACAAACCCCTGAGGTGCCTTATTGCTATTATAAACTGGTTACCAATGTAATTAGAGCAGTAAAAATACATGTTTTGTCATACCCGTGGTATACAGTCTGATATACCACGGCTGTCAGCCAATCAGCATTCAGGGCTCGAACCACCCAGTTTATAATAACGTACATCACCTAAACCTGTCTGTTAAAAGATGTCAAGATTTACATGCCAGGATCAGATCTTTCGGAGTAGGAGTTGAACAAGCGTCACATACAGTAGCATTTGGGAGAAAGGAAACTCGCATGCCTATTCCAGTGTTTCATTTCAGTCTTTCACAAGTATCTGATCGAGACCACGTACAGGACCTTTGTGGTTCCTAAGTTCTTTCTTTGCTCAATCAGCCCCTTATCTTCCATTTCCCTCGACACCTAGGCAAAGACCCTTAGACAGAGGCTGCCAACAGAGCAGGTAGCTAGCTAGTAGACACACTGGGTCACCTATAGGGAGAGGCACCAAGTATTCAACCCATTATTACTTTGTACAAATTCATGAAAGTAATGGCATTTGTTTTTTTGCTTTATTGTATTCACAAAGAAGTCCAAACTGTGCAGAATGTCTCCCACCCCCAAACAAAATTAAAGACGACACAAATTGTTAGAAATTGCGTGTGATTTTTATTTATTTATTTCGAGGACATAGTTTCCGAGGTAATACATCCAAACACACAATCAAAAAGGAGAAAGTATAACCCTATACAGTTTCACATAAGAAAATAGTTTCCTAGAACATTTAGGCCACTACAACTTAAGTAATAAAGCAGTAATAAAAGGAACTATACAATAAATATTACTACAAAGTCAAGCCTGTAGGTTTGGGCTTTACAATCAACCATCATAATCCAAGTTTACTGTCCCATAATTCCAGTCTTCTCGAATCTTGAGTGAGCCAATTAAAATCTCAACGATAAGAACGCCCGGGGAAGTTAGTTAAGGCAGGTAACCGTGGTTACTTGCTGTGGTGATAGAACCTCTGTGAACTCTGGGCGTGGGGGAGGAAGGTGTGGCGGGGAGCCGCTTGGGGAGAGCTCTGGAAAGGTGCCTGGTGGACGAAACAACGTCAATTAAATGTTACTAAGCAATAGTTAAGAACTTTAAGGCAAACCATGCATATTTCAAATGGAATTTTGCAGTTGATACATAAAATGTATGCGTTCACTATTAAGATTAATTCATACTCAAGATTTACACTGGTTTCACTCTGGCTTTAGCTAGGAGCGCTTGGACAAATTGTACAAGAAAACAAAAATACAATCATTTTTCAATCTATGCTTCAATAATGAGCAAAGCAATAATACATTTTTTCAAAATAACCGCTTTCAGATGCACTCATATTTCTGATGGGGTGGTGGGTCAACAGTGGGCAGCAACAGTGAGAGGTGGGGAGGGGTTGAGGGGTACCTTTGGAGTGGGGATCTGGACAGCCAAGGAGGGGGTGGGCAGCAGGCCAGCAACGGATGCATGGAGGGCTTGGGGGTGCATGGGTCTCAGAGCACCCTGGAACAACACAACAGGAGTTTAGGGCAACACAAGGAAAGGACAAGAGGTGAGTATAAAGGACACCTCAGATTTGAATTTGTGCAATATGCACTTTTATTAAAACAGATTCACAACTAGGTTTAGTGGTTGAATAGAGAACTCAACCTTATAATGTGCACATGTCTTGAAAGTGCATCATCCTCCCCATCTGTCTGACCAGTGGTCTTACCCCGTCAGTGAAGCCAGACTGTTGGTTTGCATGTTCCAACTGCTTCTGAAGGGGTATTCCAGCACCAGGGATGAATCCTTGCTGGGAGGTGAAGTGACTGTGAACAGCGTAGCCTGGCTGCTGATGAGGGAGGTACTGCATGGCCTGGAACGCAGACGCACCTGGACAGGAGACAGTCAGCAAGGGTCAGACTCTGTGGGGAAACTGGATTACTGTCAGGATGCTCTCATGATTAGCAATGTTAATTACTACATAGTGCACATTGTAGACAGTAAATGTAATGATAAGGACCTGGCATTCATATTCAGCTCGCACACACACACACGCTACCTCTGATCTGGGAGCTGCTGGCGAAGCTGACGGGTACAGAGGGGCCGGGGACGTAGGTGGAGGGGTGCTGTGTCTGGACCACGCCGTAGCTCTCGTGGACCGACTGACTGCCACCGAACTGGCCGTGCTCCGCAGGGCCCGCACTGAACCCAGGCTGGCTCTGGTAGTGGCGGCCCTGTGGAGCGAGGAGAGTGAAACGGTCACTCTATAAGCAGTCAAACAGAGCATGGGTTATGTGTCTGTTGTTGGCATCATTGACATTTACTATGTTTCAGTGGGTGGTGTCTGTAACTACAGAGTTAAGGATTTGATTCCAGCTTGAGCCGACTGCTGATGCCTGGAACTCACTTTATTGACACTATTGATGCGTAGATAGAATTGAAAAATGTGCTTTATAGAAAGATGGCCATTACAATAGAGACATCTAGTGGTTAGATGAGACATTACACATGCAGAGGGCTAACCAGTTGCCACTCACCGGGATGACAGGTGTTGGAAACAACTGCTTACTGCGCTCCGACATGAGAGCCCCGGGCCTGTTGTGACTGACTGGACTGCCTGATAGAGGGAAGAGACAACAAAAAAGTGATGAGGGAGTATGGTGGAGTGACAGGTGGGATCTCAGAAGTCATTTGTGGATAGACTAATTATGGGCCAGTGCCACGTATATTGATTTCATGTGTTCAAAATAAACAGCTTGTGATAAAGGCATCTGGTAAATGACCACGTTATTTTGATGTTCAATTAATGTAATTGCTTAGGAGAACACACTCATGAACACATGTATACCTTACCTTGGATGTTGAGCAAATGCTGTCCTGTGTGCATGGTTAGACTGGACTGGTAGCTGGCTGACGTCAGTGTTGTGATGTCACTGCAGGAGAGGTAAAAACAGGTGAGATATCTGACAGGAGAATTCTAACAATCAGCAAATCCTTATATAATATATACAGTGGGGGAAAAAAAGTATTTAGTCAGCCACCAATTGTGCGAGTTCTCCCACTTAAAAAGATGAGAGAGGCCTGTAATTTTCATCATAGGTATACGTCAACTATGACAGACAAATTGAGAGAAGAAAAATCCAGAAAATCACATTGTAGGATTTTTAATGAATTTATTTGCAAATTATGGTGGAAAATAAGTATTTGGTCACCTATAAACAAGCAAGATTTCTGGCTCTCACAGACCTGTAACTTCTTCTTTAAGAGGCTCCTCTGTCCTCCACTCGTTACCTGTATTAATGGCACCTGTTTGAACTTGTTATCAGTATAAAAGACACCCGTCCACAACCTCAAACAGTCACACTCCAAACTCCACTATGGCCAAGACCAAAGAGCTGTCAAAGGACACCAGAAACAAAATTGTAGACCTGCACCAGGCTGGGAAGACTGAATCTGCAATAGGTAAGCAGCTTGGTTTGAAGAAATCAACTGTGGGAGCAATTATTAGGAAATGGAAGACATACAAGACCACTGATAATCTCCCTCGATCTGGGGCTCCACGCAAGATCTCACCCCGTGGGGTCAAAATGATCACAAGAACGGTGAGCAAAAATCCCAGAACCACACGGGGGGACCTAGTGAATGACCTGCAGAGAGCTGGGACCAAAGTAACAAAGCCTACCATCAGTAACACACTACGCCGCCAGGGACTCAAATCCTGCAGTGCCAGACGTGTCCCCCTGCTTAAGCCAGTACATGTCCAGGCCCGTCTGAAGTTTGCTAGAGTGCATTTGGATGATCCAGAAGAGGATTGGGAGAATGTCATATGGTCAGATGAAACCAAAATATAACTTTTTGGTAAAACCTCAACTCGTCGTGTTTGGAGGACAAAGAATGCTGAGTTGCATCCAAAGAACACCATACCTACTATGAAGCATGGGGTGGAAACATCATGCTTTGGGGCTGTTTTTCTGCAAAGGGACCAGGACGACTGATCCGTGTAAAGGAAAGAATGAAAACCTCCTTCCATCAGCAAGGGCATTGAAGATGAAACGTGGCTGGGTCTTTCAGCATGACAATGATCCCAAACACACCGCCCGGGCAACGAAGGAGTGGCTTCGTAAGAAGCATTTCAAGGTCCTGGAGTGGCCTAGCCAGTCTCCAGATCTCAAACCCATAGAAAATCTTTGGAGGGAGTTGAAAGTCCGTGTTGCCCAGCGACAGCCCCAAAACATCACTGCTCTAGAGGAGATCTGCATGGAGGAATGGGCCAAAATACCAGCAACAGTGTGTGAAAACCTTGTGAAGACTTACAGAAAACGTTTGACCTGTGTCATTGCCAACAAAGGGTATATAACAAAGTATTGAGAAACTTTTGTTATTGACCAAATACTTATTTTCCACCATAATTTGCAAATAAATTCATTAAAAATCCTACAATGTGATTTTCTGGATTTATTTTCCTCATTTTGTCTGTCATAGTTGACGTGTACCTATGATGAAAATTACAGGCCTCATCTTTTTAAGTGGGAGAACTTGCACAATTGGTGGCTGACTAAATACTTTCCCCCCCCACTGTGTGTGTATATATATATATATATATATATATATATATATATATATATATATATATATATATATATATATATATATATATATATATATATGGCCTTATTACAATTTCATTCCTACTCCAAACTGGGAGGGTTTATTGACCTTGACTTCTTTTATCAACCTACACTAACGTTAAGGAAGCTTGACTGGTGAAAATAAATTTCTAGACACATTCAGGCATCCAAACAGCTTTCATCTAGCATGCAGTTACCATATACATAAATATGAAGGAGAGGAGACATGGAGAGGAAGCCACTTGAGATGCACCTAAGGAGTCAGAGGCTCCTTTCCTCTCACCTCTGCTCCTTCCTGCGCCTCTTCTCCTCCTCGTGCAGGACCTTCTTCAGCTGGAGGAAGAGCTGATGCTTCTCCTCCTGCAGTCCCTGCAGCTTCTCCCCCATCTTCATCACCTGTGAGGAGGAAGAGGGAATGTAAGAGAGGGTTAAGGTGAGAAAGCCCATCCTGAGGTTAGTTATCTCCATCTGTTTGTAATGACTTTCTCTGACCTGTTCTTTAGTCTCCTCCAATGACATCCTCTCCTCTATCTCTTTTGTTCTCTTTCTCTCTTCTTCCTCTTTCATCTTCTGCTCCATCATCTTGTCCACCTCTTCCTCCTCTAATATTTGGAAGAAAAGAGATCAACTTGACGATTCCAACACCAATTCCAACAGCATAATTGTGGTACCAAATCTGTATTTTTATTTATGGTTGGGGAGGAATGCAGTAGTCAAGCCAAGCCTTGTGATATCTCACCTTGTCTTTTGCGATCTCTTTCTCTCATGATGTGTTTGTGGAGGGCTCTGGCCATGGCGTTCGACAGCTTGGGTCTGTCCTGCAGAGCAGGCATGCTGACAGGAAGTGGAGGGGCCAGCTGAATGCAGCAGAATCAATTGAGAAAATATGGGAAGTAAATATAGTTACAGGCAGCAACAGCAAACGGTGACAATAATTGGCAGCTAGGAACGGACACTTGTTTTTTTCTAATATTTACTTTGTTGATAATATAAATAATAAATTGCATGCATTCAACCCCACCTAGCTAACGTTGCATTGCATCTGATCTGGCTATGCTAGCATCTAGCTAACGTTACATTTTTAGCTCGATGAACGGCCAGCAGGCGCGAAGTTGTAAACAGAGAACTTACTTTCGTCGCTTTGCGAGTTTTTCAAGATGAAAACTTTCGTCTCCGCTTGGTGTTTGTTTTACGTGTTTTTTGGTGTGGATTATAAAGCGGAAAATCAGTGTTTCTGTGTAAAACAGTGACTTTCGTTCTGTATTATGAATTTCAAAAAAAAAAAAAACTAATTTATGAACCCGAACTGGTACACTTCCGGTGTGAAAGGACGCTTCCTGTTTTGACGTCAGTGGAGCCCTGAGAGTTGTGGTTTCTATTCAGCACTTCCTAGCACGTCCCAGATGACATTTACATTTTTGTCATTTAGCAGACGCTCTTATCCAGAGCGACTTACAGGAGCAATTAGGGTTAAGTGCCTTGCTCAAGGGCACATTTACGTCATTTAGCAGACGCTCTTATCCAGAACGACTCACAAATTGGTGCATTCACCCTATAACCTTATACCGCTGAAGGATACAGAAGTTGGTATCCTTCAGCGGTGGAAAAAGTACCCAATTGTCATACTTGAGTACCCGGACACCCAAAAGTACTCGTTACATTTTGACAGGAAAATGGTCCAATTCACGCACTTATCAAGAAAACATCCTTGGTCATCCCTACTGCCTCTGATCTGGCGGACTCACTAAACACAAATGCTTCGTTTGTAAATTAATGTCAGAGTGTTGAAGTGTGCCCCTAGCTATCCGTAAATTTAAAAAACAAGAACATTGTGTCGTCTGGTTTGCATAATATAAGGAATTTGAAATGATTAATACTTTTGATACTTAAGTATATTTTAGCAATTCCATTTACTTTTGATACTTAAGTATATTTAAAACCAAATACTTTGACTTTTACTTAAGTAGTATTTTAATGGTGACTTTCACTTTTACTTGAGTCATTTTCTATTAAGGTATCTTTACTTTTACTCAAGTATGACATTTGAGTACTTTTTCCACCACTGTGCTAAGCATTAAATATGTAACGAGCACTTTTGGGTGTCAGGGAAAATGTATGGAGTAAAAAGTACATAATTTTCCTTAGGAATGTAGTGAAGTAAAAGTAGTCAAAAATAAAATACTAAAGCAAAGTACAGATACCCAAAAATAACTACTGAAGTACTTTACCCTACTGGTGTCCTTGTTTGCAGAAAACACAGGAACTAGATAGCAAATTTGGGAACTTTTATTTAGTTATTTTATCTTCATCAAAACCTGTACTCTTCATCAGGTCTTTCATACCTCCCAGTCCCTCCCACTGCACAGAAAAAACCTCACACTGCCTTGAGTATAAGATGGGGCGGTATGCACGTGGGACAACTCTATGACTAATGTATTGAAATGTAAAGACTGAAAATAAATGGTGCTTGTATGTTCCATATGCAGACACAAACATTACACACCCGACGGTCATGTAGTAGGCCTATAGTATAGGTTAGGGTTCCCCAACTGGCGGCCCGTGGGTGATTTTATTTGGGCCCCCAGCAAATTAGCTCAAAGTGATTTTAATTTTGGAAATCTGTTCCAAAGTATTCCGACGCATAACAGAGATATATGTGATTGTATACAAATGTATGCAAGGATTGAAATTACATTTAGTCAAATATATCTGTTTGGGTCAATTTGCAGTCAACAAATTATTTATAATTATGTTCTGGCCCCCTGACCATCCACTCAAGAAGGAAAAAAATCCCACGGCTGAATCTAGATCCCTGGTATAGGTTATTTAGACTTATGATGAATAACCCTTTCAAGTTATTTATTTGAATAATGCATATATGGGTTGTTCATAGTACCATTTCCTTTCATAATGCATCATCTCCTTTCCCTCAAGGGGCTCTCCAGCCACAGTTCATTCCTCACAGTCAAGTTCTTCCACACTGATCTAGCCAAACCATTTCTGTATGGACCTCGCTTTGTGCACGGGGGCATTGTCATGCTGAAACAGGAAAAGGCCTTCCCCAAACTGTTGCCACAAAGTTGGAAGCACAGAATCGTCTAGAATGTCATTGTATGCTGTAGCATTAAGATTTCCCTTCACTGGAAATAAGGGGCCTAGCCCAAACCACGAAAAACAGCCCCAGACCATTATTCCTTTACAGTTGGCACTATGCATTGGGGCAGGTAGCTTTCTCCTGGCATCCGCCAAACTCAGATTTGTTCGTCGGACTGCCAGATGGTGAAGCGTATGGTGATCTTAGGCTTGCGTGCGGCTGCTGGGCCACGGAAACCCAATTCCACGAAAATCCTGACGAACAGTTCTTGTGCTGATGTCGCTTCCAGAGGCAGTTTGGAACTCGGTAATGAGTGTTGCAACCGAGAACAGATTATTTTTACGTGCTACAGCACTTGGCGGTCCCATTCTGTGAGCTTGTGTGGCCTACCACTTCGCAGCTGAGCCGTTGTTGCTCCTAGACGTTTCCACTTCACAATAACAGTATTTACAGTTGACCGGGGCAGCTCTAGCAGGGCAGAAATTGTACAAACGTACTTGTTGGAAAGGTGGCATCCTATGACAGTGCCACGTTGAAAGTCACTGAGCTCTTCAGTACGGGCCATTCTACTGCCAATGTTTGTCTATGGAGATTGCATGGCTGTGTGCTCGATTTTATACATCTGTCAGCAACGGGTGTGGCTGAAAAAGCCGATTCCACTTATTTGAAGGGGCGTCCACATACTTTTGTATATATAAATGTAGGTCGAAAATATGCAGGTTAGGACAAAGTAATAATTCTATGCGGCAGCGTTAGAAAATAAACAAATTCATTGGCCCAGCGGCGTTGCTTACACCCAGCGCCGCAGCTAACTAGCATAGCTGGTCCCATTGTTACAAAGAGTTATGGGGTATTAGAATTCCGTTGTCTTAAACTTTTTCATCTTCAACCTAGACTGACACCAAACGAAACCCATCTGACAGTGAGGGTGAGGAAACTACCTCAGCACTCCTCAATCTTGGGCCAATAGCAAGATTAATGCTAATTTCTGTATTTTGTCCTCCCTACACTATGTGATGATGGGATTTGATGTCTCCACAGTGAGTGTAGTCGGTGTAGCGATCGAAAGGATTCAATTTTCAAAGAGAGATGTGTTTTCTCCACTGTTTCTTTCAAGACTACGGTTGCGGAAACTGTTTCCATATGTTCACATACAGTAAATATATGCAGGAAAAGTCAGGCAAAAAAAAAAACAGACAGTAAAGAAAAGACAGGAAACAAAGTTGGCTTTTTATCACATTTTATCATGTATGATCATAAGTGGAGAGTGCCAGTAACACAGCTATATACCGAGTTCAAACTTTTTTTTAAAGTAGAACAAAACTTTTAAAAAGTAAAATTGCACTGAGCTTTACAATACTTTAAAGAAATGAAGCATCAAAATTACAATAAGTACAATAATAACAACATAATCATAATAGTAATCAAATCCAAATAATATTATATTTTTTACCACTGAAAGCGGAGACAGAGGGAAGATGACTGTTCAGTCGGAATTCTATTCTACTCGTCAGACGTCAAATACACTACGTCGTCAGAATATCTTACCAGCGCTACTACATTAGTAAAACATGACATTTTATCATTGCCAAATGGATCAGAATTTAACCTATCACGCTAGATCCAAAGGTTACATGTTTTATTTTCCACGTAGCTTTATAATTACTGTTAATATGGTCTAATTCTAACACTAATTTCAAAATGGCATCTCTCCTCTATCCGTTTCAGCATGATCAAAGCACTACGAAAACTGGCCACGGGACCATTCAACCGAAATCCCCATCTCGGAGACCCGGAGGCAAATAAAATTCAGACTGTGCGAAGAGTATTAAAGAGGTAAAAATGGAGGGATGAGGGAAGGAGGGGGAGTGAAAGTGCATCTGACGTCTTCGCTCGGGGAACTAGGCTGATGAGCTGGATATAACATTTCAATGGAGATCGGGGGAGGGGTTCAGACTTCCGTTTGGCTGTCTCCATAGACACTCTCATCACTGTAGGCAATGTAGAGGAAAAAGTCCTCTTCATGATGCTCCTGAAAGAGAGCAATATAGAGGTGTTGGTATGAGATGACAAAACAGAGGGAGGGGGAGGCTTCCCTGAATGGCATCCCCAATCCTCATAGGAACAAGCAGCAGAAAAGTGTGTGAGAGGGGAGCGGGTGAGAGGGGAGGAGTCATACCTGGTATAGCAGGCCCATGGTGGCTGAGGTGGGAGGAATGACGTTGTTTACAAAGAAGAATAGGGCGTCCTCGGCCCGCAGGTGGATTCGTTTTCGGATGAGGAAGTAGAACTGGCCCACTGTAGTAGAGGGAAAGGAATTGAACTATTAAAGTTCTGAAGAGAGTGGTATGGGTTTGTGATACATGGGTGGCACATAACCGTAATAACTGGTTACCTACCTGTGAGGTCGGAGGGCACAAGGTATTTCTTCTTGTCCAGATCTCCTATCCTTGCTTTGGGGGCTTTTTCCACAATTACCTACAATTACAAGGGAAAAAAGCATTTAGTAAAGGCCTAAATATTGTGTGGCTAATGTGTCCAACAATGTAAAAAAACTGGTATAATAACTTGGTCACATACGATTGCGCAATTCAAGCTTGTTCGCGTCACATTTCGAGGAAAATAATCAATATTTTAAACCCACTGATCCCTCATTGTGCGAGGTGATTTTCAGAAACCATTATGGCGCATTGACGTGGGATTATTAAATGCTTCTCCATTTTGAGTCTACTGCTCTGACAAGCCAGAGATCTGTATATAATGACGAGATATGCATGTCGCCGCACTAACAATGGGAGTTGTTGTCTCAAAGGCTGGAAGGCAGGCGACAAGCTTAGGTCCAAAATAAGCCAATAGGTAAGCATTGGAAAGATTTTGGGCAGAGTGAAACCTTTCGCGTCACTTCTTCCTCTGGTCAAGCTCGATAAACAAAACAACTTGGTAAAAAAGGTCAGTTATGCCATCTTAACCTGTGGTTGAGTCACGCACTGTGCGGATGTCTATTTTGCTGATGTCTAGCAGACAAGTTGGTTTTCCACACAGCCCTAGTAGCAAGTACCTACAAGACAGAATTCTTTAGTTGGGGGGGCTGAAATCCAACCAAGGGCTCTATTCAATCTGTTTTGCTGAAGCATCACAGATTGCGCAATAGAAATGTAAAGTTAATTTCAGATCGCGTCATCATATGCAGTGTTTACCGTGAATGCAGTCTCCGCTAACGCAGGAACATTGCCTTTAATTTCAATCACTCTGTAACACTGAACTTCCATGATACGGATTGAATAGAGACCCAAATCTCCCAGAAAAAGAACACTTCACTGTGCTCCATCCAAGGCCAGTATTCAGTGCATAAAACCTACACTAAGTCTATTTACAGATTGTTTACACCAGGACTTTCCAACCCTGTTCCTGGAGAGCTTGTAACTAACCTGAATCAGTTCATCAACCAGTTAATTATTAGAATCAGGTGCGCTAGATTAGGGATAGAGTGAAAACGCACAGGACGGTCAGTCTCCAGGCGCAGGGTTGGAGAGCCCTGGGTTGTCTCGGTCTTTCATTTGGATAGGACCTGGAGGACATTTTGACCTGGCTAGGATTATCTGCACAAAGGTTCTTACTTAAAGATGCACTATGCCGAAATCACTCCACCATTTCCTGGTTGCTAAAATTCTAATAGCTCACCTAATTTCAGTTTGTGACAAAACAAACAGGTATAGTGTAGAGAATCATTGTACCATCTACACCGCTGGGAACTATATTTTCCATAACCAAAAATAATTGTATTTTTCAGCTGTTTGATGCTGTTGTACAAAACCAAAAGTAAAAGACGCAAAAACTAAACTTAAAACGGGAAGCATAGAAAGTGGCCATAGAACAAATCTACTGCTTCTTAAGACTTGCTTTCAATGCAAATTACAGATCTATAACTCACATTTCTATGTGAATTGGGTATGTTGCCCAAAAGGTGACATATTGCAGCTTTAAGCAAACCTTGAAAATGAAGGAAGGAATCTATTGTCATTTCTGCCCAAGACAATCTTACAAAAGGGGGGCTTTAAAACAAAAGGGACACTGTGTAGACTGTAAACAATTCACCTTTAGAGGGGCTAAATGTGAAATAAACAAGTGAACCGCTTACTGACACCCGCTCTAGGCTATTTAGGGTAGCTAACGTTACACTTCTTTAAAAACACACACACTTTAACAACTATCTATTAACCTGTCAAAGTATTGCATTGGAAGTAAATTACTATTTGTAAACAGTCATGCGGTTTTGCTTTTTGAAAACATTGTCCCAAGCTTGGTAGCTAGTGATTGTTTTATAAGGCCCTGTGCAGTGAAAAACGTGATTTTCCTGTTTTATATACACATTACCGTTCAAAAGTTTGGGGTCACTTAGAAATGTCCTTGTTTTCGAAAGAAAAGCAAATGTTTTGTCCATTAAAATAACATCAAATTGATCAGAAATACAGTGTAGACATTATTAATGTTGTAAATGGCTATTGTAGCTGGAAACGGCTGATTTTTTTAATGGAATATCTACATAGGCGTAGAGGCCCATCATCAGCAACCATCAGTCCTGTGTTCCAATGGCATGTTGTGTTTGCTAATCCAAGTTTATCATTTTAAAAGGCTAATTGATCATTAGAAAACCCTTTTACAATTATGTTAGCACAGCTGAAACTGTTGTGCTGATTGAAGAAGCAATAAAACTGGCCTTCTTGAGACTAGTTGAGTATCTGGAGCATCAGCAATTGTGGGTTCGATTACAGGCTCAAAATGGCCAGAAACAAATAACTTTCTTCTGAAACTCGTCAGCCTATTCTTGTTCTGAGAAATGAAGGCTATTCCATGCGAGAAATTGCCAAGAAACTGAAGATCTCGTACAACGCTGTGTACTACTCCCTTCACAGAAGAGAAAAAACTGGCTCTAACCAGAATAGAAAGTGGAGTGGGAGGCCCCGGTGCACAACTGAGCAAGAGGACAAATACATTAGAGTGTCTAATTTGAGAAACAGACGCCTCACAGGTCCTCAACTGGCAGCTTCATTAAATAGTACCCGCAAAACACCAGTCTCAACATCAACAGTGAAGAGGTGACTCCGGGATGCTGACCTTCAGGGCAGAGTTGCAAAGAAAAAGCCATTTCTCAGACTGGCCAATAAAAAGAAAAGATTAAGATGGGCAAAAGAACACAGACACTGGACAGAGGAAGATTGGAAAAGTGTTATGGACAGATGAATCGAAGTTCGAGGTGTTCGGATCACAAAGAAGAACATTTGTGAGACACAGACCAAATGAAAAAATGCTGGAGGAGTGCTTTATGCCATCTGTCAAGCATGGTGGAGGCAATGTGATGGTCTGGGGGTGCTTTGGTGGTGGTAAAGTGGGAGATTTGTACAGGGTAAAAGGGATCATGAAGAAGGAAGGTTATCACTCCATTTTGCAACGCCATACCCTGTGGACGGTGCTTGATTGGAGCCAATTTCCTCCTACAACAGGACAATGACCTAAAGCACAGCTCCAAACTATGCAATAACTATTTAGGGAAGAAGCAGTCAGCTGGTATTCTGTCTATAATGGAGTGGCCAGCACAGTCACCAGATCGCAACCCTATTGAGCTGTTGTGGGAGCAGCTTGACCGTATGGTACGTAAGAAATGCCCATCAAGCCAATCCAAGTTGTGGGAGGTGCTGCAGGAAGCATGGGGTGAAATCTCTTCAGATTACTGGAATGCCAAAGGTCTGCAAGGCTGTAATTGCTGCAAATGGAGGATTCTTTGACGAAAGCAAAGTTTGAAGGACACAATTAGTTTATATTAAAAATTATTATTTCTAACCTTGTCAATGACTACATTTCCTATGCATTATGCTATATTTCCTATTCAAACTCATTTCATGTATGTTTTCATGGAAAACAAGGACATTTCTAAGTGACCCCAAACTTTTGAATGATAGTGTATATTTCCGCACTATGAGGTTGGAATAATACTGTGAAAATAATGATGTCCTTTTAGTGCAAGAGCTGTTTGAAAAGACCACCTGAAATTTCAGCCTGTTTTGGTGGGATGGAGTTTTGGCCTGCCTGGTGACATCACCAGGCGGTAAATTAGTTAATAGACGATAAGAAAAAGTTCCAAACCCCTCTACCAATAACAGCAAGAAGGGTGAAATTGCAGACCACAATTCAGGGCAGTCCTGCATGTGGGCATTCCTGCATCTGCAGAAACCCCTCTTTACACTTCTATTGGTACATTTTTAAGATAGGACTCCAGTTTTGTCACCAAAGCCCCATATACTACCCACCATTGTGACCTGTACACTCTCGTTGGCTGGCCCTCACTACATATGTCGCCAAACCCACTGGCTCCAGGTCATCTATAAATCACTGCTAGGCAAATCCCTGTCTTATCTTAGCTCATTGGTCCACCCCCGTAGTATGCTCTCCAGCAGGTATATCTCACTGGTCATCCCCAAAACCAACACCTCCTTTGGCCGCCATTCCTTCCAGTTCTCTGCTGCCAATGACTGGAACGAACTGCAAAAATCTCTGAAGCTGGAGACACTTATATCCCTCACTAACTTTAAGCATCAGTTGTCAGAGCAGCTTACCGATCACTGCACCTGTACACAGCCCAACTACCTCATCCCCATATTGTTATTTATTTAGCTCATTTGCACCCAAGTATCTCTATTTGCACATCAACTTCTGCACATCTATCACTCCAGTGTTAATACTAAATTATAATTATTTTGCACTATGGCCTATTTATTGCCTTACCTCCATAACATACTACATTTGCACACACTGTATATAGATTTTCTATTGTGTTATTGACTGTACGTTTTTGTTTATCCCATATGTAACTCTGTGTTGTTTTTAATCGCACTGCTTTGCTTTATCTTGGCCAAGTCGCAGTTGTAAATGAGAACTTGTTCACAACTGGCATACCTGGTTAAATAAAGGTGAAATAAAATTAAATAAATAAAAAAACATAGGCAGGAGCGCTCCAGTACAGTAGGTGGCGGTAACACGCCATCCACCGATAAACCCCACCAGGGCCTAAAATTTACTTTTTGGTCCACCAGCCACTGTGGCAGGTAGATAAAAAAACAAAAAAAAATTCCTACCAGCCACTGATTTTTTTACCAGGCAAATGTTGTTGTTGTTGCCATAATTACATCAAAAAACACAAAAACAGATGAGCATGCTTTGTAATGTTTCTAAAACATGTGGTATTTTGCACACAAAAAAATTGGGGTGACCAGAATCTTTTACTCAAAATATCAGAGACAAAATGTTCAGCTGCCTTGTTAAATGCAGGAGGTTCCGTGGTAATGGGGCCACTCGAGCCCTGTCACGCATGTATGACCTGACTAGGGCGTATCTTCGCTATCAGTTGAAGCAGCAGACTCAAACTAACGTTGAAAAACAGAGCTTGTGAACAAAACAATGTATATAGCCAAGAACCACAAGGACAAAGTCTATCAGCACTTCACTCATCGCGCACAGCTCCCCTGCCAGGCAGTATTGCTTTATATTTGCGACTGTAATGCTCACACTGTTGAGCCCTACAAATTGACCACCTGCCAACATGGCTGGTGAAATAGACATTCTTACCCGCCAATGCCTACATCTACCCGCATTTGGCGGGTATTAATTTTATGCCCTGAACCACACAGAAGAGGCTGGGGCGACAACGCTGGTAGCTAGCACACCGGTAGACAGTGTACTTCGCCCCTGCCTGTCAGGCACTGTTTTCCCGCAGTTCTATTACCGACAGTGAGGGCATGTGTTGGCAGACAAGGCCACTGGGTGCTAGCTAGGTAGGACTCCAGTACATAGCAGGTGGGATAGGTACCTAGCTAATGACAGTTAGGACACCGGTAGACAGTGTCCTTTGTCCCTGCGGGTCTGGCACTGTTTTCCCGCAGTTCTGTTAACGACGGCAGGTGTTCGGCAAGCGGGAGCGAAGGACACTGTGTGCTAGCTAGCTAAGAACTCCGCTCCTGTACACAGCAGAGGGGTATTCTACGAAGCAGGTTTGAGGAGTTAGCGAGGTAACTTTGGTCAACTCAAGAGTTCAACTCGGGATAACCAGTCATACGAAAGTGGCTCACCTTTTAGCCAGGTAAATTTCTATGGCAACGAATCCCTCAGAACTAACCTGCGTCGGGCAGGCTAACTCACTGCTAACTCCATTTACCCTGAATGAAATGACTGAGCCGTGAGTTGAGGACCAACGAATCAAATTCCCTTCCTCTCGCAAAGGATGCACCATCCCCTTTTTAGTAAGAACACTGATTAAATATTTTAATAATCAAGTTTTTTTGTGTAAAATTGTTTTAATGTTACAACACAGAATGCATTTTAAACTAAACGTAATGTAACACCTGTATGACTTAATTACAATATATATATATATAAATAAGAGGGGAAAAAGATGCTTGTGCATTGATAAGCACACCAAAGATGGCATTAGTAATAAAATAAAGACTGCACTTCTAAAAGCCTATTTCACTTCTAAAAGCCTGCTGAATTTGCAAGATATCAAAATGAAATAAATGTTTTCGACATAAATGAAAATGTGCCACTGACTTGCCCATGAATTGATGTTTCAGCATTGTCTCAAATGAATAAATATAGTTCAGTGTTCGGCTAGCCACGTGTGACATGCACCCACAGTTACAAGCATACTAGAGTTAGCAGCAGGTTTACGAGCAATATCCACCGTCGTCGTACAGATTACGCCTGAGATTGAATGTGAAGCTAACTGAAGATGCAGAAATGACCACATGCAGGAACGCCCCGATTTACAGGCCGCAATCTCACTATTATTGTTGATAAAAGGTACGTTTGCCCCGCCCAGACAGTCCTAGCAAAATTGTTCTTTGCTAAGTTATTTTTGACCATTATAATTTAAAACAATCACAGTAGTTACTTAATTCTTAACCAGAAATTATTTGATAGATAAAATTAAAAAAACGCCTGCATTGGACCTTTAAACAAACATAACTACAATTAAATTGTTATAGTTAGCTATGTGTAACGAAATAATGTCTGTCTCAATCTCAATATAAATAACATCTGTTGACAGTTTGCCATACATAGCTATACCTCGTAAAACAAATTCCCATTCAGTGTATAATTTAATTATGACTTAAGTCTACCAACCAAACTGCGTCAAGTAGGGTGGCTTGCTATGCAAGGCCCATTTTAGAAGCCATTTCATTTGTTTGTTGTTGCCCAATTACCGTTAGTTAACAAACGTTAGCTAGTTCTTTGGCATCGTTGTGAAAATGCACCTAACCAAACAACATGACATGGCCTGGGAATATTATTTAACGTTAGTTATGTAGTAATTGGGCTCACTAACATCAACACTTTTCCTACAAAGTCACCCATATTGAGAAGCAAATCCATTCAGGGTAACGTTACTGTAGCTAGTAGGCAGCTACTTACGGGCACCCTGTCCGGATACTTCTTCCTTATTTTCTCGCCCTCAGACCGTCTCTTCTCAAATGGGTGCTCCTCTTTGTATTGAAACTTCATTGTCAAACGAATGACAGGCTGTCGGTAGGTATATCTGAGATATCCGACCGGGATTCCTCAAGTAACAATTCGTCGACAACAAACGCTAGTTAGCCTACTGTTTTGCTCGGGTTCTTTCCTAGTGCGACTGCGGCGGAGGGATACCATAATAACATGATGCGAAAGAGAGGTCTGTACGCCGCACAGCTCAAATGGATTGTGGAAGCATGAACGCTGACCGCAAAGAACCACACTGTTGTTTGGGGTTGGGTTGATATTGTTTAGTAATATTCAGCAATTAATTGAAATGTAAGGATTCTTTAACACATTAGCAGTAGTTTTGTTTTTATAGTTATTGTTGGCCAAAATATTTGAACTACTTTATTTTGTCCAACCGGTTGTGATGAGGCAGTTGCCCTTGTCATATGACCCATCCACTGCAGTTTCCGTGGCGATCAGTCATTGGCAGAAAGCGAATTGAAGACTGCTAAATTAACGGCTGAACTCAATTATTAATTGTACATTTACATTTTAGTCATTTAGCAGACGCTCTTATCCAGAGCGACTTACAGTTAGTGCATACATTTTTTCTTTTTTCATACTGGCCCCCCGTGGGAATCGAACCCACAACCCTGACGTTGCAAGCGCCATGCTCGACCAACTGAGCTACACGGGCCCCGTGACATAGAGCAGAGCTGGAAAGAGTTGTGGGGCTGTAATAAATCCTCGCAATGTTCCCATAGTGTCTATTCACACTTCAGCTTCAAGGTGGGTGTCCGGTATCAGTTTGCGTGGGCAGTTACAAGAGTGTAAAAGTGATCATTTGCTTCAGTCATGTCAGCTCATGTGGCTGCTGCTGCTATGAAATGACAATAGTCACAATATCCGTACAAGTAGTCCAGTCAAAGCAGATTGGAAAGTAAGGTATATCCAGGGGGTATAACAATTCCATACTCCAATATGAGCTGTTCTTTTTTTTACCTGTTTTTTTTTGTTACCTGAACTTAATAAGCCATACATTACAAATTCCAGGTCCCGAGGGCTACAGCACTACTGGTTCTCTTTTTTCCTAGCAGTTAATTGATTACCTAATGTCATGGATCAGATAGAGTTCACTCACTGGTTTCTAAGGTCAGTCCCTGAATAGAAGGAAAGCATAGAAACCAGCAGTGTGGTTGCCCTCCAGCAGCCAGCCTGGATATGAATAGACGTTCCCTGCTACTTCAACAGGTAGCCTTCAAGTCCAGCGGAGGCGACGACGAAGGGGAATGAGAGCAAGAGATGCGGTTATTCATTTTACCACATGAGGGCAGTCAAGTGTCAGAAGACCTGTAATATTTGTGGATGAACTCATTGAAGAACAGAATTTCACTATTACTGATCTAGAATAAAACTGCTATATGCGTAACTTATAACATTTGTTCCTCTTTCCAGTGCAGGTAGTTCTGTATATTCACCCAGAAGGCATACAATTGTCAAGATACAAGCAAACAAAAGTATAATCTAGAGACTTTACTGAAAGTATTTTCCAGGGAGAGTGAATTTAAAAAGGAGAGCCAGGTAAAAGTGGTAGATTCTGACAAGTGTTTTATTAGTAACACAGACCTGGGGACTGAACCAAAAAGAAGCCATCGTGACTGGAGCCTTGACAAGATTAAAACTGTTCAAATGGCATTGAAAAGAGAGTGGCAGATAATGGAACCATTACGGTCAAGGGAGCAGGTAACATTTTTAAGAGGGCTGCTCATTCTGCTTCCAATACAAAACAGCAGCAAAAAAAGGAAAAATCCAGAAATGAAGTGCAAATCTCAAATTAAAATTATGGTATCAGGCATAAGAATTTCAATAATGATGTCCAGGTCATACTATACACATCACGGTAACTGAAAGATGAGAAATTGAAAGAGCGAGGTTCCACCATCCAAATAAGTCTTTTTTTGAACCATTATTTTATTTCATAACTTCTTCAGTCCATCCTTACATCTTGATGTATCCTACAAGGGGTTTTGGGGGAACGAGTCTGAGATAGACATGATCATGTCTGTCATTTGATCAAATAAATCAGACATCTCTGGATGAATTATAAAGCAGTCTGTTAAGTATGTAAAGTCTTAATTGTGTAAAATTACCAGTCGTAACGCAATCATTGGTACCCCCAATACCCCTATTAAAAACGAATCATCCTCCCATTTTCTCCTGTCTGGTTGCTCTTGGCCGTCTTAAGTGAAGTAAAGTCCAGTACCAAGTTGAGATAGAGTAAAATGACAGGCTGTTTGTTGCCTGTTGTTGATGTGCAGAGTCCAGGGTAATGATGTGTAAGAACAAAAGGATGGAAACTTTTCCTGTTCGTTGCCTTGCTGTTCCTTCTCCTTTTGTAACGTCAAAACTTTAGCAAGACGTACGAATGTGAGCATTCGCCCAACTCACGTACACAAACGCAGCCCCATGCGTACATACATGGAGTCAGTATCAGGAACTGTAAGGCAGAGAGACTCCATTTTGTTTTTTAAAAAAAATCATACAAATAAAGAAGCAAAAAAAGATAAAGAAAAGCTGCCTCCCCCCCCAGTCGTTTCCTTCCAGATCTCACTCTGTTCATCCCTTGTTTCATGTTCTGCTGTGACCCCCCTCTCCTCTGTCCCCTTCAGAGAGGGGTGAGTGGAGAGGTGAAAGGTCCAGTGTGGAAACGGAGGAGCGATGGGAGCGGGGAAGGGGTTTAAAAAGAGGCCCAATCAGCCAAACCCTCCCTGCAGAATCAGCCAATCACCAGAGCCGGTGCTGGTGGAGGTTTCGACTGAGGACGGACCGGACGTCAACGGTGAACCTAGGAGAGAAGAGAGTTGTCAGGGTAATACATTTCTCATGCTCCCAGGTAAATGGAAAAACACTGCTACAGTGCAGGATGCTCATCATCAGTCTGAATACTTGAAATACTCACCTTAGTGCATCTAGCATAGGCAGCAGGTTAAGGAGTGCTGTGTCACTAGGGTCACTGAACCACGACTTGATAGGTATTGCATTGTCTGAAAGGCAAATACAGAAACAAAGGAGAGTACTTCTGAGTGACGAAAGTAGGAGAGTTATGAAACCTAATATTTGGTAGGCAAAAATCAGGCGAGTAGGACAAAATTATGCCATTAGAAAATCTACAAAACATTCCTAGTATTACTAAGGTGTGGATGGTTGTCCCTTGGTAGCTGCCAACTTACCCTGATTCTCACAAGCCTGTCACAAGGCTAATCACGGTTTCTATAGGAAACATTTGAATTGGTGTGTGTGGTTTGTTTGCTTAAAACATGCAAGAGCTGCTTGGCAACCTTCCACCCACACCCAGCAAGCTGAAAGCAACTAGTTTTACAACATCTTTTTAGTTTAAAACAGTTATCCAAGCTCACCTACGAGGATACGACCTAGAATGATATACATATGCATAGAATACAGTATATGCCATTTAGCAGGGTCTTTTATCCAAAGCGACTTAGTCATGCGTCCATACTTTTTACGTATGGGTGGCCCTGCGAATCGAACCCACAATCCTGCCGTTGCAAGCGACATGCTCTACCAACTGAGCCATACGAGCGTGAATGTGTGTGCGCGTCGTCTCACCTGGATGGCTCCGGTAAGCTCCAGGCGAGTTGTCCAGGATTACGATATTAGATAGGTCATCGTGTACAACAGACAGATCTTTAATATAACTACCTAGATCCAACGTACAATGCTGCAGACACAGGAGGAAAACACATGTAGGATGTAAGCAGATCGCAAATACATGATAGAATCGATCAATCATCATCGAGTACATTAGGTCACTAAAACTGTACAGTGTTTTCACGAAGATGTGGATGGACATAAATCAGTTGTGTTCATATGAAAGGGGAGAGTGGTACCTGTCTGTAGTATCTGCGTTTCAGGATGTTCCTGTTGTTGTCTAGCTTGTCTGCCACCGCCGAGCCGTAGATCTCCATACTGGCTGTGAACACTACCAGCTCATACCACTGGCTGACCTGGAGACAGGGGTCACACACACAGCCAGGTATACATGTTAGGCTCACGCCATCATTTACAGTCAAAGAACTGGTCAAACAGAACAGAGGTAAACATCGTTGACAATGATCACGTTTCCATCCACAGTTATACGAGTAAAGTCATACCGTATTAAGAAATAATTGCGACAGCTGTGATGGAAACAGGACGTTTTGGTACAAGTTTATAAATGCAGACAGATCAATTGTTCATTCTACATGGTGGGATCTTTTTGTAGTAGTAAAATTAATTATACGAGAAATGGCGGTGGAAATTCCTTTATGCAACAACAAAAAAATATATACACACACACCCCAAAGCCAACTACGATAAGGCTGCTGACATAATCCATGACCTCGTCGGGAGATTGGAGAATGTTGCACCAGAGGCACCCAAACAACTCATCCGTGGGGATTTTAAAACGGGTGTACCTTAAAGAAAACCCTCCCAAATTATTAACAATACGTAACCTGCCACACTTGCAATCAAAAAACACTAGATCTCTGTTATAGAAGTACAAAGCATGGCTATAAAGCATGGGGACTCGGATCATAATTAAATCTTGCTCTCACCTAGCTCCAAACAGAACATGTAATCTGAGGAACCTTGTATAAAAGGTATGTGAAGGATTGGTCCGAAACAAATACAGTACCAGTCAAAAGTTTGGATACACCTACTAATTAAAGGTTTTTTCTTTATTTTTACTATTTTCTACATTGTAGAATAATAGTGAAGACATCAAAACTATGAAATAACACATATGGAATCCTGTAGTAACCCAAAAAAGTGATAAACAAATCAAAATAGATTTTATATTTGAGATTCTTCAAAGTAGCCACCCTTTGCCTTGATGACAGCTTTGCACACTTTTGGCATTCTCTCAACCAGCTTCACCTGGAATGCTTTTCCAACAGTCTTGAAGGAGTTCCCACATATGCTAAGCACTTGTTGGCTGCTTATTCATTTTACCACATGAGGGCAGTGAAGTGTCAGAAGACCTGTAATATTTGTGGATGAACATTTGTTCCTCTTTCCAGTGCAGGTAGTCACCTGTAATGCATTTCAATTAACAGGTGTGCCTTGTTAAAAGTTAATTTGTGGAATTTCTTTCCTTCTTAATGTGTTTGAGCCAATCAGTTGTGTTGTGACAAGGTAGGGGGGAGGGTTATACAGAAGATAGCACTATTTGGTAAAAGACCAAGTCTATATTATGGCAAGAACAGCTCAAATAAGCAAAGAGAAACGACAGTCCATCATTACTTTAAGACATGAGTCAGTCAATCCAGAACATTTCAAGAACTTTTAAAGTTTCTTACATTTACATTACATTTTAGTCATTTAGCAGACGCTCTTATCCAGAGCGACTTACAGGAGCAATTAGGGTAAAGTGTCTTGCTCAAGGGCACCTCGACAGATTTTTCACCTAGTCGGCTCGCTCAAGTGCAGCCGAAAAAAAACATCAAGCGCTATGATGAAACTGGTTCTCATGAGGACTGCCACAGGAAAGGAAGACCCAGAGTTACCTCTGCTGCAGAGTATAAGTTCATTCGAGTTAACTGCACCTCAGATTACAGCCCAAATAAATGCTTTACAGAGTTCAAGTAACAGACACATCTCAACATCAACTGTTCAGAGGAGACTGCGTGAATCAGGCCTTCATGGTCAAATTGCTGCAAAGGAACCACTACTAAAAGGACACCAATAATAAGAAGAGACTTGCTTGGGCCAAGAAACACGAGCAATGTACATTAGACAGGTGGAAATCTGTCCTTTGGTCTGGAGTCCAAACTTGAGATTTTTGGTTCCAACCGCTGTGTCTTTGTGAGACGCAGAGTAGGTGAACGGATGATCTCTGCATGTGTGGTTCCCACCGAGAAGCATGGAGGTGGTGGTGTGATGGTGCTTTGCTGGTGACACTGTCTGTGATTTATTTAGAATTCAAGGCACACTTTACCAGCATGGCTACCACAGGATTCTGCAGCAATACGTCATCACATCTGGTTTGCACTTAGTGGGACTATCATTTGTTTTTCAACAGGACAATGACCCAACACACCTCCAGGCTGTGTAAGGGCTATTTGACCAAGAAGGAGAGTGATGGAGTGCTGCATCAGATGACCTGGCCTCCAGAATAACCCGACCTCAACCCAATTGAGATGGTTTGGACCGCAGAGTGAAGGAAAAACAGCCAACAAGTGCTTAGCATATGTGGGAACTCCTTCAAGACTGTTGGAAAAGCATTCCAGGTGAAGCTGGTTGAGAGAATGCCAAGTGTGCAAAGCTGTCATCAAGGCAAAGGGTGGCTACTTTGAAGAATCTAAAATATATTATGATTTGTTTAACACTTTCTTGGTTACTACATGATTCCATATGTGTTATTTCATAGAATAATAGTGAAGACATCAAAACTACAATGTAGAAAATAGTAAAAATAAAGAAAAACCTTTGAATGAGTAGGTGTGTCCAAACTCTTGACTGGTAGTGTATGGACATGTTAAAAGGCTGCTTTGACTAACATTTGGGAAGAATTCTGTAACACAAACGAAAACATTGAGGAACTGAACTATTACTGACTACATAGCTACATTGTTGCATTGACTCTGTAATTCCAGTAAAAGACCACTAAACATTTTTCAGAATGCAAAACCCTGCATAACTAAGGAACTAAAACAGTTACTTGGGGGGTGGGGTGGGGTAAGGGGGGGGGGGGGGGGGGGTTAGAAGGATTACTTTATCCTATCCCAGGTGTTCCTTAAAGAGGTGGGGTTTCAAATGTCTCCGGAAGGTGGTGAGTGACTCCGCTGTCCTGGCGTCGTGAGGGAGCTTGTTCCACCATCATCTCTGAAAAGGATGTCCTCCGGGTCTTCTCTAAACTCAATCCTCTGAAAGCAACAGGCTGTGATGGTCTAAGCGGCTGGATTATCAGGGAGTGTAAAATGGCAACTGTGACATATACATAATACTTTTTTTTTAACGTCACTGGATAGCTGCAGAATCTTCCAAATCTGGAAAACTGCAAGTATTGTGCCCATTCCCAAAGTGAATAATCCCAAATCCCTGAATGACTATCGTCTCATCTTGACCTGGGTGATAATCAAATGCTTGGGACACCTTCTCCGGCACACAGAGAGCCTACTGGACCTGTTCCAGTTCGCATGTAAACCAGGCCACGGTGATGAAGATGCACTGCTCTTCCTTCTTCATTAAATCTACGTGCACCTTGATAAACCACCTTCATTAGCCAGAAAATAGTTGATTTTTCATCTGTCTTCGACGGATTACATCCTGATATTCTGGTGAACAAACTTGCGACCATGGGCGTCAACCCGCCTTAACTGGACCTGGTGTTCTCACTAGTTGGGTCAGAACAGTGAGGTCCAATGCGAATACGTCGGACCCACTAACCACCAATATATGGGTACCCCAGGGCAGTGTCCTTTCACCAGTTCTGTTCACCCTCTACACCAGGGATGGGCAACTGGCGGCCCGTATGCCCCTTTAGGACCGCAGATGTTTTTTTTGCAGACCCACAAGCTACTGCGGCCCCTCATAATGAGTTCTGTTTTTTTGTGGCCCCCACCACCAAAGTTACCCACCCCTGCTCTACACCAATGATTGCACCCAAATAACATCAGAATGTGCAACAGTAATGTATGCAGATGATACAGCAATATTTGGTCTAATAGGAGGTGTCTGAGGATGACTACAGGACAGAAATAACACACTTCACCCAATGGTGCAAGAAAAACATTAATTCTTAATGTGAGAAAAAACCCAAGGAAATGACAAACTTCAGAACTATAAAAGACGACTCAGGGCAAATATCTTGGAACTATAATTGACTCAAAACTCTCCTGGACTGCAAACACACAGATATACAAAAAGGGAAAACTACTATTTCATGAGGAGATTAAGGGTGTTCGTAAATTCACTTTGGAGTGCCAAGAGTGCGCTCAGACCGTTCGTAAATTCAGAGCATTTTGCTCTCTGAGCATTCAGAGCGCACACCTGGACGCTCTGGCCGAGGAGTAGGGTTGATCCGAGCGTTCTGACCTCAACCGCAGTCAAGCACCCAAGCTAACTGGCTAAAGTTGGCTAGCTACTTACAGACACAAATAAGAGAACACCTCACTGACCATTTAACTCGCCCTAGCAGAGCTGGTTAGGCTGTTTTCATGTTATCTAGAGTGTTGGTGACTAACTGTGCTGATGATAACAATTTATTTAAGTTTTTTTGCCGACATTCACTGACACTGGTCATATTCAACCGGTGTTGCGCGTTCGTAAATTAATCAGTATTCTGCGCTCTGGCATACTCAAACGAGAATGCTCTGAAATCGGAGTAGATAGCCAGGGTGAATTTACGAATGCACACTAAATAAATAGGTCAAAAGAATAACAACCACATTCTACACATCCTTTGTTCAGACATCACTCTCGGTTTCAAAGCCTGGTACAATCAGCAATCCATTGCAAATAAAAACACGATAAACAAAATAGTAAAACTGTCAAGCAAAATCAGTGGAATTAATCTCAAGAACATGGAAGCGCTGTTCTTGGAGAGTGGTGAGGGCAGGACGGAGAATTGTCACCGACCTGACACACCCACTCAACCAGGAGTACCAGCTCCTACCGTCAGGCCGCCGATACGGAGTCCATCTTTACAGAACCACCAGAGCCCAGAAATAATTCATTCCCACCAGTATAAATCAACTGAATAAATAACTGCTCAACGCCCCTCCACCCCAGAATATACGAACTGAATTACGAACTGTATCCACATGTGTTGTCGTATCCACATGTTTTCTGCTGTAGTTATTGCTTGTGATTTATGTATGTATTTATGCACCTATTGGTGATGCTGTGTTGTTTGTTGAGATGCAAGACACATTTCCAGAAAGGGACACAATAAATAATAATGATTACTATAACTATCATATTATGCGATGACGTGTGTGGTCCTCCCACTACGACTCTGGAAACCATGCAATTTATTAGGCTACATTTTAAATAAATTAAGAAACTTCACAGGGTGGTAAAAGTGCACGGGTATCGAGGGTCAGATTCTGGTGACATGATGATCGATGCATGACTGATTTATTCATAGCGAACTGTTGGCTAGAGCCACGTGCCAACAACAGAGTAGGCACATTTGCTATTTAACACAACAGTTTGTGACAAAACTATCCGTAGAGTTGAAAATGCGATGGAAACACATTGAACTTTAGATTTTTATTCAGTACATGAAAACTTAAGCCAAAAAGTACATTGTGTCCACTACATCACGCATTGATTTTTATCCGCAACAAGTCAATTTGGTGGAAACACCACTGGTGGGAAAATTTGCATATTTTCTTTCTGTGGATTTTAGACTATTCACATGAAAATCTGTCGCCAATTGGATGGAAGCCTAGCTACTGACGTACAAAATAGAACTCAGTTCACGAACGGGAAAAACTGCTAACTTTTACTCACCACTTCTAAAAAGAAGTCGACGTGCGGCCTTTTATGTACAAAGAATCTGACAGGGTGCTTGTCAATGACTACCTGCAAGAGAGAAGAAACAGATGCTTAGAAAAGGAGTAATATCATCTTGGGTCAGGTGTGTGTACGTGCAGCATGCTTGCCTCTGGACCAGACGGTCCAGGTTTGGCTACCACCCCCACACCGCAATTCGCTACCCGCATGTGTTTACCTTGAGGATGAAGTCTGGTGGCGTGCCAGGTCTCACTGTGGGTCTGAGGACCCCGTCGTGGTGAGAGTGGATCAGCGTCTCATCTAGATCCAGTACAAGAATCTTCCTCTTCACTGCATCTGAATACCAAACACACACCTGCTTATTACCTGTTCAATAATATATACCTTACCAACTCAGTAGCCTTGTGGTTAGATGGTCCTCCCCGAGATTGGAAGGATGGGGGTTCGCTCCCCGGTCGAGTCATACCAAAGACAAAAAATGAGACCCGATGCCTCTCTGCTTGGCACCCAGCATTAAGGAGATAGATTGGGGGTAAGTCCCTGTGACAGACTAGTGTCCTGTCCAGGGGGTGTACTGTCTATCAAGCTGCCTGGCGCTACAGAAACAGGAGAGGCTCGTGCACTATGGGCCGTTCTGGCTTGCGCAAGGCTTACTTAATACACACCTTGCTAGATCTAATCTATAACAGCATAAAATAACCTGACAATACCGTAATACCGACGATTTTACCATCACACAAGTGACAAAAAGATTTGTTTTGCCCATACACGCTTCAACAGAAGGTATCCGATGTATGTGATAAGAGCAGTGGTGTAGTGAAGGCTATATGCAGGTATATGCCGTATACCCCTTTTTTTTTCTCCCAGTGGGCATTGCGTATATCCACGTCTTAATCCCCACCGATGCGTATCACAATAGTATAGTGGAGGTATATACGCTGTATCAACTATATAGTGCAATAGAGAAATCATACACAAAGTAGCCTACACAATCGCAAAGCACGTGAAATATATCCACATGCGCGCCGCACACATCTAGTTTCAGCGGAATATCAGGCAGCAAGAGTGTGCAGCTCTCAACTGGTTGTTTCATTGAGCAGCTCACAGAATTGAACGACATGGGTAGGAAATATGTTTCAATTTATGATATCTACCAGTAAATGCTAACTTAGGCAACAATGGGTATGCAAACCAGGTATTGAAAAAGTTTGGTCCTAAATCTTGGTTGAATCTTTGCGATGCGCAATTCGGTTCATCATGGCAGTTTGAATAAAAATGTCTAAAGGCTTTCCCAAAAAACCTTCCCAATTAAATGTTGACTGCAAAGTAGGTCTTTGTATCAATCGGGAGGGCATTTGTTTTGCAATGTCTGCCGTCACCTATAGCGTAAATTGTAAGCTACAATGTACAGTACAGAAAGACCGCTAGCCAAATTGTATTTTGCTAGATGAGCAATTACATTTAAGGCAAACTACACCCTCCCAAAATTATATATATATATTTTTTCCCAGACCTCAAATGTTCTCGGGATGGGATTCAAGCATTGTTGTGGACTTAGAATCCCAATTGTATTTTATTTCTCTATATATTAAAAAAAGGTGTGATTTTGAGATTGAACCCGATAGGAAAAACTAGGACAACTCAAAAAAACAAAAAGGAAAACAGAGCTTTTCACACAGGGCGCCTTTTCTTTGCCGGTCGGCCCACCTGGGATTTTTTTTTGCTAAATTAGAGTATAACCACTTCTCCAGCCACCACTACACCACTGGATAAGAGATAGCAGAGCAGGGCTGTGCTAAGAGATAGCAGAGCAGGGCTGTGCTAAGAGATAGCAGAGCAGGGCTGTGCTAAGAGATAGCAGAGCAGGGCTGTGCTAAGAGATAGCAGAGCAGGGCTGTGCTAAGAGATAGCAGAGCAGGGCTGTGCTACGGAGAAGCCCTTTGAAGAGACTGGGGGTGTGTTCATACTCTTCAGCCTAAGAACTGAAATGAACAATGGATTTACAGGACCATGGAACATTTGTGAAAGTATGGCCCCCGTTTTCTTTTGAGACAAGCTCTTAAACAGTAGTAGTTGGACCTCCTAGGGCCCAGCGAGCACCCGTGTTTCATGCCCATACAGTATGTTGTCTTTGAAGATGTATACAATTAGATGCCCACCACTTTGCAGTACTAGCTGCCTTGTACAGATTGTACCTGTTGCTTTTTCATTTCGTCTGTGTGTTGTGTATTTGTGATCATATTTTCTAACTTTTTTGCTTGTTTGTCTCCATCATAATTTATTTTAACAGAAATAACTGAACAAGTTACAAAGCTCTTTCTTTGCAGATCCGTTTACAGGCATTACTGAACAATGACTTAACTAAATAAAGATTACTGGACTATATACTCACTGAGTCTGTTTCTGGAGATGGGGGACAGGGGTAAAGTGTCATACCGTACTGTCTGGTACTGGATAACCTGAAAGAAAGACAGACCGAGAGGGAGATGAAACAGTCAACTCAGCCAACGACAGTCACAGACTCAAGATTTTAGTGTCTGTTACATCTGTGAGCATAAAATTGCAACAATAGAAAGCAGAACAGTGGCCAAAGTTCGGTTACTGCGGTCTTGGCCGTGTTACAGGACTAAAATTGTAAAACAAAACAATCCTAGCTATAGATGATCACTTTATTAGAAGGCGATGTAATGCATCAAACCCCAGTAAAGAGTAAAAGCTCTCGTTATTCCATTGTCTGCTCCCTATACTACCATCCTTGGGTGCATTTCAAAAGTTTAGTGGTTTCAACCTGCTTCCTTTAGTTGTCAGGACTAAGTAGTATGGTGGATTCCTACTTGGAATTTGCTTACACCCGTCAGTGCAGATGACAGACACACCTGTTGGAAAGGATATGAGGAGAGGGACCCACATCAGATTATTCAGACACACCCGTTTTCCCCACTCCATTCATTCATTCATTCATGGTTCCCACCTTCCTTCCTTGACAGAGTGGGCAGTTTTCACACTCTGTGGCCCCAGTGGCCCTGTTTTCCATAAGGGCTATATTTAGCCCCCCCCCCAGCTGTCTGCGGGTGTCACTGGAATAGGGGGCCAAGTGGAAAAGGGAGACCTGCAGGGTGACTGACTGGGGCCGAAAACCCTTGTTTTGTCCGAAACCCTTAGACCGTGTCACCGTGCCACCCTGCCAGGCCCGTTCCATTCCACGGCTGAGCAGGCCTAGGGATAGCCTGTTCATGAGCAGCTGGTGGAAGCCATGGGGGGGAACCCACAGCCCCACTTTCTGTACCCTCTGGGGTGTTGTCTGTATGCCACCCCCTTAACCCAGGAAACCCTCTCCAGCCCTCCATTCTGAAGACTATGCATTTATGTCGCATTGTTGTCTGTCTTGAAGAATATGATGCAACTGGCTCATGATGTCTAGCTCACATCAGATTAAGGAGCATGTGTGTGTTTATGCTCCATTATCCAATTGTAGTGATGACAGGTGCATGAAACAAGTCATTTTGGGAATTTGTGTCTATACATAGTCTAGGCCAGGGCTCTCCAACCTTGTTCCTGCAGGTTTTCACTAACGCCTTGTGCACACCGGTTGCGTCGAACTGTATGCATTCTGGCAGAAGTCCATTCATTTCATTGGGAGGCAATCCGCACCGCTGCGACTCATCTGCTGAACTAGGTTGTAGTGTGTGGCACTGCATGCTTGCATTGGATTTCTTCAACTTGCGCGTTGCTTTGCGGTACCAGTAGTAAACCAACGAAAAAGTTGCTAATGTGTAGCGCGATTCTTTTTGTTGTGATGCGGCACATGGATTGTGAAGACCATGTAAAATGTACCATACCACAATAACCCGTTTGCACCCGATTCTAGTAATTAGCTGGTTGATAAGATTAATCAGATAAGTTAAAACTGGGGTTGGAGCAAAAACCTACAGAAGGGTAGCTCTCCAGAAACAGGGTCGGAGAGCCCTGGCCTTTATGGCTACAGCATACCAGGGTGTCTACTGCATGAATGTGGAACCTCGTTTGGCCAGACACCTAGGCCCTGTTTCCATCATCACATTGGTAGTTGGGAGTGGGAAAACCACCATTGCACCTGTAATATCATACTCCAGAGAATTACCCAACCCAGGCAGTCTTGATCCAGCATATTCAGGACGCATATTACCAATCGTTCAGGGACTAATAGGTTGCTACATTGTGGAATAAATTATTTCATGCCATGTAGAACGTTGAATTACATCAACCCCACACATCATACAGTATTTCTATCTGCAATGTTCCAAACACTTCATCTGCATCCCACTGACTAGGCCCTGAGGCCCTCTGGTCAGTGACGATGTATCACTGTTAGGTAATACAGTACAAGCCGTAAACACTGGACCTTGACTAAACCATGTGTGTGTACAGTGTGTGTGTGAGAGCGCGTGAACAGGAACAGGCTAGTCTTTGTGGCTCAGTAATCCCTCACCCTTTGGCCCTAACGTGGACTACCCTCTGTTTACCCTGGAGCAAAATAAACTGGAACTAATAGTACCCCATGCTTAGATGTCATAATTTGATAACGCGGCTTTCAGTTTACAGACTAGAGACAGTATATAACAAACAAACAATATACGTCACCCGACCTGACTGTGCATTACTTAGTGGACAGGTGTAGCCTTTAACACCTCAAAATGTCAAGTTTATAATAGGGGCATCAGTGAACAAGTAGGTGTGACCAGAGTCTTGTGGGTCAAGTCCATATATCAAGGACTTGCGAGACTTCTCTCAGTAGAACAAGATCCTTTATTTGTCAACACCCACATCACACTACAGTAGGGGGCAACAAAAGTAACCCAGAAATATGTGAGCGGTGGCATTCGATGTCAGGATCAGAAGGGTTTGTGTGAGTCCATAGCAAAGGTTTTGTCTGTGTTTATTTCAATGGTTTCCTACAGCCCCACCTGAAGCACATTTCCTAGCATGCATTTCCACCAAGTGCTATTCTGACTATGGCTCTGATAAGGGTCATGTGGCCTTAGGGGAATGGAAGCAGGCTTGTACTCTTGGTGAGATGATTGGTTCTGATTTTAGGTTGATTGTGTTTTGGGTTTGTGACAGGGTTATGACAGCAGTAACCAAGACATTTGAATATGTGAGTTGCAGGTATGTCCCAGACACACACACAACCCATCCAATGACGTACATATACTGTACAAAAATATAAAACGCTACATGTAATGTGTTGGTCCCATGTTTCATGAGCTGAAATTAAAGATCCCAGAAATGTTCCATTGCACAAAAAGCTTATTTCTCTCAAATGTTTAGCACAACTTTGTTTACATCCCTGTTTGTGAGCATTTTTCCTTTGCCAAGATAATCCATCCACCTGACAGGTGTGGCATATCAACAAGCTGATTCAACAGCATGATCATTACACAGGCGCACCTTGTGCTGGGGACAATAACGGCCACTAAAATGTGCAGTTGTCAAAACACAATGCCACAGATGTCTCCAGTTTTGAGGGAGTGTGCAATTGGCATGCTGACTGCAGGAATGTCCAACAGAGCTGTAATTTTTGCACAAACTATCAGAAACTGTCTCAGAGAAGCTCATCTGCGTGCTTGTCGTCATCACCAGGGTCTTGACCTGACTGCAGTTCAGAGTTGTAACCGACTTCAGTGGGCAAATGCTCACCTTCGATGGCCACTGGCACGCTGGAGAAGTGTGCGCTTCACGGATTAATTCCCGGTTTCAACTGTACCGGGCTGATGTCAACATTGTGAACAGTGCCCCATGGTGGCAGTGGGGTTATGGTATGGGCAGGCATAAGCTACGGACAACAAAACTGCATTTTATCTATTGCAATTTGAATACACAGAGATACCGTGACGAGATCCTGAGGCCTATTGTCGTGCCATTCATCCGCCACCATCACCTCATGTTTCAGCGTGATAACGCACAGCCCCATGCTGCAAGAACCTGCACACAATTCCTGGAAGTTTAAAAATGTCCCAGTTCTTCCATTGCCTGCATACTCACCAGACATGTCACCCATTGAGCATGTTTGGGATGCTCTGGATCGATGTGTATGACAGTGTGTTCCAGTTCCCGCCAATATCCACTGCCAATATCCAGCAACTTCGCACAGCCATTGAAGAGGAGTGGGAAAACATTCCACAGGCCACAATCAACAACCTGATCAACTCTATGGGAAGGAGATGTGCTGTGCTGCATGAGGCAAATGGTGGTCACAGCAGATACTGACTGTTTTCTGATCCAATCCCCAACCTTTTTTGTTAAGGTATCTGTGACCAACAGACTCATCTGTATTCCCAGTCGTGAAATCCATAGATTAGGGCCTAATTTATTTATTTAAATGGACTGATTTCCTTATATGAACTGTAACTCAGTAAAATCATTGAAATTGTTGGTTTATATTTTTGTTCGTGTATAAATCATTGGACCCACACCCCAGACAATGCAAACAAACGTGAGAATCGAGGAGTGAGTTGGTTTATCTACTTCTCAACAATAATGCCAAATATGTTTTTATAACTAACCTTTGTGCTGTCTGTGATAATGCTTACCGTGCGTAGGTGCTTCCTGAGAATGTACAAGAAGAAGCCCCATATTCTGGACGTTACACCTAGGAAAGTGCGGATGCCAAGTAGACACTGTCGGGTCTTCAGCATGTCGGCGACCACACAGGAACAGGAGACTGAAGAGACTACAAGCTAGCCCTCTCAACAAAGTTGACCAATTTGGTTCGGCCTAGGCTCCAAAGAGTCGAATCAGAATACTTTCGCTACAACCTCTCCAAAACGAACCAAACGCGTCCAAATCAACAAAACTAGACCAAGCAAACGTGTGAGAGCATCTGCACGCTTGCTGCACAACTCTCATCGATTGGAATGCATTGGCATTGTGTAGCAGAATAATTGTGTTATAAAAACAAGAGCTAGTTACTCTTGCACGATGACTGCTATCCAATGGCAATCTGGCTAGCTATAGTCAGACTATCCCACGCAGCTCGTCTCGCTGACAAGCTAGCTAGCTCGGTAGGCTGACCACTACCACCTTCATTGAACCCTTGAGAAAAATAACTAAAAACTTTCGGCCATTGCAATTTGAAAGCAGTAATTAATGCGCTTATTTGCTCCGTGGTAACTGAAGAAAAATAATGATTGAAAACAAACAAACGTCAACCAGTCACCACGAAAACTGCTTTCAGGCTACAGCAAATCCGGGATCGAACTGCGAGCCGCCTTGCCGTCACTTCCGCGGGGAGAAAAGTCTCCTCAACTCGATTCGAAACGGACTGTTACGCGCAGCACGTCCCCGTGGAAAGCAGACAAACAAAAAGTAGGTTTTTGAGAAATGAAAGTCACGTTCCAGCAGCCCTACATACAGTAGAGCAATGTTCTAGTGTCAGATTTGGTATAGAATATTGCAAAATGTGAATTTTTCGCGCTTAAAGATGCAGTGAGTCCTAGAATATGTGAAATTGCTGTCAAAGATGTTGTAACCTACTTAGGTGTCAAAATTACCCTAAATAGTAACGAAATGAAAGAAATCAATGTCAATCGCTTAATTGAATCTATAAAAACAAAAATTTAAATAATGGTTGGCAGGAGATTTTTCTCTTCAGGGTAGAGTTCTCCTGTCAAGGCAGAGGGTTTATCTCGAGCTTCTTATCTTTTTACGTCTTTAGAGATTCCCAAGTCTACGTGTGCCATTCTCGACAAATTATTATTCAATTTCATTTGGAAAAATAAGCCACACAAGATCAGGAAGGATGTCATTACCAACAAGATGTGTGATGGTGGTCTTAATGATTTTACGCTGTTTAACCAGACTACAAAAGTGAACTGGGTTAAGAGGTATCTCAAAAAACCTTAAATTCTTAGGAATTTAATACCACATTTTATTTTCCAGAATATTGGGGATCTCAATTTTTTACTCCAATTCCCTTATGCTGTGGGTAAACTTCCTGTTAAATTAGCAAAAGCTCTAATGTGCTGGTCCTTGTCATACAAGCACAACTTCTCTCCACACAAATTTTTTATTTATAATAACGGTGATATTAAATATATCAATAAAAACCGTATTTTTCCACAATTGGTTTGCCAATAACATCTTCGTGTTTAATCAACTTATACATTATAATGGTCATCTTTATACTTACAATGAATTATTAGCCAAATATAACTTTATGTTGTGTAAGGAATATGACATATTAATGAAAGCTATTCCCAATGGAATCCTTACTTTCCTGAAAGATCGATCAAGCTTTTCATTAAATGCACTAAGTTACAGTGATAGTGTATAAATTAATGGCATCAATATATTAGATAAGAAATTTAACAACAATTTAGTCAGAGAAATTATTAACAGGAAGTTTACCCCTGCAGCAATTTTTCAATTGTCATCTTCATTTGATGTGAAATGGCAGTGTGCGTGGACTAATCCACATACATTTTTGATAACTAATAAAGTAAGAAAAGTCCCTTACAAGATCCTTCACAGATGTTATCCTTGTAATAGTCTTATTTCTAAATATGTAATTAATGTAGAAAAGCAATGTAGCTTTTGTGAACTGGAAAATGTGACTATAGAGCATTTATTTTGTGATTGTTTGCATAGTGAAATATTTTGGACAGATATGAAAATATATATTAGTGATAAGATGGGTAAACATATAAGCATTACCAAATTTGATATTCATTTTTATTTTACATACACGCACAGTGACTGCCAATACATTGTGAATTTGTTCATTTTATTGGGAAAATGTTTCATCCATGAAATTAAGTTAATGGGTAAAGAAAAACATTTTCAATATTTCACTATATAGCTCAGTTGGTAGAGCATGGCGCTTGCAACGCCAGGGTTGTGGGTTCGTTTCCCACGGGGGGCCAGTATGAAAAATGCATGCACTCACTAACAGTAAGTCGCTCTGGATAAGAGCGTCTGCTAAATGACTAAAATGTAAATGTAAAATGATATAACATCCCTAAAATATATAAATACCAAATTATCAAAGAAGTGTCTACAGTATTTGTCAAAATGTAACTTGTCAATAGAGTAATTTACTTTTTTTGTGTCCCTCTGTATGTATTTTATTTTTTTTGTTATGTGTGATATCTATATGTTGTTTTGTATAATGTTCGTGTAATGCAATAACAAAAAAGCAGGTGCGCATCTTCTGCTTTGGTATTGGGTTGGCGGATCGCATCCAACTGTTAAGGTACACACACCGCCACCTACTGTACTGGAGTGTGAGGCCAGTCACGGCCTACCTACATTAAATGATCTTAATTAGTCCTGTTCCTCTTAGGAAAGTGAAATAGAGCCCTAGACAACACTTCCCTCCCCCCACTACAACACCCAAACCCCAACCCCTTCCAGCCTCTCTAACCCTTTCACATAATTTCTCACTATCTACATTATACAGTTCACAAAATATCAACACATGCTCCACAATTTCCTCCACTAAACACTCATCACACAGACCTGTTTCATGTCCCCCTATCATCCACAACATGGCATGCAAACATGTGTGTCCAAACTGTAGTCTACTCCACATAACTTCCTCTCTCCTACATCCCATACTCCCCACCTCTTCCTTTACTGACCGGTGCACGCGATAAAATAGCCTTCCCTTACTACTAGCATACCACTCCCTTTGCCAAAGATCGAGCCCTTTTGCCCAGATCAAGGACTTGACTTCCCTGTGGCCCAGTGGGACCTGAATATCTACCCCCGCTCTCCTCACAGCACTCTTAGACAAAACATCAGCCTTCTCATTGTCCTCCACACCCACATGGGCGGGAACCCAGCAAAAGCTTACCCCCACTCCCATCCTCTCCAATCCCATTAACAGCACCATCATCTCCACAAACAAGTCTTCCCTATCCGACCTGCCTGTCTTCACACTACTCAACACTGCAGCCCAATCAGAGCAGATCCCCATTCTGAGTGGTTTCACCTCCTCCACCCATCTCAAACCTATAATCATGGCCATAAACTCAGCTGCATACACTGGCACATAATCAGTTAACTGCTTATATACTCTAACATTGAAATCTGGGATATACACCCCTGCCCCCACCCTACCACTGACTGTATCATTTGAACCATCTGTATATATCCTTAAAAATTTATAAAACCGATTATCTACATATCTCTCCACACACCGTCTCACGTCCTCACCCCATTCTCTCCTGCCCTCAAACATGTCCACATCTACAATTGGTTTCGGAAACAGCCACAGAGGAACATTCCCCCAGTCCATATTCTACCACCTTCTGGCCGATTGTCCACCCGTACGCCCTCTGCTTACCCACTCCTCGCTCCCAGCATTCCCCAGTTGCTATGACCACAGAATGTCCTTCTGAACTCCCTTTCAACCTCACCCAGTATGCTAATGGAGTTTGTCCCGCCTTATCCTCAGTGGCAGTTCCCCACTATCCACCTACAATGCCTCAGCAGGTATCGTCCTGAAGGCACCCACACACAATCTCAGGGCCCTTGACTCTATGCTATCCAGGCGCTGTAGTATCGTTTTGGCTGCCGATCCATATACAAAGCACCCATAATCCAAAGATGACCTGATCAATGCCTGGTACATATACAACAGTGTTTATCTATTCAACCCCCAATCATATCCTGCCCCTGCCCTCATGAGGTTCAGCACCTTCCTACACTTAATTTCAATATACTCAATGTCTCTTCCACGTAAGCCTCTCATCAAACCACATACCTAGATACTTAAACTCAGACACCCTACCTACTGTATATCCTGACTGTATATTTGCAGCCTAACATCTTTAACCTTCCTCCTAGACTACGCCATAAAGCAGGACTCGGCCACAGACATCCTAAACCCCCATGTTAGAAACCAATCTCCCACAACTTCTTGCATCTTCCTCATTAGGTGCACATCATTTTTAAACCTGTATAGTATCTCTGGTAGTGTGATTTTCACGCATTTCTAAAGCAAATACAGTTATATGGTTTATTACCCTGAATAAGCATTGTGGTGAAATACGCAGACAAACTAATAAGCATCGTGTTGTTATATATTATCATAATTGATGATGTAGCAGTCAAGCCAAGCTGTTTAAATTGTATTAATGTATATTAATTGCCAGTGATGTTGGTGAAGGTTTTTAGAGAGTAGACCAGTGCCAAGCTTTTATTGCCCATTGTTATGTTGGTATACAATTGCCTTGCGTCCTTGAGGGCCATCACAAGAACTCAGTTGCTCCTTTAAAGGCCTAAAAATAACAAACTATAGGAACTATTTTATTTTTTATTCATAAGTCTATGTGATTTCATGTGGCTAAAGGGTTGGGTCTGACTTGACATGCATAGAACCGAACAATAGGGCCACATACTCACATTCCAGTGGTTAGCGGTAGAAACTGCACTAGAGATCCTGCTTAGAGTCCAGGCTCTGTCGCAGCCGGCCGCGACCGGGAGACGCATGGGGCGGCGCACAATTGGCCCTGCGTCGTCCAGGGTAGGGGAGGGTTTGGCCGGCAGGGATGTTCTTGTCCCATCGCGCACTAGCGACTCCTGTGGCGGGCCGGGCGCAGTGCACGCTGACTCGGTCGCCAGGTGTACGGTGTTTCCTCCGACACATTGGTGCGGCTGGCTTCCGGGTTAAGCGGGCACTGTGTCAAGAAGCAGTGCGGCTCGGTTGGGTTGTGTTTCGGAGGACGCACGACTCTCGACCTTCACCTCTTCCGTTTCCGTACGGGAGTTGAAGCGGTGGGACAAGACTAACTACCAATTGGATACGACGAAATTGTGGAGAAAAAGGGGGTAAAATAGCAAATAAATACAGACAACCTGAAAACAGTACCCTTTATTTGAAGCTGGATTTAAACAGAGACCTGTCATAGGCTGTAGGCATCTGATCTCAGCGTCAATCAGTCTTCTGCTGAAATGTTCCTGAATTTCCAATATATCTCCACTACTTACAGACTCCACCCTAATAAACTTCCTCCACTGCATAAACTGGCATTCGGTAAGCCTGGTATTTTGTTTAACTTTCATTTAAATCTCCTCTGAGAAAGTAAAATAAATATCTCAGGCAGGAACCCAGGCTATTATTGTGGTTTCCGGCATGTAAATGTCCAAAAGTGGCATTAACTCCAGGGAGCAGGTCACTGTGCTCTTCATGGCCTGTAGCCTGTCCTCTAGACATCAAGGTCATCATCAGGATCCTCCTGGTCATAATCATCATTGGCATCAGGCTCGTATAGGATCCGTCCTGAACCGGGGCCCGGGTGCAGAAGTGCTGACTTCCTGGAAGAAGACAAAAATGGGGAGTTCGATAAACACTTCAGACAGTAGCAAGGCAGCACAGTAGAAAGACAGAAAAGTAGCAAGACAACATGGGTAGAAGAAAAAAAAGGCAGAAACAAAATCTCACTTCTCTTTACTGAAGACGAAGGGAAGCGGCAGTTTTTCTTTGGCCTCTCTCTGTGTATCAGACAGGCGCAGGTTAAAGGTCAGGTTGGCTGTTGGATCCGCCTGGGGAAGGACAAGAGAATCATACAATACCATTGGCTTATTCCTTATCATTCTCACATTGTGCATGTCAGGAATCATACAGGTGTGCTACCTCAGATTCGTCTGTATTCATCGGTGTGTGTCCAGGATGACTGAGTTTGCTCTGTATTGTAACTGTCAGGTCCTCATTGATGCTGAAGATCTCCTCCTAGTAACAGACACACACTTAAAAATCAGCAGAAAATGGCCAAGACAGTTAAATTATTCAATTCAAACCAGCAGCACTCCATGCTCCACTCCATTGTTCTTACATCTTGCATAAGCTTGCCCGACTTGGTGCGTCTTGTTGTTTTGGCGACAGCTCCCAGTCCTCTGGTCCCTGGGGCCACGGTGATGACTGAGGTAGCCAAGTGGCGTATGCTTCCCACAGTGCCTCGCTGATGCAGGTCTGAGTGCAGCAGGCCAACTACTGCTTTCACAACTCCCCCTAAAGACGAGTGAAGATAGAGACTGAACTGGAGCCTCACAAATCAATGTACAACATGGCATCAATATTGATGCAATTGGAGAAACTTAGCTAACCTCTTTCTGCAGTGTTGAAATTAAATGGAGCTGGTCAATTCAGAAAGACAGTGATTATAAATGCCATGACAAACCTTTCTTGAGAGCCTGAAGTCTCTGGCAGACAGCAGCAGGGTCGTGATGCCTCAAAATCCATGACAGAGAGTCAATGACAAGTGTCACTGCTTTGGCCTGAGATGTTTGTTTGAGAAGAGTGCTGATGTCCTCTAAGGTAAACTGGTGGACCGTAAATGGTGAGTTTCCGGTCCAGCCGAGAGGGTCGGAGTAGGCATTGTGAAAGTGCAGCCTATATTCAAAGTCGGGGAAAACATGCGTTAGTTAACACTTGATCTCAAGAAATCTGCTAGTACTGTTGACTCCCATCTAAAGTTAGTTTCTTATTTGTTTCTAGTCACCTCTGTGCAGATGTTCTGTCCAGTCCATCATTGAGTTCCTCTTCACTAACCTCGAACCCCAATACATGGACCACTTCTTCCCTGAAACACAATATATTGGTATGACATTAGTGCACAACAAACTATATGAATACTAACTAGCAGTGAAAATACTCATGCCATAAGCGAGTTATTTACCGTTTAAGTGCTGTATTGATGCAGCTTTTCAGGAGGTGTCGACCAGAGTAATTAACAGAATCTGTCAAAGTAACGCAAAGGCAAACAAAAGCTACTTAGCTAGCTAATGTCAGTGGTTCTGAAAGCAATGACGAGTTTACCACCAACAAGTATATTTACCTTGTATCAAAATGAATCCTCCCGCTTCTGTTCCTTGCAAAACTTCTAACAACATATTACAGGCTAAACAGCTTCCTAGCTGCCCAGATAGCTAGCTAGCTAGCTAGCTAACGTTGTAGCAAGAGTGTCGGTTACTACGTGTGGTTTCTCTTCATCCGCCTTCAAACATTGATGTTCCTCTACAAATCTAACAATTCTCATGACAAGCGTTTGTCAGCTGGACATAGATGGAACACCGACGTTTGCGTTTAGGAGAATAATGAAGTTGTGCGGTTGCATTCCATGCACTGGGCACGCAGTTCTTGTCAGAAAAACTCCATGCTCCAGAAGCATCCGGTTTGTAGCTCCTTTTGCGCTTGCGCCTGAGCATGATGCCGTTCTTGTCTATTTTTTGGTCATGACATCATTCATGCAGTAAATTAAACTTGATTCTTCCATGATTTATACGAGCATGCCTGAAAGATAACGTTGAAATGCGCATGGTCTAACTGACTCAACAACCGAAAATACGTATCTAAGTTAACTCGTTGATACTACTTTATGTATACCCCTCCGATGATCCCTGCAGAGGCCTAATGAAGGTTCTCATGGTAGATGCAGACAATTTGTTTTTCTTTGCACATGTTTTATGACATTGAAATTGATTCAGTAAGGGTCAACTTGTTCAAAATATGTCAAAAGTTTAGAATTTTATTTGACCACATGTTCTTGCAGATAGTGCTCGGAGAACAGGAATTAAAATCCTAGTTAAACTACAATGTAGTTTTACTGAAAATGGATGGTGTGGTGGCTGTGTTTGGTGCAATATATATATATATATATATATATATTTACATGTTTGCTATACAAATCACTGAGGTAGATACAAATACATTTTTATTTTATAAGAAAAATAAAGGAAACCTCAGGTGGGCGCAATGACACATGGGTAGTGTAGTTTTAGGGATTTGTTGTCCGTCCTCATTAAGAAGAATGTACACACATTAAACTACACTACCCAGCAAAGTGCAGAGCTGTCACTTCGTTGTGGCAACCACAAGGGGCTTTTGCAATCAGTTGACATCGCTGATGGCTCGAGGAGGCGCGCAAGGGGCGACACGGAGCAGACGTATATTTAGTCAAACTCTTGTCGATTGTTGCTCGTGTTATGGAAAAACGTAAACTTAATCTAAAAAATGTGTTACCTGAATGCGTTTTTCGTATACAATGGATGCACCTGCTACAGTTTTTCTCCGGTGACTTAGCTCGTTAGTTGGCTAAAGTAGTTTGATTGCCTGGATTATGTATGCAATAGCTGCTGTGACGAAGAAATTAGCTAATAGCTAGCTAGCTCTCTTGTTAACTAAACGGGCTAATAGGAATTATTGTTGCATTTTTTGTTGGTTAGCCCGGTACCTTGCCGGCTAAACTATCCAGAACACGAGCCAACAACTCCAAGAAATTCGCTTGTCTTCAAAGAGTGGTGTTGACCCCTCCGTTCTTGGCTAGGGCTTCTCCCACACAGTCAGTAGTCAAGTCGGGAGAAAAGCACAGAAGCTGTTAGCTACCTGGTAGCTACCATCACGGGCCTTGTTGCTGAGGCGACAATGCTTGAAATAATGTCTGAACACCAAGGTACGTTTAAAAGTGTCAGTTGACATAGTAAATTGATCTTAAGTTCATTGCTAGTTAGCAGACATTCTCGGTTTTGTTAAAATCCTCCTTCAGTGAAGCAACTGTTGGTTGTTCAATCGCCATGCTAGTTGGCTAGTGAGCTAATAAACTGTCTAACACTAACATTACCTGCCAGCTTACTAGTTAGCAAAGTTGGTTACATCTAACAGTCGATAACGATAGCTTGCATGGTTTTATACACGTAGTTAACTTTTTTATACAGTAACGATAACTATATAGGCTACTGTACCTAGTTAGCGTAACTAGTGAGTTAATGCTTGCTAACTAACCATGCCATTGGTGGCTAATGGTATGTTAACCGCTGGCTAGCTAACTAGCTAGTTAGTTCTAACCAAAATGAGCCATAATGACTGTTACTTTGCCAGCAAGCTAACCCGTCTTTAACAGCTAACTTTAGTTCGCTAGCAAACAGTGTTTGTTGGTTAGTTCGCTACTGTAACTAGTTAGCTAGATGCTGTTAGCTTCCTAGCCACGTTCAAAATTCAGGAGGCTCCCCACGCCATCGCAGCCGTGAGCTAATTGGCTCACAATGCATGTTTCACGTTTGTTAACTAACTTACTGGTAGCCAACATAGCCAGCCAGCTACCTAGATACGATCAAGTTTCACCACCATGGCTAACTAAATGGTCTTCACTTTGCGTCACCCGTTAGTAGTTATTGACCTGTTGTTGTGAAACTATCAAGACAACATTGTGGCTAGTTTGTGAGCAGGGCAGGTATTCACTCGTTTTAGACAACTAAACGTTAGCTAGCTAAAAAGGCAGTAAGTTATCCTTGCTGACTAACGTTGCAGCACGAGGCTAGCCATCAACTTAGCTAGTTTGCTACTTTTAGAATAGAAATGCGCCCAGCTAGGTTGCACACTTGGCGTTTTGAGTCATTGCATTAGCAAGCTAATGTTAGCTAGTTATCGCTATATTCACTAGATACATCGCCAGGCCGAACAAAAATAGACCCGCAGCTAGCTAGCAGCTAACAATACTTATCTGCGGATGGATTAGTGGAGATGTTTTTTTTTGTCTTTTTAATTTACGTAATGACTGTGTTCAAATCTGAACAGATTATAGTATAGTAATATTGTTTTCTTCTATACAGATTCGTTATTGAAGCGCAAAACGGATACCCTGGTAAGTAGACTTCTGGTGTGACGTTTAGTTCCCCGTTCTGAACCTGTTCACCATTTGTTGGTGTTGTATGCATGACTTATTAGCTTGGTTCATTTATGTGTGAATGCCATTAATGTCCGTTTGTTTTATCTCTTTAGCCTCCAGAGAGGAGAAAGAGGACCGTCGAAGACTTTAACAAGTTCTGCAACTTTGTCTTGGCGTATGCAGGCTATATCCCCAATCCTAAAGAGGTAGGTGAACTAGGCACAGCAGGACATAGTTACCCCTTTATTGATGTTGTGTTTATCTTTAATAGGGTTTGAGAACTTGCCACATTTTTATAACCCTATGCATCAAGTATTGTTTGTCCTGTACCGTTTTCCTTATTGTTCTTACACTACACCTGTGGCTGTGTAGGAAGGTCCATGGTCGCCAGCGTCCTCCAGCTCCCCGCACAGCTCAGGGGCGTCAGGGGAGAGCGGGGGTGGTGGTGAAGGAGTCGGCGGCAGCTCCGTGGGGGCTAGCTGGGGAGACGGAGGCAACGACCTGCACACCATCCACACGTTTGTCCGCAAGGCCCGCGCCAACAAGGGCAAGAGTATGCGCCGCATGCACTCCGATAGCTCCCTGCTGGACAAGATGCGCCTGAAAGACTCCCTGTACGACAGCCAGGCAGCCAGCAAGGCAGAGCGCAAGAAGGACAAAAAGCTCAAAAAGTTGTCGATGGGTTCTGCTATTGGCGGCGGGGGTGAAAGCGGGAGTAGCGGCGGGGAGAAGAGGGCCCGTATCAAGCGCAGCAAAAACCCCAAGCAGCCCAAAGCCCTCAAGAAGCTTAAGAGCTCGGCCACCCAAAGTGAGACAGACTCTGAGACGGGCCATGCCCACCCCGGGGAGTGCCCGGTCCGAGATGACCTGACAGTGCACGGGGTCTCCTCCCCGGGAATGCAGGGGCTGGCTAAGATGCAGGTGGAGGAGTCCAACCGGGAGGCGGAGATGAGCTCGAGTGAAGGCGAGACCTGGATCGCCGATGAGGACATCATGGTGGAGTCGGGTAAGTGATTTCATACTGACCACGCTGTGGACAAGGAAGCACAAATGTCTTTGAAGTGGTAAGCGTGAGTGCTGTAATCTCCTCACACAAGATGCATCACTTCAGTGTTAGTCAATGGCTGCAGTGTTGGCTGGTAATATGCTTGGCATGTAATTGATCAATATTAATGCACTGGTCTGTTCCGTGAGTTCTAAACCAGAGGCTCATACCTGGGGTGCGTTCAGCAGGACACAATGTTTTGGAACCTTCAGATAAAAAATATGGTATGTAGAACAACCATGCCTCTCTGACATGTAGAATAAGGAGTCACGTCAGGGAAAACATTGTATTTAATGAAACTATTTGGTAACAATTGGTACTTTCTGGAATTTGAGTCACCATGTAACCAATAAATAATTAGTGGGCAATAATGATGTAATGATGTAATGATGTACGCTGTTTCCATGTAGTTCCTAAGTAAATAAGTAATTAGGGGGCGATAAAATAAAACCTCCACAAACAAAACAAACAGTTGCTGAAGCGCCTCTTCTCTTTGAAAACGTTTGCCCCCGTTAGGTGCCCACTGAACCCAATGCTACTTGTCCCACTATGATATGCCCCCTCTTACCTTCTTTTCCTCTCCCTCCTTCCCCACACAGGTGACGACTCTTGGGACTTAATCACCTGTTACTGCGGCAAGCCGTTTGCGGGGCGACCCATGATCGAGTGCAACCAGTGCGGCGTGTGGGTCCATCTGTCGTGCGCCAAGATCAAGAAGTCCAACGTCCCTGACATCTTTTACTGCCACAAGTGCAGGGACACTCGACGGTCGGGACAAAAGAAAGACCCCTAGAGTGAGAGGGGTGGGAGGGACTATATCCCTCCTATATCCCTTTTCTCTGTGTCCTACTACAACATCCAAGTTCTTTTCTGCGATGCCTGCAGCTGATTGTTAACCCTCACCTGGACAGCAACTGTATCGTTAGTTTTCTAGGTGTTCTTTTTTGACAATCACCATCCTCACTTATTCATGTAGGTTCTTTGTCGCGTTCTGCCTCTGTGAAAACTGGGCTAATACAGGAAGACATTGGGGGGAGATCTCTTTATTATCTGTAACATACAAAAATACTCTCTTGCTCAGTATTCTTACTAAATTGGGATTTTTTTTCCCAATTTGGGATTTTTTTCATTGAAATGTTAGACCATACAGATATCCATCTCCTGTTTTTCATGTTAAGGTCATAGCATAAGGTGCATGACAAGTTATAGAGAATTATTTATTTAGGACATTGATGGGCAACTTTTCTGTCTGTCAATGTTCAAGGAAAAAAGCTAGTATTTTATAATGGTACTTTAACTATTGTGAGACCCTCTGCAACCAGTAATCAATGCAATGCGACTGATACACCATGGCACAGGCACAACCCCCTTCCTTCTCCGAAAAGAAAACGGATACTCCTGTTTATTTTTGTCCATAAGTTTCTCTTTTTAGTGGTAGAAGGGCAGCTCTTGTTTTGTTATTTGATTGTTTTTGTAGCTACTTTTTTCTCATGTAAGCTTTCGATTTGTGATCGTTTATACATTTCTTTGTCTACTATAACACTCAGTACCTGCTTATCACTGAGTGTTAAGCGCCTATGAGATCTCTCTTTGGATGTTTTCAGATTCAAACAAATACCAGATCAAATCTGAAATGTTGAATCTATTCAATAGAAATATGCAAAGACAGTTGGTGCTACGACAGTGCACGTTTTTAAAAGCGAGCCCAAACCAAACACCCCTTCTTTGGGGTGTTATTTTTCATTGGAAAGTGAATTGCTTTACAGTTTTGGCAACTGCTAAGAACCTGTAACTCATAAACTGAGGGCTGTGTCATGAAGATGATGCAGCCCATAACCAGAAGTATTTGTTGCTTTATTCACCCTTTCTGGTTTTTGTCAACAGACATCTGCTACAGCACAACTTGATTACTTTGAGTTCCCTCCGCATGACAATGGGGTCCTATGACTGCCATTTGGTTACGGTTTGACATGGCTACAGCCCTCAAATTCAATCTACAATGCTTGTTTTGTTTTTATTTACATTTTGTGTTGATCTTGTTTTTCATCAAGAGACTTCTGGTTTGGGAAGATGTCATTGTTGTTAACTGTCGTGGTGGAAAAAGTTGGAAAATTTTCGTTTACCTTGTGGAAGTGGCTCAAACATTTTTCCATGAATGGTTATAAAATGTATTTTTTATTTCTTTCATGTTATCATAATGTTTTGGTTAATTTTTCCAAAAACACTGGTTGACATTGCTCCCTAATCAGAATAACATACAAATCCCTTCCCCTCATGATTTTCTCAATTGAAAAACAAAGTTGACTGTAGGTGTACAGAAATATCAGTTGATATCGGAGTCGTGGACTCGATGTTGGTAGGTTTTACCTGTTTTTGTTGGTGGGAGAGTCATGTTTAGTCCCCAAAAAAGCAAATGCACTCTCGCCACCACCCTTCCCCTCGATTCTCTGTATATACCCTGTTCTTCGATGACTGTACATATGAAAGTGAAAAGAGAGGGGGGGAAAAGCCAAGCAAATGCTATATTTTTGGCATCTGATATTGTTTTCCTTTAACTGTATCTTGAAAAATAAAAACATTTCTTTTTCGGGGGAGCACCTGTGTTGTCTCTTTCCAATATATGTAAAGTAGATATATTATAAGGAATGCATTTTATTGAACTTAGGCACACAGGATCTGTGTTTGTCATTGTACATACTTACAGAACCACTAGAGGGGGATCAGTCCCAAACATCTAAGTAGGTTAGTACAATAGTACAGCATCTTAAATAGAAATAAATAGTTATAACAAATGCCGTCAAACATATTTGTGGGAGTGAATCTTTACAAAACAACTAACCTTCATTATGAATTCTGATTTGGATTGAATACAAGACAGTGAAGTTAGCATTTGGATGATATTGAAGGGGTTGGAAGCTGTTATTGCTGCTCCTTCATTCAGCCTTCTGGTTCATCCTGCAATACAAATAGATACACAAGCCGGTTCACATTCTGGACAAACATCCCAATAAACAGATGGTCAGTCTATCCCTCCCTCCTTGTTCTGTGCTCTCACCTTTCTGCTCCGCTGGTTGTACATAAGGCCGCTTCCAATAGAATCCAGAGGAACTGTTGCCTTCCTCCTGGAATGACAGGAACAGATGGAAGAGAAAGATATTAAATAACTCAGACTGGACTTGTTTGTTTGGTAGCTAAAGTGATGCAAGGTCCACAGCACTGCAATGTAGCGCAACATTGTTACAATGTTACACTATTACATCAGTGGCTACTCCTTGTCTCAACTTTATGTCATCGCCCTCTCCTCCATTCTCTCACCTCTTGTCCTTGGGTTTGCGACGGTGGTCGTTGTGATGATGGACGGAGATGCGTTCCACGGCGGTTGATGTGCGTTCCATGGGGGTGGATATACGTTCCACGGCGGTTGATATGCGTTCCATGGGGGTGGATATACGTTCCACGGCGGTTGATATGCGTTCCATGGGGGTGGATATACGTTCCAGAGGGGAGAGGAAGGTGGCAGACTGGAAACGACGTTCTTCCCAATCCTGGGTCGTCTCCCCGGCGTCTCCGGGTGGTGAAAGGTTGGCGAGGTCAGAGAGCTCAGACAAGTGTGGGAAGAACTCTTGGTCCAGCCAATTCACGTCCTGTGGACATGGAGGGAGGGCATTTTCAGACAAGCAGCATACAATAATAACAATGCAGTTCGTATAATATGACTGATCTAGATTTATTTGAAACCTTTTTATTTTCATTGAAGTAGATACACCAGTCCCACACAAAGGGCAACTATCTATGAAAGTAATACAATAATGGCACCACGGTATTTCCAAGATTAAGGGTATTTGCTGCCACTATCCATGTTTAAACTGTTTAAGAAAAGCCACTGAGCATGTGTCATTTTCATACCCTTTTCTGTCTCAGCCTATCAGGCAGAAGGAAGGCAGACAAGTCTCCCAACATCAGGTAAAGTCCCAGGACAGCTATCATACACCTTGAGTAAAGCATCTGTGTGGCAGACAGAAAATATTATATTTCAGACATTGATCAACTTATTAGATGATGAGCATCGTTCTTTTGTTGACTTGATGAGTTGCGGAATAAGTAACGCAATCAAAATATACTGAAGTAGCTCAAATTCAGATATTACACAAAAACATACTAGTGAAAAAGTCAACGAAAAGAGTGCAACCAAAGATGTACTCACCTTAAGACTTATCCGTTCTGTGAAGATAGATGGTGCAAATTATTTAGTTCCTCTTGGTTGTTGGCTTCTGACTTCTCTGCAAACTGCTGGTGTTAAGGGTATTTGTAGGTATGCGGTTGGGGTGGGTTTATATTGGAGTAGGATGAAGGGAGGTGTTTAGGCTAAAGGGGTGTGTGTGTGGGAGACTATGGGACTTCAGACGTGACAATTATATCTCATATATCTCATGCCCGGCCTCGCCATGGCTGAACTTGGGGTCAAAGCTTTTAGGCGGTTCAGGACATTTTTTTTAATTGCACATACACGCACCCACATGCACACACATACACACACACACGCATACACACGCACACACACCACTCCACCACCCCTCACCCTCCACCTTCCTCTGGACTAAGGAAGAAAGATGAGGTAATGATTAGGCCATCATTGTGGATGGGATGTTACAGTTCATTGTTTACACTAGTTCCAACTGGTTCAGACTGGCTTTCATATGTTTGTGCTTATCAAGATAAGATTGGTAAAGATGTCATATTTTCTTTATATAAAAAAGACAACCTTATCTACATATCTTATATTTCACAGAGGGAAGAAATTAGAAAGGGCATCTTTATCTTGACATGATACAGTACTCAGAACAACTGTAGGCTATTGGGTTTTCCTGTGTTATCTTTACTATAGGACACTATATGACAATAGTGTTCTGAAGGACATGAATCATTGAGATCTATCGATCACTTGTAGAGTTCTCCATCCTACATTTACATTTTACATTTTAGTCATTTAGCAGATGCTCTTATCCAGAGCGACTTACAATTAGTGAGTGCATTCATTTTCATGCTGGTCCCCCGTGGGAATTGAACCCACAACCCTGGCGTTGCAAGCGCCATGCTTTACCAACTGAGCTACACGTAAGCCATCACCTGGTCTGTACTTTGAGAAGACAGACAGACAGAGACAGTGAGTGATATCATCAGATCAGATGGATGTCTATGCTGTGTGTGTGGCCAACTGGAAAACCTGACTACCTCGTCTCGCCTAATTTCAGCATTGGATTGCGACCTCCAACCACCCACACACTCTGCCCATACACACAGAGAAATACAAAACAAAAGGAAGACAGGGAACGAGGGAAGGAAGGACAGAGGGAAATAGAGGAGGGGGTCGAAGGGCATTGCATGGAGCGTATGCGTGGTCTGACACGTTTTCACTTTTCCTCTTTTCCCGCCCATGTCCTAATTATTTCTATTTCGGGGCACTACAAATAACCTAACATAAAGCCAGTGCTGATAGATCAACTGACAGGGCTGCCTGCTGAATGTGGGTCCTGCTAGGCCCGCCCGGGAGTCTGTCAACAGGGGCAGAGACTAGATAGGCAGCACTGATTACCTTAATTATCACAGAGCTATGGAGACACAACTTGTGGTACCGCTGGTCATTACCAGTGTGTGTGTGTGTGTGTGTGTGTGTGTGCGGTAGACCCATGCTAGACTCCTCCACCCAAATGTGTGTGATTGTGTGTGTGTTTAACTGTAAGTGTGTGTGTGTGGCCAGCATGACGCCCCCCTGCTTCCCCACAACCTGCTGCC